CTTGTATGTGCCGATGCTCATGAAAATGAACAATTAATAAATCTTAACACATTCATAGCGATTCCACATCTGGCATCATAATTCATGTTAAATGGTAAAATAGTAATACAAACGGAAATGGCGACTGCTGAGTGTCGGTAAGTTCATTATTTTGATATATTTAAGTTACAAATGGTTCCTAAATTAGAACTTTTTAAAGAGATTTATCAAACATGTAATGAACATAATAGCCTTTTCTATCTACAATGCATTAAATCATTGTTGGTTTAAAAGTTTCATCTCAATCTGTTTCATATTTAATGAAATATTATTTCTGATAAATTCGACAACATAACCTAAATTTAAATAATATAAAAGATTATGATCTAAGATAAAGTTTTGTGGCGTTAACTTTACGCAAAAAAATAATCTAAGGAATGTATATATCGCATAATTCGCGACATCGGCGCCCTAAAACATGCACCGATTATCCGATATATTTTGAAAACAACTAATTAAGCATCCGTTCTTTAGAAAACAATAGTTATATATGTGATCATGAATTGGGACAAGTTTTTTCCTCTTTACATATACATATTTCCTCTTTACATATACATATATGTACACTTTTATTTCATTTTAATGTACATGAAAGCTATGCGTGAAAGACTAGTTACTATTTTGTTTTTTGTGTGACTTACTGACCAGACTTACTTACCAGTTTTACTTACTATATATCTGCAAAGAACATTTTACACTTCAGATCTTTCAACAACATTTAATATGGACTTCCAAGTAGAAAAGATGTCAATATTCTGTTTGATTTCGTGATTTGAGAGAAGGAAGAATGCTCATTTTCATTCATTATGGTACCAAATTATAACGTCCTGTGTAATTTACTAAAACTGAATGTGCAATTTTCACACAATTCAAACAATGTTCTCGAAAAACATAAAACGTAGGAGAATGGAGTTGGTATTGATATTTGAAGAAAGTTACCGTGCATATGATATGCTAGGTCTAGTTGGATTAAAATATATGAAAATTATGAACTTACCGAGGCTCAGCAGTCGCCATTTCGTATTATAAACCGGTAGATAGAAATGCTTTTCTCGAAAGAAAGTATGTAAGCAAAGTGTATTCCATGTACATGTATTATGCATTTATCATAACAACACTTTATAGATTATTGTTTATTACCATATTTAGATTATTGTTTATTACCATATTTCTACAGCGATATATTTATATTATGCGATACATTCCTTAGATTATTTTTTTTACGTAAAGTTAACGCCACAACACTTTATCTTAGATCTTTTGCTATTATAATACAAAACAGAATGTAATTATATAGTTGCATAATTTATCAGTACAAACGGTTTTTTTTCTTCTTCTTTTTTAAAGATTGAACAAACAGGTTTCGGTACTTTTAAAACTACGAAGTTCCCGAGTTTAAAACTTGAACTATTTCATTTATTACTATATCAATTGGTGTTAATAGTTGTAAGTGTTAAATACCCACATCATTTTATGACAGAAATAAGCAAAAATTTTGATCAATCCAAAAAAAAAATTTAGTCAAGTTTGTAAATTACTTTTTGAATAAATATGTCCTCCAGAAATAAATAACTTCATCAATGTAATTTTTTTCCTTAAAGTTATATTCCTGGTCAAATTCATCATAACAGATTGTCAAATTAACGCCTTATTGTTATCAAATGCATTATTTAACTAGTATTGACAAAGTTTTACAACTTAGAAACGCTCTCCGTAACATTTCTGACCATTCTAAAAAATGCATTTTCTTATTTGACTGGGTTAGTCAAATAAGATTTATATTTTGGCGGGAAGCCCTTCGATTATTTCCGTAAATGTTCGGATCTGAGTCACGTGATATGATTTACCAAACCAAAATAATGGCGGACAATACGAAAGGTGTGTCACGTATACGAGAAATAAATTTTGAGATTCGAAAAGGAAAAAGCGAAAAGTGGAAAGAAACAGTGATTTAATTCAATCAAGGATATACTCCGGTAGTGATTCAAAGCGATGAAAAGTTCTAAAAAGGGTAATTAAAGCCAAAAGCGACCGTGAAGTTGTTATGTGATTGACAGGTGAGGTGATCATCGTTTTTGTTTGCATTTAATTTTTTCTTGGTCTTAGATCTACTTATAGAAAAATTTCACCTACAAATATATAAACACTGATATTGTGTTATAGCTTTTAGGATGGTTTTGACATATGACAAAGAAATTAAGCTTGCAGGTCCACGTCTGTGTAATCAAGTTTTTCGTTCACTGTAATTTTCGTACCAATAAATTGTTTAACAGGTTAAATAAAAGGTCGGCTGAGCCTAATCCTTTACAATTTTATGGCGTATGTTACCATTGTAATATCGTTTAAGATGGCCAATCATTATCTTTTAAGAATCATTTAAGACACAACAAAATTATATTTTTGAATAACTTTTATTTTCCAATCAAATTATTGTTTTTTTACTGTAAGCTGTACTGTATAGTAACTACAATGCTGTGAAAATAGAGTAGCCACATGTGTCTCAAAAAGGGTTAGAACTATTGACTAGCAGAGCAGGCATTTCTTCAAAAGCATGTTCAACTATCAAGGGTAGTCCTATAAATGTGACGTCCTTTGATTTTGAGATATTTTTTGCTTTCGGGCAACCTTGACCGACATTTAAGCAATAACAAGCCCGTAAGTCTGATATATTGATCTACTATCCAGGGTTGTCGAATCTTCAAAGAAATAAAGAAGAAAAAATAAAATGTTGTCTGGAAAATCGCACAAAAATCAATATTTTTGTCTTATATTTGAATCATTTTTGCAGTAAAATTTCAGCATTTCACAATTTGAAAAATAATCATGGACAATAACCATAATTGTGCTGGAAACGTTAGATAATTCTTATTGACAACCCTTCTTCCTTATAAGCAGTGCAGCTATTCATGTATTGTAATTGGTTTGAATAGCCAAGATTTTAGGCCATGGTACTAGTATGCTATATTTTCAATTACAGAAATAAATCAATTTCATCATCATCATGTGTTGCAATACCACTACCAGGGACATCAAAGATGACCTGGACTTCAGTGCATATGCAGAGGAAAGTAAGTACACCATTTTTGTCGAAAGTGACAGGTTATAATAATACCTTTCAAAATTGCTATATAACTATATACTTGCATAAATAATTTACTTATACATGTATAATTCATGTTTTTTTATTAGTTTATTGAACCAATTAATGGATATATACATGTCAACATGTGATCCATATATATCATGATCAGATATTCATATGATTTAAATATTAAACAATAATGACATTTTTTAAGTGGCATATAATACTGTATTAGAAGAAGAAGAAAAAAAAAATGCATTACATGGTTAATTTTGGTCCAATTGAAAGATTTTGGTGTCATCTTAAATGATGAGTTTGATATTTGTATGACTCCATAATATTATTATAGGTAATTGTTCACTGAGGTGAAAAAATAATAGAGGGTCATTATAGGTCTTAAATCCACTTGTGTAAAAATATATATGAGCCACGTCATGACAAAACCAACATAATGGTTTTGTGACCAGCATGGATCCAGACCAGCCTGCTCTTCCGCGCAGTCTGATCAGGATCCATGTTGTTCGCTTACAAACCCTATAACAAGTAGAGAAACTGATAGCGAACAGCATGGATCCTGATCAGACTGCGCGGATGCGCAGGCTGGTCTGGATCCATACTGGTCGCATACGCACTATGTTGGTTTTGTCGTGACGCGGCTCATATATGGTTTTTGGAAAGGATTCTGTTATGTAGTCAATTCTCAGACCATACAACAAAATAGTTACAGATTCCTCAAAAGTGGAGTATACTTTCTTAGTTACAATCAAACATCATGAATTACTAATTTCTAGCTTTTTTTTTTCAAAGCTTTTACATTCTATGTCAGATTGCTATGTTGGCATACAATTGCATTATTTAAATATTTTGAAATGTATCAACATGAAACTTGAAAGACTTGCTTATCATGACAAAGTGTAATTGTTAAACAGGGGAGCATACATGTTCTTATGAAAGCAGTCATTGAATTTAGCACTGGCCTGGTGGCCCATGGCCAGTGAAAATTAGTTTGGGCCAGTGTAAATTTTAAGAAAATGTAATTAAATATATAGTAGAATAAATTCAAAACTGGAATTGGGGCCAGTGAATTCAAAATCTTAAATTCAATGACTGTGAAAGCAATATTTTTTTAAGTTATATCCCTTTTAAACTAAGAATTTTAATAGACTGGTGTTATCACTGCATGCAATGCTGCTGTATTTGTTGTTCATAACAAGGGCAGATTCATGTCCTATAGTAAATGTTGGTGAAGACTGAATATATACAATTCTTTAATATGTAGAATATTTTCGCTAAAAATGAAAAGGAATTCCACAATTGATTTTTTTTCTTCTAAATCTTAAGCAAGTTATGGTTTAATCTTCAGGTAGCACTAAAGAAAGCCAATAAAATCCTTTAGGAGTTGAATTGAGACACAACCATTCATTTCTGTTTAGTTATAAAACTGCTACAGACAATAAACTATTCATGGTAAGTAAACAGTTATTATATATTTGATTTTGTTTGAATGTTTGATATTTTTATATGATTATTCTGTTGCTCAAGAGATATTTAGATAAAATTCTAGATAGGCAATACATAATTGTCATTTGTTGCAAGAAATTAATGCATGGCAAGATGTTTTGATGCATAATGTGGAAATTCCCCGAATACTTCATAGGTTTATGGTAATACTTTCATAGGTTTATGGTAAGCATTTTATATGTAAAATAAATGTGAAATGCTTAGTAAGTTTCATAAAACTTGTTAAAGGCTGACTTCTTTGCCATTTTTTTATGCATGCTTATTTTGTCTTGATATTTCATTTCAGGGAATAATATATTTTAGTGTCTGCATCAATCTTATAGTTATTGAGCATGAATGGATTCTGTTTTCAGATGATGGAATACACCAATGCCTAGTACAATGCCATTAGAAACCAGAACAAACCATGGCTGCAAAGGAAATAAGATGCACATAGTCTGAAAGATCTGGCTGGTGTTCTGAATAAGATGACATAATATCTCAATTGCAGGTATGTTCTCATCAGGGTACAATAAAAGAAATTTATATTGACAGGGTTCCCTCTGGAGCAATTTTAGTTTGCACCACCAGATTGGCCCAATCAAAAAAGTTGAAGCCAATGGCTCCAATGTTGGAACCATTAATTCTGCAAAGGAGATATGTCTATTTTTGTTGAGATATGCTAGCAGTTTGGAGTGAAATTTTTTAAAAGGATTTATTTTCCTAACTGGAAAGGAGTATATGTCCTGATTAATACAAAGCTCATATGTCTATTGATTATAGAATGTTCAATGTTTTACAGCACCTTTATATGTTAACGCAAATGACCTACAACCATTATGTATAAATTAATTGGCACCTTTATTGCACTTATCAATTGAAGGATAGAGCTGTGTAAAATCTTTTCAAAGATAATTATTTACATACAGAGATTATATCTAGCCTATGAATATGTTAATGTTAAAGGATTTTTCCTTACTAAAATCATTTATATGAAAATATCTTTCCATTATTTGTATTCATTTTTAGAAGTACAGCTGGCATGTAGGGGTTTCAACAGCACATCTTGATGAATTGTACCAAAAGATTTGCTTACACACCACCTGTTTATAGGATGCACAATCTTCTTGCAGCCATAGATTATAATATACATGCAAATAGACCATACATCACCAACAAGGGGGATCTGTTAGGTATGCTACTTACAAAACTCCAACATGTAATGTTTCACAATTTTACAGAATGAAAGAAAACAGTGTCCAGTTTGTGTTAATAAAGTGAATTGTTTGGAACTATAATAATGTTCAACATAGATGTACTCTGTACTGAGTCTAATATGGATGTAGCATGTTTCTTTGTTTATTTCAATAGAAAGATTTCAGTTCTTCAAACATATAAAGAGGCAAAGCCTAAATAAAATGTTGTGCTTTATCTTCTTTGGGCATATAGATTTTCAACATTTTTTTTTTTCATTTTTGCATATGAATATAAATGCTGCAATATCTTAGTATTAAATGTTCCTGCCTCTGTGAATTATAAGATATTTTTATTGAAAGTGTGATCACTATGCATTTATATTGCCTATATAATATTTATTTCAATCAAAAGAGATTTTGCAGTCTCTGAATAACCTGACTAATAAATTTTTGAGGACATAATTACATGTAATGCATTTTGAGAATTGTATACACTTATGATTTTGTTATATAATATAACAGGCTTGTTAATTTCTCATTTCAGACTTCAGCGAGTCTGGATGAATTAAAGAAGAAGAAAAAGTATCATTATACCATTTTTCATGATGCTATAACTCTGAGAATTAGTGACATGGAGGGGATATATAAAATAGAAGTTAGAGGAAGATGACCCCCCACAGACTTTCAAAATATTTGGCCCAAAGTTAGCCCGAAGCCTACCCGAGCCATTCATGAGGAACATAAATCAAGATATGATTGACTTTTTATGGAAAAGAATGATAAATAGTGTGTTACACTGATTGCCCAAACTATTCAAACATATTTAAGCTGACATTGAATACCTGGTATTCATGATAGTTTTATGAAATATCTTTTTTAGATATGGCACTGTATCTATCTTGTTTCAAAAAAAATTCTCTTGATTCATTTGTCATGACTCAAGGTCTGTTTTTTTAATATTTTGTCAGAAAAATGACTACTTTTTATAAAAGTGCAAAATATTATCTAATCTATTAAACTATAAGTGCTGCTATGAGCTTTAATGTAGTAATGAAGTTAAAAGTATTATTCAATTATATTTTTGATAAACATGTACTATGTCATTCACTTTAGCTCAGCTTTTCTTTTTTTTTCTTTTTTGAAAAAAGAAATAGAGGTTGCTGCCGTTGCCTTCTGCAAATTGAACCTTGTTCATAACTTTTAAAGATTTTGGTGTACTGTCTAACCTTAGCCTTCATTCATATTGACATTGACCTTCAAGGTTAAATGTCTAAATTTTGGCTTTGCTTAGTGGCTTTAACTTTATTGCCCTTTGTTAATGTTCAAAATTCATTTTTGTCTTGGCCATTTGTCCTAAACTATATTGTTCACAAGGCAACACATCCGACTCGCGGAGATCTAGTTGTTATTATTCCATGAATTGTTTGTAGTCCAATCTAGTTTATTAGACCAATGACATAGGGGCATTTTTATATAAAATCCTTGTTCAATCAAACAAGGCAAGCCTTAAAATTATCTTTGTATTTACTCCCTCATCCCATTCCAGTTCAGATAGGTTAGGTGGGCTGATAAAATATTTATTTTTGTGCCCCCGCTTTAGTGGCGGGCATTTAGATTTACCCTTGTCCGTCCATCCGTATTTCACCTAGAGCATGAAACTTTACTGTAATGTTGATCAGCAAGTGTAGTTGTTCACCTTGGTATTTTCATCTGGATATTTTTAGTATTTTCAGAGTTACTGCCATTGAATTTTTGCAATTTCAACTTGTGTCGCATGTTACTCAAGAAGTATTTGACCTAGAGCAATGAAACTTTACAGGAATGTTGAACATTATGTGTAGTTGTGCACCTGGGTATTTTCGTCTGGATTTAGTATTTTGAGAGTTATGGCCCTTGACTTAGTAAAATTTTGGCAATTTTCAACTTGTGTCGCATGTAACTCAAAAAGTATTTGACTTTATAGAGTCTTGAAACTTTACAGGAATGTTGATCAGCATGTGTAGTTGCGCATCTGGGTATTTTCGTCTTTGGAATTATTTAGGATTTTTTAGAGTTATTGCCCTTGAATTGGTAAAAATTTTGCAGTTTTCAACTTGTGTCACATGTAACTCAAAAAGGATTTGACATAGAGTCATTAAACCTTACAGGAAGGTTGCTCAGCATATTTAGTTTTGCACCTGGGATTTGGCTTGTGGATTTATCCAGTATTTGTAGAGTTATTTCCCTTGACTTAGTAAAAAAACGTTTCATTATGTTGTTATTTGTTCCTTGAGTGCTTGAGTACTTTACAGGAATAATGATCAACATCACTAAATTACAGGAATAATGATTTAACATCACTGTGAAGCTATGAACCTGGGACTTTCATGTGGATTTTTTTCAGTTTTGTTATTGAGTTATTGCCCTTGACTTACAGTAGTATAAATTTACAATTTTCAACTTGTTCATGCATAGCTCAAAAAGTATTTATGTTTTCTTTCATTTCATTCAGCCAAAACATAAAATAATATATCATTTAACTCCATAATTAATATCCTACAGGGATAAAAATATAAATAAGAAAGACAATATACAAATGTAGGAGTGGCTACTACAGGTTCACTTTAATTTATCGAATAATTTTTCAACTTGTTCATGCATAGCTCAGAAAGTATTTCACTTGTAGGCCAGAATGTTTAAAAAAGAATGTTGGTCAGCATGTGCACTTATGCACCTTGGGGGTTTACTTGTGAATTTATTCAGTATTTGTAAAGTTCTTGCCCTTTACTTTGTAAAAGATTTTTAGTTTTCAAAAAATATTTGACCTAGAGTCATAAGATTGACAGAACAATGGCGCGTAGGGGGGACCCGTGTCCTATGGACACATTCCTAGTTATTCAAAATGTTTGTCTTGTTTTATTTTTCATTAAAATTATATGTAGTTCAAACAAATTGTGAATGCATGAAAGCATCTGTTTTACTTGAAAATTTAGAACCATATTTTTCAGTTTCAATCAACAAATATCCCAACATTTGTATATTTACAATTAAAAAATCACGAGACAGTTAAAAGGTGCATTCTCATTGACACTCTGATTTCATTTTAGTAAACAAATCCTGGCAATAAGATATTTAGGTAGCTGTGCTATTTGTAGGTAGGTTGCGGGAGTGGGGAACAAACAATATTTTACATTCAGGGGTAAGCCTAAGTTTTTAGGCTTGGTAGGAACATTGCCCTTCCCCAGATAATGGCACCAACTGATTTTGAGGTAATCAGATTTAAAGCTCAAGATAGGGCAGAAAGTTTTACTTCCTTTAAAATATGTGTAGCATTGTAAGGTATAGTTTATGTAACTCAGAAGGAAAAATTCTGATTGCCATTAGTTTTAAGATTGGTCCATTTGATTATAAGTTCAAGGTCTCAGTGACATGTAAACTCATTGTCCCAAGGTTTTGAACATTTCCAGGGACATTGCTTAGATTAGTAATTAAGCATTAGTTTGGAGTTAATAAGGTCTAAGGTCACAATGGCTTAAGCATAATATCCTTCATCACCAGAAAACCCATAAGGGGTTAGCTCAAGTTAATACAATTTGGTTGGAATTAAGATATTATTTATTTCCTTCTACAATATTGGCCATCTTCACACTTTCTCTTCCTGTTAAGACAGCATGGATTGAATAATAAATAAAACTATAACTGTAAAGAAGTCACTGTTGTACAATTTTAAGAGTAAGAAAAAGAAGATATGCTGTTCATTTGAAAATATTTTATTGTTGTTTTACTGCCAATGTTCAAATACAATGTTTCAATTTATCTGTGTTTTTGTTATTTTAACAACGTTCCAAAAATGTGTCCTGAAACGTGCTAAAGAGAAGTGGAGTGTAAATTAACATTGAAAGGTATTTGTAAAACATTGTTACAATCTGTGATCTTATTTGACTTTTAAAAAAGTACATTTGACATCAGAAAATAGAGAAATAAAGAATTCCTGCAGAAAGCCCAAAATGACAAAATTGAAACTGTTGCAGGCTCTATTTGGTGAGCCTGTTGGAAAGTGCAAGTTACCGCCCATGCCCCCCTAGCACCAGCTTTGGCAGAATTCAACATTTTGAACATAAAGTGGTGAAATTTATGGTTTTATGCCATACCGGTGTAGGTAATCCAGAGATTAGGATTTAATTCTTGGCAATCTTATTTTCAGTGGAATGCAACTGTTCATTGTTAACAGAATAAAATTTACACAGGTGGCACTGTGTTTGTATTGGAATGAAATTCTCATTAGTACATTATTTTCCATAATGTGCACTTTTTACAAAAGGCTAACATAAAAATCAGGTCTTGAGTGATCATTTTCAAAATTATAGGCATCAGAACTTTAACTTGGTCCTTTTTTCCATTCTTGTTTGCTTATAAATTGAAGTATAATTATACATTATCATATATCAAACGGTTGAGCCTGTAGATGTTAAATATGTATTGGCTTTTGCATGCAGTTGACAGGTTATTTAATCTGGCAACACCCTATACAGGTTATTACACCAGATTGCCAAATTATATTTCTTTCATTATAATTTCCTAACACAGACACTTGGGTTTGGAGCTCAAAACGCCTTTAAAAATAAAAAAAAAACACAAAAAAACAAAACTTAATATAAGCCGTTTTGAAAAAAAATCGTATTTCAACATCTATAATATAATACAGATTGAGCACCAAATCCCAAGTGTCGGTGTTTCATAATATTTACATGACGCACACTACTGTATGCCATATTACTACGATGGAAGCTTGGCAATAGGTACGTATTATTTCTGGTACGAACCGATCATAAAGAACGGCTAATTTACCGATTTCAAATAACCACAGCAACCGTACGACATAGACATGACCAACGCTCCATCTTTCTTGTTTACTGTAGATCTAGTGAGAGTCTCAGATTTTGTTCTTTTTCCGATTGTTTCGTAACGCGTTACGAGGATATAAGCTACATTCCTTAGCTAATAAATAGCTTTTCATATCGTTTATTAATTACAAAACATAAAAATAAAATTGCATCCGTCATTTATATTTTATCTCCTAATATCGGGGTCGCAAGTTTGTTGACGTTTCTAATTATAGCGTTTCCGAACTTGTTTCTAATTATAGCATTTCCGAACCTTTCCGTATGCAAATGAGTTAATTCCGAATGAAACCGATCGGGCCCGAGAGCTTTTACAAATGGCGGGGATTTCAAAAACTGGCGACATTATATCCAGTTGCATCCGAGTGTTTCGGCGAAATAAGATTAAAATTGTATAGCAGTTCATCATTAATGAGGATATACTTATGATTTAGGTGATAATTTCTGAAAACTAAGTTGTAGGGTAAAATATCATCGTTGAACGGTATTATAACTTTAAGAAATATTAAATCCTTATTCAGAACACTTGCGTTAAGCTTTAAATAAGTTATTTAATTTCAACGTTACTTATGTAAATGAAAGAGCCGTTTTGCAAATATCTTAACATAACAAAATTAAATGTAGTATGGTTTATGTATTTGAAAATCAGTCACGCGTATGTAGCAATGTCGAAACCAGGTAGCAACGAAACAAGGAAGTTGAAAACTTCAGCTGAAAAAAAATGGCCGTAGACGGGCGTAAATTAAGTCAATCTTTGTATCAAGGATCGGATATAGAACATGAGTTTCCGTGTTCTCCTTGTTTTAAAGAAGGAAAGAATGTAGCTGCTATTAAACATTGTGTGGAATGTGATGAAAACTTGTGTCAAAAATGTTTAGGTGATCACAATAAGTTTTCAGTAATGAGAGGACATCAGTTACTAGACACGGTAAAACAGCTGAGCGGGAAAAAGCAGGGATTACCAAGTCAGAGATGTGAGAGACATGGAGGGAAATTGATTGACGTCTACTGTCCTGGTCATGATAAGGTTGGCTGCTCAACGTGTATGACCATTGAACACAGGTTTGAAAAATTCTACTTTCGATTTCGATGTATTGACAAGAAAATTAATTTTGACGTAAGACCCAACCAGGAAAAACAAATATTTAATAGATTAACAGCCTCTTTTTGTCGTCTGATAAGGTTGGCTGCTCAACGTGTATATCCGTTGAACACAGGTTTGAAAAATTCTACTTTCGCTTTCGATGCATGACATAGAAATTTTTTTGTCGAAAGAAAAAATATTAAATAACAGCCTCTTTTTGTCGTCAAAATGAATTTATAGTATATTGTATCATTGGTTCAGAAATAGAAATAAACTCTCATTCAATATTTTCTTCAGAGTCTATCTACTTGTACGTTTTAACTCGAGGTAAACCTGTGAAAACTGGCAGAAATCGCCATTCTCTATGTATTTTTGTAACGCCCTATAATGAGCATTACAATATGCGAAAACAAAAGATGACGAATTCACATAAAGGATAGTATCCAATATATAACGGCATAAACCACTCTCGGTGGTGAGCCAGGGTTTGTGTGCCTTAAAACGTTACATTTTGAAGTTTATATAATTTCTAAAATTAAGGTTGAATATTTCTGTGTCTCATTTTGTAACATTTATTTAATATTGAATTATAATTTATTGACAGACTGACAATAGTTTTTACCAGATGAATTTTAGCACAGATACTTTAATTATTATTTCATATTGATTACTCCTATTGTCTCTTTTATTGCAGTGGCTGTTTAGGAATAAGTTACATTCCATTATATACTAGCATATATAACCATTATGTGCTTAAGATTTCTAATATTTATTTCATTGCAGTGGTTGCAAAGGTATTAGTTACATACCAGACATAGCGTGTAAAACTGAAACCTCCGAGAAACTAAAACTTCTTGAAGCCGATATAAGCGCTCTACAGTCTCGTTTCCACGCATTAAAACAAAACAAACAGAAAGAAGTAGAGAATGCAAAAAAGGAAAAAAGTCAATTGATTAAAGAAATAAAATCAGAAAGGAAGAAAATCAACGACCATTTGGACAAGATGGAACAGGAACTTCTTCAGGAAGTGGATGTGACCTTTCAGACCAAACTGCAACATATAGAGTCTAATATGAAACAAGTTGATGAGAGGATCGCTTCACTACAAGAAAGTCTGAAGAAGATAAATGCTGCTAAACAGGAAAACGAATCTGAGAAATATGTACAGATCAAACTTGTCAACGAGAAGAGGAAAATTGCACGTGATAGTTTAGAAGACTTGGAGAGGTCAAGAAAAACAGACGCAATACGATTTGAGCCATACAGACAAGCGACTGATTCGGAATGCAACATCATTGGGAATATACTTCACTTTCCAATGATTGAAGTAGACAAATGTGCTGAATTTAATGCGCGACTAAAGGATGACAAGGAGTCATGCATTATTTTTGGCATGTGCATGTGTGACGACGGATGCATTGTTATGACAGATCAAAACAATAAATGTATAAAGAAAATGAATGATTCCTTCCAGGTCATTTCTTCCCTGAAAGTCACAGATAATCCTTTTGGTATATGTCAGATAGACTCATCAATGCTGGCCGTAACTATGTATAATGATAGGACAGTTCAGTTTATCTCACAGAAAGAACCAATGAAGTTACAACACTCCTTTAAAGTCGGCGATAGATGTCGGGGTATTGCATACAATGACGGGATGATTTATGTTTGTTGTGGCGGATACAAGGATACTGGTGAAGGTGTTGGTCATCTAGAGGTATATACTGTTTCTGGGAAAATTGTTTTATCTCATTATGATGAGATTACCTATCCTGTAAATGTTACAATTTCAAACACTACTATGGAGGTATCTGTGATCGACAAACATAAAGGTATTCTAAACATAAATGAAAACCTAAACATGAGGCCCGTAACTGTAGATAACAAAATATTCTTGAATCCTAAATATATTTGTAAAATAAACAAAAGTCAGTATTGTGTTAGTTTTTATACGACACACAATTTCCTTTTGATGTCACATGATGGGAAGGATCAGGTAGAACTCCCAATACGTGAAGATGGTTTAAAAAAACCTGTCTGTTTATGTTTTGATAACAAAACTTCAAGACTTTTTGTTTCTTGTTGGGAAAGTGACAAAATCATGGTTTATACATTAAAGATAAGTGACTGATTTGTCATAAACGAGAAATAAAACATGTGAAATAAAAGCCGGTGCTAGGGTGCGTGGACAGTACCCTGCACTTTCCAATGCTGTCATGAACAGGCTAAATCAAACCAAGCCTGCAACATTTTTCAATTTTGTCGTTGTTTTTTTTTTTCATTCTTTAGGGATTGTGTTTTTCTCTTCTTTTTTGTATGTGACATTCGTGACTATGTAGGTGTTTCCTTTATGAAGTCCGGAATTAGGAAGGTGTATCACTGTGAACATTAGTTATCGATGAAGAAGTGGTGAAATATTGTTTTTATCATGAATTATATAAAACTCACATATTTTGTAATTATATGTCAGCATCTTATTTTAATGCATATTATTTTTTATAATTATTACGAGTGTGTCTCTTTATTTGTTAATTAGATTACTTAAAATAACACCGCATAATATAATATATTTGCATGTTAATAAAGCAGTTGACTGACTCCATGTTATAATTTTAAAATGTATTTTCTGACATCCGTTTAAAGACTTTTTGTTTCGTGTTGGAAAAGTGACAAAATTATGATTTATACATTAAAGATAAGTGACTGATTTGTCTTAAAACGAGAAATAAAACTTGTGAAACAAAAGCCGGTGTAAGGGGGCGTGGACTTTGCACTTTCCAATGCTGTCCATGAACATGTTAAATCAAAACTTTTTCAATTTTGTCGTTTTGTTTTGGAATTTTTTAGGGATTGTGTTTTTCTCTTCATTTTTGTATGTGACATTCGTGACTATGTGGTTATTTCCTTTATGAAATCTGAAGTACCGTTAACAGAATAAGGAAGGTGTATCACTGAAAACGTTTGCAGTCGATGAAGAAATGGCAAAATATAGTTTTTATCATGAAGTATATGTAATTCACATATTTTGTACTTATATGTCAGCATCTTATTTCAATTCATATTGTTTTAAAATGATCACGAGTGTGTCTCTTTATTTGTTAATCAGATTACTTTAAAATAAGACCACATAATATTATATATTTGCATGTTTAATATTGTTAATATTGCAATAGGCTGACTCCATGTTATCATTTTAAAATGTATTTTCTGACACCCGTTTAAAGTACAGTTTGCAGGTACATGTATATTATAAGTTCTAGTACCAAAAATGTGTATAGGAAGTAGTATGACTGTAATTCCCATATTTACATAAAACTTGTCCGGAAAAGATAGAACTTTACAAATACGTAATTTATGTTTTTTGTATGTTTGTGAATTTTGTTTCAAGAAGTTGCAGTAGTAACATCTTTCCTGTTTCAAAATAATCATGAGAAGAGAACCTGAACAGTTTGTAAATTATTTTACACAGACATTTAAGAAAATTTCTATTGTACTTTGTATATCTTCTCATTTTAGTACAATAAAACCTGTCTTACAACACAAGTGTCTTGGTTATTCCTCAATTAAAAGAAAAGCTTGTTTATGATGGCGGCTGATTTCTGCCATTTCGTATCTTCAACCCTAAAAAGCTCAATATACTCACTTATCGTGTCTTCAACTTCGTCTTCGATTTTGAGGGCGCCGACATGAAAACATAATATTTTTAGGCGAATTAACGATATTTTAATAGGCGAACCATATGTTTAGTAAACGAGAGAGGAGAAAAGATACAAATAACATATTTTATGCAATAGAGAGTGTTAAAGGGTGGAAGGGGGGCAGAAATCAGATTTATAAAAAGAGATAATTAAAATAGACAAACTAGACAGAGTTACGTTTATTGCACATTGCAAATTTATCATTGTCAAGACCTATCACTTAAACTGAAGTTGCCACTAAAATGCACAAATATAACTTTTAAAAGCAAAATCTCTTAAATGGAGAAAAATCTTGAGAACATTGTAACTCGTCTAACGGCTCGGTTATATTTTCAAATAGCCGTTTAAATAGGGCCATATATAATTACCTGTCAACAATCTTTATAACTGCAGAGAAATAAAATAAATCTTTATAAATCGACAGCAGCCGTGTATATTATTAGTTATAAAGATCTTTGACAGGTTATATGGCCCTATATAAACGGCTATTTGTAAATATAACCCGAGCCGTTAGGCGAGGGTTATATTGCAAACAGCCGTTTACATACGGTCATATAACCTGTCAACAATCTTTATAACGAATTTATAATACAGCAAGCATCATTTCTAGAGAAAAAGAGTGAGATTTCTTCATGAATCGACAGAAGCCGTGTATATATTAAACTATATAAACGTCACGATTATCCAATGAAAAATGACGTTACAAACGTGCAGTATTATAAAAAAAACACATATCACAGAACTTATTCAGCATTATAAATAAGCAACAGTACCACAATATGTGTGCATAATGTTAACCTTTGTATGTCTAAAAATGTACTAATGCAATAAATGAAAACAATATCAATCATAATTTCGAAATACTATTACTATTTTATTCTTTACAAATATATAATATTAAAAATGATTAATTTTCTGCTCCAAACAAAGTTAATTTATGTAGAAAATATTTCCAGAGATCACTCTACTAGTTAAAATTTAATCATCAATTCAATTTAATTTATCAATTATATTTTCATACTTAAATTATCATTTTCCACATTTTTTGATTTTATAAATTTAATTATGAATTTATCTTTAACTAGAAATGTGTCCATAGGACACGGGTGCCCCCACAAGCCACTGTTCTGTCTCTAATGACTCTAGGTCAAATATTTTTTGGACTACATGTGTCACAAGTTGAAAACTAAAAATCTTTTACTAAGTAAAGAGCAAGAACTTTACAAATAAATCCACAAGCAAACCCCAAGTGCATAAGTAGACATGCTGACCAACATTCTTGTAAACTTTCAGTCTTACAAGTGAAATACTTTTTGAGCTATGCATCAACAAGTTGAAAATTGCAAATTTGTACTTCTGTAAGTCAAGGGCAAACACTCTAACAAAACTGAAAAAATCCACATGCAAAGTCACAGGTGCATAGCTTCACGGTGATGTTGATCATGATTCCTGTAATTTTGTGATGTTGATCATTATTCATGTAAAGTCGGTTGATTCTAACTCAAGCACTCAAGGAACAAATAACAAAACATAATGAAACGGTTTTTACTAAGTCAAGGGAAATAACTCTACAAATACTGAATAAATCCACAAGGGAAACTAAGGTGCACAACTTTATATGCTGTTCAACATTCCTGTAAAGTTTCATGACTATGTCAAATACTTTTTGAGTTACGTGCAGCACAAGTTGAAAATTGTAAATTTTTACTAAGTCAAGGGCAATAACTCTAAAAATAAAAAGAAATCCAGACGAAAATACCCAGATGTACAACTACACATGCTGATCAACATTCCTGTAACGTTTCATGACTCTAGGTGAAATACGTTTTGAGTTACATGCGACACAAGTTGAAAATTGCAAAAATTTACTAAGTCAAGGGCAATAACTCTAAAAATACTTAGTAAATCCAGGCAAAAGTACCCAGGTGCACAACTACACATGCTGATCAACATTCCTGTAACGTTTCATGACTCTAGGTCAAATACTTTTTGAGTTACATGCGACACAAAATGAAAATTGCAAATTTTTACTACGTCAAGGGCAATAACTCTAAAAATACTAAAATAAATGCAGATGAAAATACCCATGTGCACAACTTAACATGCAGATCAACATCCCTGTACAGCTTCATGACTCTAGGTCAAATACTTTTTCAGTAACATGCGACACAAGTTGAAAATTGAAAAATTTTACAAAGTCAAGGACAATAACTCTAAAATTACTAAGTAAAATCCAGACGAAAATACCCAAGTGTACAACTACACATGCTGATCAACATTCCTGTAACGTTTCATGACTCTAGGTCAAATACTTTTTGAGTTACATGCAACACAAGTTGAAAATTGCAAAAATTTACTAAGTCAAGGGCAATAACTCTAAAAATGCTAAATAAATCCAGACGAAAATACGCAGGTGCACAAGTACACATGCTGATAAATATTCCTGTAACGTGTCATGACTCTAGGTCAAAATAGGCTAGCTTCTCTCTCCCATTGTTCCCCTTCGTCACCATATTCCCCTATGCTCCCGTACTTATCATAATAATCCCCGGGTTCCTCTGAAACAGCTGTCTGTCCTAGAGAGTCCAACATATCGTCCAGCAAAATATCATCCATAATGTTGATATAATTCCAATTTGTATCATCAAGTAAATTCACAAAATCAGTGATTTTTTTAGTCCTATAATCTATTTTCTAAGCAGCAAGTTGAGATAGCATTATTCACAGAAAGTTACCAAAAGCACAATTAATCATGTGACACATTGATTTATATTTCGTCTCTTGATAATAAATATTTTAAACAATTTTAAACATCATAAAAAATCTGCTGATATTAGATGCCACCGGGTAAATTTTATTTTATTTTTGGTTTTAATAATCATAATCAAGTGCTGTCAAAAAGCAGTATTTAGGAATTCATTGATAAAACAAGAATTGCGACCTACCTCTCCTTCAACAATTTTATATTCATTTTATGGACCCATAGTATGATGAGTTAGATGGACAAGGGGAAAATCTGTATGTCCCACCCTCCAAACACCTCTCTGTGTATTAATCTGGCACGATTTATCACTTGACTAAAATATATATTTCTGTCATATAGTTGGACATTACTGACCTTTGATATAAAAAATAATAAAACACAAAAGTGTTAACCAACTAACCTTGTGCTCAAGTTATCAATTGTAAATTCAAAGTATTATGATCGTTTTGTAGTTAAAGATATACCAAGTAACACGCTTTAATCATTTTTAATTAAATGTTACTACCACTACAGCTATTACAAATAGGCAAAAATCTTTGAAAATAGGAAAAAGACTCCAACTTATAAGCATTTTTTCAAGTTTTCAAATCAGGTAACAAAATGTAAAATTTTCTTCCCGATTAAGGCCACATTTGCAAATTGTACGTGTCATTTACTCATTGACTGTCTTGTTGAAACTAGTGGTTATTAACACCTTTAAATGCCTGTCAGGCAATATTCTAGCGACCTACAAGTTAAAGAAGTGACATCCAGCTCAATTTATTTTTTCCTTACATGAGAGAATCTAAAACCCTTGACTGCATAGGATCAAACAATTTAACCACTCAGCCATGAAGGCTCCCTTTAAAATAAAGTCATTTAAACAATGTTATATATTTAGATGCATAATTGTATAGATGGAGAAGTTTAATATAAAAACCGATACAGTATAATGAAAGATTACAAAATAAAACAACGCAAGAAATATGTGCAGTAAAAAAGCAACACATATGTTTGACACAACAGAGTGCATTAACCTCTTTTTGGAAACTAAAATTAACAGGACACGAAAGTAAATAATCTTTTGAGCAACGAAAATAAAAGAACTTCTGAGGGGATAATGTACCTTTAAACGATAAATAGGAAGTGTCCGAATAATGAATTTACCTGGTAAAATTACTTCTGGTGTATAACACCATTGTCTGTTTTTAAAATTGATAAATGTATAAACAGATTTTACATTATTAAGCTTTCACCCTTTGTTACCAGCTGAATTTCTTAAGTGTCCTTGAAAAGCTTCTATTTTTTAAACTCTTCACTATCAATTTTTGGAATATCAAGATGAAAATGTTAACAGTTAGCCAACGGCATAAAGGCTTTTCAGACTGCAGGAGTTTAAGAGCCAAATAATTTTTCGTGGTTCGAGTCCCGGCTGCGGCATGCCGATTTTTCGTGTGATTTTTCTCTGAATAATTTCCTGCTCATAACTTTTTCGCTTTCATATATACATGTATATATGTACTAAAAATGATTGATAAATACTTAAGTTACAAGACTGGAATAATGGTTAAACATACATTTAGTGAAATGAATAGTTAATAGTTATACATGTTTAAGATAGAGAAACGGTTGAACATACATTGATTTTTTCAACATATTATGACATAATTTTAAATTATCTTTATTCTAGGTTGCTCAAGTTTTCTTGTTATATTTAGCCGATCTTATAAAACTATGTGTCCATAATACCCCAAAATAATATGAAATATTTGGAAGGTAAAATATACAGTGATAAAATATACCTTATAAAACTTGTTTTCTTTGTTAGTTTGAAGAAAGTGTTCACCTCGATCAAACCTTGAAAAAATAATGTAAACCCTTTGTTATGAAATAAAAAAAAAAGATATACTTTCCTTTATGATCGTATTGATTGTGTGATTTGATACTTTAACATTTGTTTCAACAGAAATACCGTAACCATTAATTCTTTGCCCCGAAGACAGGCGGAAAGGGCCGAAATGTGGCGATTGAATATTCTACCAAAAACACCTATGAGCAATCAAACACTTCCTTGGTTTGAAGACTTCTGAGCAGCAGATTTAAGCAGATTTAACCAACTTGTAGTGAATAGAATAGCTTTATCTATCTGCTATGCATTAATCCATTGTTGTTTTAAAAGTTTCAACTCAATGTGTTTCATAAACAACATGTCATATAAATTTAAAAGAAGGAAACAATTACCCGTCTTTCTACTTCATCAAAAGTGAGACATGCCTGAATTAATGAAGCATATTTTTTTTTCAAATATACTTTTCTCATTATTACAAAACAGTAAACAAAATTTCAACATGTACGATAATAACAAGATGGGATCAGGTAGAGTATTCGTTCACTTCTCCTCGCTCCCATCTTTTTTTAAAGTTTCAATCGCACGAGGAGTTTGCATAAAAGGATATTGATTAATAATGCTACTAGTTAGAGTAATGCTTCTTTCCCTACCCACAATACTTTATATTAGTTTCAAGTTAATCCCTTAACATGAAAGAATCACCGATTTTGCTAAATTTAAAAGACATACAGTTTATGAAATGACAAAAAAAACAACTGGATATAAAAACGGTCAGCAGTAACCGCAAAGCCATTCCGAAGGGACCAAGTCTGTATGTACCGACGCTTATAAAATATGTTTCACCATATGAATGAACAATGAATAAATCTAAATATATTCATGACGTTTCCATCTGTAATTTAAATTATAATTCATGTTTAATATATAGTATTCAATGGTAGAATATATTGTCATACAAAATAATATGTAAACTTAAATCTAAATGATTTGTTTGTTGTAAAATCCCACGGAATGGGGGGGGGGGGGGGGGGAGAGTTAACGCACCTTTATCAAAGTTAATACGTATTAAAAAATGTGCCACGTGATTTCAGATGTAGTGTAATCTTCGATAATGTAAAACAAATGTATATATCTGACATCCAAACGAAGATAAAGTCTGTGTCTTTACAATTATGATTGAAAATATGTCTGACAACCATTTTTTATTTAAATATGCCCAAAAAACAAATCCGAATTAATGTCAACAGGATGGCATTTTTGTACTTACGATTTCTACTACCATAATAATAAGTATGTAAATAATGTATTGTTTGCTATTTTGTCTTTGAATTCACTTATTTTAAGTAGACTTATACTTGATATATTGGGAAAAAAAAACATGTTAACCACCCCAGCATTAAATCACTATTTGCTTATATGTTTTGTTTCTTAGCGTAGGTTGGACCACGGATCTTAATTAAAATAAATACGTGGTTGGATTCATACTAAATAAATATTGTGTTCAAGGTCCATATCCGAAGACTGACGGAAAGGGTCGCTCTTCGGACGGAAGGGCCAAAACGTTGCTATTGCTTCTCTCGTAGAAGTCCATATAAAATCTTGTTGAAAGATCTGTAGTGTAAAAGGGGCCTCCGTGGCCGAGTGGTTAAAGTCGCTGACTTGAGATCACCAGTCCCTCACCACTGTGGGTTCGATCCTCACTCGGGTCGAAATCTTTCATGTGACGAAGCCATCCAGCTGGCTTACGGAAGGTCGGTGGTTCTACCCAGGTGCCCGCTCGTGCCTGAAATAATGCCCGGAGGGGCACCTGGGGTCTTCCTCCACCAATAAAGCTGGAAAAAATCGACGAAAAATCTCGGCGGGACGCTCTAGGATGACCCGACTTGAGTGTACGGTCGCCCATATGGGCTTTCCGGCGGCGACCTTAAATAAACGCATATAAAAAAAAATGTAGTGTAAAATGTTCTTTGCAGATGTATATAGTAAGTAAAACGAGCAATAATATCTGGCTCGTATTCATGGACAGCTTACATGTGCATTAAAAGGAAATAAAAGTGTGTATGTAAAGAGAAATAAAAAGAGCATATGCTTAAGTAGTGGTTTTCAAAATAGATCGAATCATCGCTGTTGTCGTGAATGATGCGATATAATTATTTTATTGATTTGCGTAAAGTTAACGCCACAAACTATTTATCTTAGTTCATTTAACATTTTATTTCTAAATTAAGACTGTATGTAGTAAAACTAATATAACAGAAGGGCGGTTGATTAAGTAAACCCAATAATATTCAAAGCACTGAATGAACTGATGGGGAGGCTATGACAGAATGTTTTAGACATATAGTTTCTTTTCTGTTTGCTTAAAATGTGCTGTTATTTCAATTATTACCAAAATAAGAAGATATGCACATTGCACCATTTATCCTTACTGTTGTGTTCAACCATTCATATATATGGTTTATATGGTTGACTATTCATTTTGTTAATATTCCAACACATTTCATTGAGGTCTACATTCGGACTGTTAATCATGCAAATTTTGAAAAACCTAAACTGCCATTTATAAATGACATACCAGCAGGTATGACGACTGTTCATTATAAGAACATAATACCATTTTACAACTGAAAGGTTCCTTATCAAAATATTCTAGGACTGTTCATCATAAATACTTTATGTCATTTTAATATCATTGAATTCGGACTGCAAGTTAACAACTTAATTAACAACTGCAAGTTATGCAACATTTTTATTGAACATAAAAAATATACTTATTTACATGTACCATAATCAAGATTAATAAGACACCACTGTCTTGTGATTAGTATTAATAGTCATGCTCTACGGACAGAAAGTTGTCTTCTCCCGAAGCAAATCTCGAATAAAATCACGTTTCAGAAAATTATTCCCATTTCATTATTCGTCGCTGACTTTGGCGGCTTCGGATAATATTAAAGCTAAATAATTCTTGAAAAAATACATATCTGCAAAGCTTATTCAAAATTGAATCAACCTAAGTGAAAATTGATCAGGAAGTTATATCTTCTTTTTTACCAACTTATGGTAGTTAATCGATAGATTCTACATGTATTTTTAAACCTCACTAGAAAAGAAACTATAAGTCTGAAACATTCTGTCATAGCCTCCCCATCAGTACATTCAGTGCTTTGATTATTTTTTTATTAGTTATAGCATGGCAGTCTCTTAGAACACTTTCAACGAGGATAGGCATAGTTGTCCTCCCCTCTGTAGTCTTCAAATTTCTTATTTTGGTGAATGCTATGTTGCAGGTGTGACATGTGTATGTTGCCAGCCCATGTACTTAACGGTGTACCCGCCAGTCAGCCTCAACGGCGTTTATAAATAACACTTGCAAAATAAATTTAAAAAAAGAAAAATAACACACACTACATGTATATATAGAGCTGTAAAGCGTATTTTATAATCATTTTGAAGTTATAAACTGTCAAAGACAAAACAATCTATTCAATTCTGCCATTTTGTAAAAAACAAAGAAAGCCATTTTGCAAACAAAAGCACATTAAGTATGGTTTATGCATTTGAAAATCAATCACGCGTATGCAGCAACGTCGAACTAGAATTACAAAGACCAGCTAGGTAGCAACGAAACAAAGAAGTTAAAACTTCAGCTGAAAACATGGCCGTAGACAGGCGTAAATTTAGTCAATCTTTGTATCGAGGATCGGATATAGAACATGATTTTCCGTGTTCTCCTTGTACTAAAGAGGGGAAGAATGTGGCTGCTATCAAACATTGTGTGGAATGTGATGAAAATCTGTGTCAAAAATGTTTAGGTGATCACAATAAGTTTTCAGTAATGAGAGGACATCAGTTACTAGACACGGTAAAACAGCTGAGCGGGAAAAAGCAGGAATTACCAAGTCAGAGATGTGAGAGACATGGAGGAAAATTGATAGATGTCTACTGTCCTGGTCATGATAAGGTTGGCTGCTCAACGTGTATGACCATTGAACACAGGTTTGAAAAATTCTACTTTCGGTTTCGATGTATTGACAAGAAAATTAATTTGACGTAAGACCCAACCAGGAAAAACAAATATTTAATAGATTAACAGCCTCTTTATGTCGTCTGATAAGGTTGGCTGCTCAACGTGTATATCCGTTGAACACAGGTTTGAAAAATTCTACTTTCGGTTTCGATGCATGACATAGAAATTTTTTGTCGAAAGAAAAAATATTAAAATAACAGCCTCTTTTTGTCGTCAAAATGAATTTATAGTATATTGTATCATTGGTTCAGAAATAGAAATAAACTTTCATTCAATATTTTCTTCAGAGTCTATCAACTTGTACGTTTTAACTCGAGGTCATCTTAAACCTGTGAAAACTGGCAGAAATCGCCATTCTCTATGTATTTTGAAGTTTATATAACTTCTAAAATTAAGGTTGAATATATCTGTGTCTCATTTTGTAACAGACATGTCGCCCCTTGACATTTATTTTATATTGAATTATAATTTATGGACAGACTGACAATAGTTTTTACCAGATGAATTTTAGCAATTATTTCATATTGATAACTCCTATTGTACGTCTCTTTTATTGCAGTGGTTCCAAAACTTTATAAGCCGATATTTAACATTTTTGTTTTTCATCTGATGCGGCACGTCATGTCATAGTATATAAATGGGTTCGCTGAAGACCTTAAGCTATTGCAGTGGCTGTGAAGAAATAAGTTACATACCATTATATACAGCATATATAAACATTATGCGCTTAAAATTTCTAATGTCTATTTCATTGCAGTGGCTGCAAAGGTATTAGTTACATACCAGACATAGCGTGTAAAACTGAAACCTCCGAGAAACTAAAACATCTTGAAGCCGATATAAGCACTCTACAGTCTCGTTTCAAGGCCTTAAAACAAAACAGGCAGAAAGAATTAGAAAATGTGAAGACAGAAAAAAGTCAAGTGATTAAAGAAATAAAATCAGAAAGGAAGAAAATCAACGACCATTTGGACAAGATGGAAATAGATATTCTTCAAGAAGTTGATGTGACCTTTCAGACAAAACTGCAACATATGGAGTCTAATATGAAGCAAGTTGATGAGAGGATTGCTGTTCTACAAGAAAATCTGAAGAAGATAAATGCTGCTAAACAGGAAAACGAATCTGAAAAATATGTACAGATCAAACTTGTCAACGAGGAGAAGAAAATTTCACACGACAGTTTAGAAAACATGGAGAGGTCAAGAAAAACAGGTACACTACGGTTTGAGCCATACAGACAAACGACTGATTCGGAATGCAACACAATTAGAAAAATACTTCACTTTCTAATTATTGAGGCTGAAAATTTTACTGAATTCAATGCACGACTAAAGGATGACAAGGAGTCATGTAATATTTCAGGCATGTGCATGTGTGAAGACGGGTGTATTATTATGACAGATTCCAACAATAAATGTATAAAGAAAGTGAATGCATGATTCCTTCCAGATTTTATCTTCGCTGAAAGTCACTAGCATTCCATATGGTATTTGTCAGATAGACTCATCAATGCTCGCCGTTACTCTGATAAATGATAAGACAGTTCAGTTTATCTCCCAGACAGAACCAATGAAGCTACAACAGTCCTTCAAAGTCGGCGATAGATGTCGGGGTATTGCATACAATGATGGGATGATTTATGTTTGTTGTGGCGGAGACAAGGATCGTGATGAAGGTGTTGGTCATCTGGAGGTATATACTGTTTCTGGGAAATTGGTTTTATCTCATTATGATGAGATTACATTGCCTGTAAATGTTACAATTTCAAACACTACTATGAAGGTATTCGTGATCGACAAACATAAAGGTATTCTAAACATAAATGAAAACCGAAACATGAGGCCCGTAACTGTAGATAAAAAAAAATTCTTGTATCCCTGTTATATTTGTAAGATAAACAAAAGTCGGTATTGTGTTGGTTTTTATACGACACACAATTTTCTTTTGATGTCACATGATCAGGTAGAACTCCCAATAAGTGAAGATGGTTTAAAAAATCCAGTCTGTTTATGTTTTGATAACAAATCTTCAAGACTTTTTGTTTCTTGTTTGGAAAGTGACAAAATAATTATCTTTACATTAAAGATAAGTGACTGATCTGTCATAAACGAGAAATAAAACTTGTGAAATAAAAGCCGGTGCTAGGGGGCGTGGACGATACCCTGCACTTTCCAATGCTGTCCATGAACAGGCTAGATAAAGCCAAGCTGCAACATTTTTCAATTTTGTCGGGTTTTTTGGGGCATTTTTTAAGGATTGTATTTTTCTCTCCTTTTTTGTATGTGACATTCGTGACTATGTAGGTATTTTCTTTATTAAACCTGAAGTACCGTTAACGGAATAAGGAAGGTGTATCACTGAAAACGTTAGTTATCGATGAAGAAGTGGCGAAATATAGTTTTTATCATGAATTATATAAAATTCACATACTTTGTACTTATATGTCAGCATCTTATTAAATACAAATTGTTTTTGTAATGATTACGAGTGTGTCAATTTGTTTAATTAGATTACTTTAAAATAAGAACACAAAGTATAATATACTAACATGTTGATAAAGCAACAGATTGACTCAATGTTATAATCTTAAAATATATTTTCTGACATCCGTTTAAAAGAACGGTTTGCAGGTACATGTATATTGTTAGTTTTAATACCACAAAATGTGTATTGAAAGTAGTATGACTTGTAATTTCCATATTTACATAAAACTTGTTCAGAAAAATAGAACTTTACAATATGTATGTAACATATGTTTTTGTATGTTTGTGAATTTTGTTTCAAGAAGTTGCAGTAGTAATATCTTTCCTGTTTCAATATAATCATGAGAAGAGAACCTGAACGGTTTGTAAATTATTTTACACAAACACTTAAGGAATTCAGTATTATTCCCAGTGTACTTTGTATGTCTTCTTATTTTAGTACAATAAAGCCTGTCTTACAACACAAGTGTCTTGGTACAGGCTTGTTAAGTATGGTGGCTGAATTCTTCCATTTCGTGTCTTCACGAAGACACGATAATATGCTCACTTGTCTCGTCGCCGCCTTCGATTTTTGAGAGCGACGACATGACTTTTGAGAGCGCCAATACGAAGACACGATATATTTTAGACGAAATAACGATATTTTAAGGCAAACTATGTAAACAAGAGAGGTTAAAACATACGAATAACATATTTTTAGATAAGGGAGATTGTTTCAGTGTTGAAGGGGCCGTAATCAGATTAACTAAAAAATATAAACTGGACAGAGTTATGATTATTGCACATTGCAAATCTATCATTGTCAACTATAACTTTGTATACGAATCAATGAACCTGAAATTGCCACTTAAATGCACAGCTGAAGTTAGTTAACACAACAGCTTCCTATGGAATTCAGAAGAATTCACAACAATTGTTGCTAAGAAATGACTCCGACAATATTTTTCTTTTGAATCCTTTTGAATAGGCATTAACAGGGCATAATTTTGTGGGGGAAAGGTCATTGAATCTAGTCAGCGATTGCTGCAAAAGGCTCGGAAAATTACAGATGAAATAGCAGTCATGAGACAGAACTTTAAAAGAAATGAAAATTGAAGCATAATTGTTAAATATAGTACTTCAAAATAAAATCTGTTTTCAAATGAACACCATTATTTTTAGCTCACCTGTCACAATGTGACAGGGTGAGCTTTGGTGATCGCTTTTCGTCCGGCGTCCGTCCGTCCGTAAACTTTTACTTTAAATGACATCTCCTCATAAACCACTAAGCCAATTTCATCAAAACTTCACAGGAATGTTCCTTTGGTGGTCACCTTTAAAAATTGTTCAAAGAATTTAATTCCATGCAGAACTCTGGTTGCCATGGCAACCGAAAGAAATTTTTTTAAATATCTTCTTTGAAAAAAACCTAAGAGTTAGAGCTTAGATATTTGGCATGAAACATCTTCTAATGAGTGTCTACCAAGTTTGTTCAAATAAAAGCCCTGGGGTCAAAATTGGCCCCACTCAAGGGGGTCTTTGATTTTCCCTATATGCATATGCTAAAAACTTAAAATATCTTCTTTTAAGGAACCCAAAGAGCTAGAGCTAAGATATTTAGCATGAAACATCTTCTAATGAGTGTCTACCAAGTTTGTTCAAATAAAAGCCCTGGGGTCAAAATAGGCCTCGCCCCAGGGGGTCATTGATTTTCCCTATATGCATTTAGTAAAAACTTAAAAAAATCTTCTTTTAAAGAACCCAAAGAGCTAGAGCTAAGATATTTAGCATGAAACATGTTCTAATTGGTGTCTACTAAGTTTGTTCAAATAAAAGCCCTGGGGTCAAAATTGGCCCCGCCCCGAGGGTCATTGATTTTCCTTATAATATTATGTATATAGCAAAAACTTAAAAAATCTTCTTTGAAAAAACCCAAATAGCTGGAGTTTAGATATTAAGCATGAAACATCTTCTAGTGAGTGTCTACAAAGTTTGTTCAAATAAAAGCCCTGGAGTCAAAATTGGCCCCGCCCCGGATGTTATTGATTTTCCTTATATTTGTATAGCAAAAACTTAAAAATCTTCTTTGAAAAAACCCAAATAGCTAGAGTTTAGATGTTAAGAATGAAACATCTTCTAGTAATTGTCTACAAAGTTTGTTCAAATAAAAGCCCTGGGGTCAAAATTGGCCCCGCACCAGGGGTGTTATTGGTTTTAACTATATGTGTATAGTAAAAACTTTAAAAAAGCTTCTTTTAAAAAAACCAATGAGCTAGAGCTTAGATCTTTAGCATGAAACATCTTCTTATGGGTGTCTACCAAGTTTGTTCAAATAAAAGCCCTTGGGTTAAAATTGGCCCTGCCGGGGGGGGGGAGAAGAAGGGGGGGGGGGGGGGTAGATCGTTGTTTTTCATTATATGTGTGTAGTAAAAACTTAACATCGTGAAACATCTTCTAATGGGTGTCTTCCAAGTTTGTTCAAATAAAAGCCCTGGGGTTTAAACTGGCCCCACTCCTGGTGTCTTTATACAGGTGAGCGACCTCAGGGCCATCATGGCCCTCTTGTTTAAGAAATGATAATTATATTCTATAGTTTAACATAAAGAAATAATTTAGATAGAAATATGTATGGGTCTTCAAATTCTATTTTCTATGATATGCCTAGCCAAGGACCGTTCAGCTCAATTGTTAGAACTAAGTTGGCAGAGCTTTGGACTGTGAATCAGACGTTGGACAGTGAATCAGACGACCCATGTTCCGATTCCCAGACTATACTTTATACCAAAGACTATACTTTATACAAATTTATTTTCTTATTTTTATAAAACAATATGTGATATAAATCAAGGTATATATAAATGCATAACAAAACATTATTTTTCAATCTTAAACAACATCATTGATACAGCATGATATTGATATTTCTGGAAATATTGATATTTCTTGAAATTTGACATTTCTGTTCTTGAAATATTGATATTTCTAAAGATTTGCATGACAAATGTGGAACATCTTTCCAAAAGTTCACTCTAGTTAAAAGTTTATATATTTTTCTTGGCTTGCTTTCCATTTTAAATGTTGTTCACCGAATTTGGAGTATACGGATTGTAAAATATTAATACTTTCAAAAAAATTACTTCAATGTTAAAAATAATTTGCATTATGATACAGGCGATTGAAAATTTGATTTGCAGGCCAAAACAAATATTGACAAAGTAAGTAGATATATTTTGTCATGTAATTTGCTTTATACAAAATAAAATGTTTTGTCAGTTTAAGATTTTCCTCATAAAGACAAAAATGTTTATTTATTTTTCCAAGACTCAATTAGAATTGCAAATTTAAATTTAACAGACAAAAGCATCCTAGGATAGAACAATCAGTCTTAACTTTATTTAGCACAAAACATAAACACAGTTTTGCAATGGGCAAGGCATATGATAGAACTATTAGAAGGCTGTTCAAAATTGTCTTTTACAATCAAAACCGAGCTTAGAACAGCTATATTACATAACACGCAGGCTGTTCAAAATCAAAACCGATCGTAGAACAGCTATACTACATAACGTGAAGGATTTGAAAAATAATGTATCATGTAAGAATATCCTGAACAAAGCTTCAAGTAACATTAAACTTGAAATCCTGTCAAGCAATAATGAAGTATTCCGAAATTAAAACAGATCATGTCCATTACACAAATAAAGCAGGATAACAGAACCAATGTGTTAAAGCATGAACCTAAATATACATTAATCTTTTTCCAAATGAATTAACATTTCCATAATAAATCAGTCACCAGTTTGGTCAAATGACCATCTTCTCACACATAAAATTATTTCTTACATCATAAATGTGATTATATAATATATAATAATCACTGCACATATATCATAATTACAATTATAACAACATAACATGTATATAAAACACATATCACAGAACTTATTCAGCGTTATAAATAAGCAACAGTACCACTACAGTATTGTCATGTAAACATATGTATGTCTTATTAATATGTTCTAGTTAAATCAATAAAAAATGAAAATAACAATCATAATTTCAGAATACTATTATTGTTTTTAAAAAATGGTTCTCTTTCAACTACAAAAAAAGTTATTTTTTGCAGAAAAAATATTTCCAGAGATCACTCCACTAGTTCAAATCTCTACTAGTTCAAATTTAATCAACATTTATCAATTATATTTTCATATCTAAATTAAATCATCATTTTAAAACGGGCCCTGTTTCCACTTTTATAAATTTTATTTAAATTTATCTTAACAAATATATCCAGAGATCACGAGTACAGGTTTTATAATCAATCACAGAAGATGTGTGGGTTCACAATTAACTTTATTTTTGTATATCAGGAAATATTTCCAGAGATAAGTCTAGGAGTGCCAACTAAATCATCATTAAAGGAAAGTTCTTGTGTCCACTCATAAAGTTTTCTTGCTTCCCTCTCCCACTGTTCCCCCTCATCACCATATTCCCCTGTGATCCCGTACTTATCAAAATAATCCTCGGGTTCTTCAGAAACAGCTGTCTGCCCTCGAGAGTCCAACATATCTTCCTGAAAAATATCATCCATGTGTTTATATAAGTCTAAAAATCATCACATTAAATCACAAAAACAGTGTAGAGTTTTTTGGTCCTATAATCTATTTTCTAAGCAGCTAGTTGAGATAGCATTATACACAGAAAGTTACAAACACCACAGTGAATCATATTACAATGTTTTATATATTTCCTAAACTTTGTTGTGGGGGTATAACAACATGTTTTAATCATCTTTAATTAATAATTTGTATCTCTACATTTTGCACATTATAAAATAGGCAAACATCTTTGAAAAAAGGAAAAATATTTAAATTTATTGAAAATAGACTACTTAAAAATAAGCAATATTTTTCAATTAAGGTTAGGATTAAAGCCACATTTGCACATTTTACATGTCATTTACTCATTGACTTTTCTGTTGTAACTGGTGGTTGTTAACACCTTAAATGCCTGTCTGTAAATTATTCAAGGGACCTACAAGTAAAACAAATGACCTCAAACTCAAGTTATTTTTTCCTTACATGAGAAAATCTAAAACCCTTGACTTTCAATATCCGCCTGCATAGAAAAGTTGTATTTGTTCAAACAACTTGACTTCCCGACATGAAATTAAAATAAGTCCATTAAAACAAGAGCTGTCGGTAGGACAGCAACGCTCGACTATTCTTAGTGCTTGATAGTAAAAAAAAGTGCTTGATACATTTACCTCCTCCTGTTTACAGGTTGGAGTCATGATGGTGAGCAAGTGTGCAAAGTTTCAAAGCCATATGTCAATGGACTTTGAAAATATTTGAACTATTACAAAAACTTTAATGTAAATTCTAAGTCGAAAAGGGGGCATAATTCTGTCAAAATGCTTGATAGAGTTACCTCCTCCTGTCTACAGGTTGGGGTCATGATGGTGAACAAGTGTGCAAAGTTTCAAAGCCATATGTCAATGGACTTTGAAAATATTTGAACTATTACAAAAACTTTAACGTAAATTCTAAGTTGAAAAAGGGGCATAATTCTGTCAAAATGCTTGATAGAGTTACCTCCTCCTGTTTACAGGTTGGGGTCATGATGGTGAACAAGTGTGCAAAGTTTCAAAGCCATATGTCTATGGACTTTGAAAATATTTAAACTATTACAAAAACTTTAACATAAGTGGTTACGCCGACGCTCGGGTGACTGCAATAGCTCTACTTATTCTTATCGAATAGTCGAGCTAAAAAGGGGCATACTTCTGTCAAAATACTTGATAGAGTTACATCCTCCTGTCTACAGATTGGGGTCATGATGGTGAACAAGTGTGCAAAGTTTCAAAGCCATATGTCAATGGACTTTGAAAATATTCAAGGTATTACAAAAACTTTAACATAAATTCTAAGTTGAACAAGAGCTGTCGGTAGGACAGCAACGCTCGACTATTCTTAGTGCTTTATAGTAAAAAAAGCCTTGATTTAAAGGTAAAATTTTCTCAGTAAAGAAAAAGGCAAAATTGTTCTTTAAATCCATATTACAGTTATAGGCCTTGGAGAGAGTCCTATTATGCTCTCAAAGAAGAGTATAAAATTTCAACATGTTTGAAAGCCTTATGTCAATCAATTTTGAAAATATTTGAGGTATTACAAAAACTTTAATGTAAATTCTAAGTCGAACAAGAGCTGTCGGTAGGACAGCAACGCTCGACTATTCTTAGTGCTTGATAGTAAAAAAAATGCTTGATAGAGTTACCTCCTCCTGTTTACAGGTTGGAGTCATGATGGTGAACAAGTGTGCAAAGTTTCAAAGCCATATGTCAATGGACTTTGAAAATATTTGAACTATTACAAAAACTTTAATGTAAATTCTAAGTCGAAAAAGGGGCATAATTCTGTCAAAATGCTTGATAGAGTTACCTCCTCCTGTTTACAGGTTGGGGTCATGATGTTGAACAAATGTGCAAATTTTCAAAGCCATATGTCAATGGACTTTGAAAATATTTGAACTATTAAAAAAACTTTAACGTAAATTCTAAGTCGAAAAAGGGGCATAATTCTGTCAAAATGCTTGATAGAGTTACCTCCACCTGTTTCCAGGTTGGGGTCATGATGGTGAACAAGTGTGCAAAGTTTCAAAGCCATATGTCAATGGACTTTGAAAATATTCGAACTATTACAAAAACTTTAACGTAAATTCTAAGTCGAAAAAGGGGCATAATTCTGTCAAAATGCTTGATAGAGTTACCTCCTCCTGTTTACAGGTTGGGGTCATGATGTTGAACAAGTGTGCAAAGTTTCAAAGCCATATGTCAATGGACTTTGAAAATATTTTAACTATTACAAAAACTTTAACGTAAATTCTAAGTCGAAAAAGGGGCATAATTCTGTCAAAATGCTTGATAGAGTTACCACCTCCTGTCTACAGGTTGGGGTCATGATGGTGAACAAGTGTGCAAAGTTTCAAAGCCATATGTCAATGGACTTTGAAAATACTTAAACTATTACAAAAACTTATTAAAGTGGTTAAGCCGACGCGGACACTGACGCCGAAGCTCGGGTGACTACAATAGCTCTACTTATTCTTATCGAATAGTCGAGCTAAAAAGGGGCATAATGCTGTCAAAATGCTTGATAGAGTTACCTCCTCCTGTCTACAGGTTGGGGTCATGATGGTGAACAAGTGTGCAAAGTTTCAAAGCCATAATTATGTCAATGGACTTTGAAAATATTTGAACTATTACAAAAACTTTAACATAAGTGGTTACGCCGATGCCGACGCTCGGGTGACTACAATAGCTCTACTTATTCTTATCGAATAGTCCAGCTAACGATGTTAACATTCAGATGTTGAAAGGTATAGATGGAGTAGTTTTATACAAGAGGGCCATGATGGCCCTGAAGTCGCTCACCTGTATATAGGCCCCTGGAGCGGGGCCAGTTTCAACCCCAGGGCTTTTGTTTGAACAAACTTGGTAGACACCCATTAGAAGATGTTCCATGCTAAACATCTAAGGTGTAGCTGGTCAAGTTTTTTCTTTACACATATAGTTTAAAACAATGACACACCTAGGGCAGGGCCAGTTTTGACCCAAGGGCTTTTATTTGAACAATCTTTGTAGGCACTTACTAGAAAATGTTTCATGCTTAATATCTAAACTCTAGCTATTCGGGTTTTTTCAAAAAAGATTTTTAAGTTTTTGCTATACACATATAAGGAAAATCAAAAAATTGAACAAACTTGGTAGACACTCACTAGAAGATGTTTCATGCTTAGTATCTAAACACTTGCTATTTGGTTTTTTTCAAAGATGATTTTTTTAAGTTTTTGCTATACAGATATAAGAAAAATCAATGACCCCTGGGGCGTGGCCAATTTTGACCCCAGGGCTTTAATTTAAACAAACTTGGTAGACATCCATTAGAATATGTTTCATGCTAAATATCTTAGCTCTAGCTCTTTGGGTTCTTTAAAAGAAGATTTTTTAAGTTTTTACTATATGCATATAGGGAAAATCAATGACCCCCTGGGGCGGGCCAATCTTGACCCCAGGGCTTTTATTTGAACAAACTTGGTAGACACCCATTAGAAGATGTTTCATGATAAATATCTTAGCTCTAGCTCTTTGGGTTCTTTAAAGAAGATTTTTTAAGTTTTTACTATATGCATATAGGGAAAATCAATGACCCCCTGGGGCGGGGCCAATTATGACCCCAGGGCTTTTATTTGAACAAACTTGGTAGACACTCACTAGAAGATGTTTCATGCCATATATCTAAGCTCTTGCTCAACCAGAGTTCTGCATGGAATTAAATTCTTTGAACAATTTTCAAAGGTGACCACCAAAGGAACATTCCTGTGAAGTTTGGATGAAATTGGCTCAGTGGTTTATGAGGAGATGTCATTTAAAGTAAAAGTTTACGGACGCCGGACGAAAAGCGATCTCAAAAGCTCAACCTGTCACTTTGTGACAGGTGAGCTAATAAACTGTGTGGGAAGCTGCATTCCCTATTACCAGTCAGGTAAAGTTGGTCTTTTCTTAAAAAAACTGCCAGTTTTTTTAATGACACTATATATTCATATGGTGACCACGTTTAGTGTGTAGAGTTCAAAACTTATCATATCTACCTCAAATGAAGTCCAAACATGTTTATTTTATACATACAAAGACTGTGTAGCAATTATTAATATTTTTAACAAGAGGGCCATGATGGCCCTGAGGTCGCTCACCTGTATATAGGCCCACGGAGCGGGGCCAGTTTAAACCCCAGGGCTTTTATTTGAACAAACTTGGAAGACACCCATTAGAAGATGTTTCATGATGTTAAGGTTTTACTACACACATATAATGAAAAATAATGACCTCCGCCCCCCCCCCCCCCCCCTTTGGCAGGGCCAATTTTAACCCAAGGGCTTTTATTTGAACAAACTTGGTAAACACCAACAAAAAGATGTTTCCTGCTTAAAATCTAACCTCTAGCTCATTGGGTTTTTTAAAAGAAGATTTTTTAAGTTTTTACTATACACATAGAGTTAAAAACAATGACACCTCTGGGGAGGGGCCAGCTTTAACCCCAGGGCTTTTATTTGAACAAACTTTGTAGACACTTACTAGAAGATGTTTCATGCTTAATATCTAAACTAGCTATTTGGGTTTTTTCAAAGAAGATTTTTAAGTTTTTGCCAAACACATATAAGGAAAATCAATGACCCCCGGGGCGTGGCCAATTTTGACCTCAGGGCTTTTATTTGAACAAACTTTGTAAACACCCATTAGAACATGTTTCATGCTAAATATCTTAGCTCTAGCTCTTTGGGTTCTTTAAAAGAAGATTTTTTAAGTTTTTACTATATGCATATAGGGAAAATCAATGACCCCCTGGGGCGGGGCCAATTTTGATCCCAGGGCTTTTATTTGAACAAACTTGGTAGACACTTATTAGAAGATGTTTCATGCTAAATATCTTAGCTCTAGCTCTATGGGTTCTTTAAAAGAAGATTTTTTAAGTTTTTACTATATGCATATAGGGAAAATCAATGACCCCCTGGGGCGGGGCCAATTTTGACCCCAGGGCTTTTATTTGAACAAACTTGGTAGACACTTATTAGAAGATGTTTCATGCTAAATATCTTAGCTCTAGCTCTATGGGTTCTTTAAAAGAAGATATTTTAAGTTTTTACTATATGCATATAGGGAAAATCAATGACCCCCAGGGGCGGGGCCAATTTTGGTAGACACTCACTAGAAGATGTTTCATGCCAAATATCTAAGCTCTAGCTCTTTGGGTTTTTTAAAAGAAGATATTTAAAGTTTTTTCTTTCGGTTGCCATGGCAACCAGATTTCTGCATGGAATTAAATTCTTAGAACAATTTATAAAGGTGACCACCAAAGGAACATTCCTGTGAAGTTTGGATGAAATTGGCTTAGTGGTTTATGAGGAGATGTCATTTAAAGTAAAAGTTTACGGACGGATGGACGACGAACGAAAAGCGATCACAAAAGCTCACCCTGTCACTTTGTGACAGGTGAGCTAAAAAAAACAACATATGGTATAATGAAAGATTGCAAAGGAAAACAACACAAGAAATATGTGCAGTGAAAAAAGCAACAAAAATGTTTGACACAATAAAAGTGCATAAAAATATTTAGAAATAACCAAAACATTTTCTTTTAAAACCCTTTGCAATTCAGATTTCAGATTTTTAGGAGAAATACTAAAATCAGTAAAAACTGTTCTCTGTGCATCCGACGTCTTTATATATCCAAAGCAATATTTCTATCTTGTACAAAATCTCAACTTTAAGAAATTTTGTTAAAAGTCTGTTTTAGGTATGCAAACGCTAAATTATTGTTGTTATAATTTCACCTCTTAACATTATACAATCTTACTGAGGCAACATATAAATGTACTATATACTGTATACTGTATACTATATATCAACTGATAGTTGTAAATGATATGTCATAGGCAGATGTAAATAAATTTTAAAACAAAATCATATTCCAGTGATGAACAAATGCTTACTAAACCATAGTTACTGAAATCTGCACCTGACTCTATAATGTTTTCAATTTTGATCTTGAAATAGTTAATACTATACATTTATGTTGTGTAGTTTTGATATATGCAAAATCATTTTAATAACTACACAATTCCAGAGCTGTAAAGATTTTAACAAACCAAGTAGAAACCTGCACAAAAACCAATGCCAGTACAGATAAAGACAAGTAAAACAACTCTAAAACAACCTAACTGTCTTCATGTGATATCATTATAACTTACGAGTTTTTAATATTTTTTTCTTTTATACCATTAACTAGATAATGCAATATTATACAAAAGAGATTTTAGTTTTTCTTTGATTTAAATAGCAGGTGAAATGAAAGATTCCATTCATACTATCACCACAGCATCTTACCTTTACAAGAGGTAACCTTATAATCAATGGTTCAAGCTAGAAAATAAGTCTATATATAGTAACAAATATCCCAAGATAACAAACTCTTCCATTGTCAATATTCAATAACGAAAAATCACTATCGTATCGATTTTTTGGGGGTGAATGCCTTATTTACGAGACATTTTGAAATCAATGTTACACATGAAATAGCAATGCAATTGTCCATTCTTTATTGTATTTTTTCCTTGAAATTTCTAAAATACTTGAAAAGTCGATAAATATTTTAAGGACAGTATTATGTAGCAAATTATGAAGTATTAGCAAGACATACCATCTTTTTTAAGTATTCACAAATAACTTTAATTTGATGTTAAAATCATTTCATTTTTCATTCATATGCTTTTGCACAAAAAAACCCCAACAGTTTATGAGTTTGGTTTAAAGTAACAACATGACTGATTATACCATATGGTGAGTTTCAAACTAAACTGATTGATTTGAAAAAAAACCACTTCAATTTTAATATGTGCATAATTTCAGGCACAAACCAGTAATTGGGTATTAACACAAGCAGGATGGATAGGTTAGTATTAACACAAAATTGTCAATATTTACAGTAGAACTCATATTGACATGGTATACAAGAAGTTTTAATAATAATAATATTATGATCAGATCTGATTATGATAAGCTGTGGAATTGTAGTAGTAAACATTTAAAAGAGTTATTATTTCAATTGGCAGAATTTGACATGCTTGTTGCAAAATTTTAAAAGTTAATAGATGTTTGTTGCAGGAAAAGATAATCTAACTAAGTTGATTTCACAGCTACATATCTAATCACTGCAATCAGTTACTACTATTGACTACATTTTTACAGCTTTAATGACTTACCCTATCTAAACCATACATTTTACGCATTTTCATGGCTCGAGCACGAGCCTGCTTTGACCTTCGACCCGACACCTGGCTTTGAATACCAGACATTTTTGACTTTGGGGTTGGCATAGGCACATCAGGACTCCTGCAATGGTGGAATTTCTAATTTCAAAGAATTTGTGAAATAAACTATTTATATTCGCACTTGTGTAAAATTATATAAAATAGTACTATGACAAAACATTCAAGTTTTAATGATAACATACAGGCAATATATTATATAAGAAACAAAATTCTTTGATTTACTTAAAGATTATAAAATGTTTCAAGCAAGTAGACTTGTCAGCATCAATTCTGTTTGGGGCACTGATGATAACATGTGGCTGGAAATGTGTGAACTGAATGACAAATTGACAAGCTTATTCCAATATACCCCCAGGCCAACTTTCTTGTGACAGAAAAAGTAAGATAAAAATAAAAAATCTGACCTCATTTCTGAGACAGCTCGAATATGTTGTATCTGTATATCTTGGGTCAAAGGTCGTGTGACTAGGAGAGGAATTTCATCTCGTAAACGAGGGGTCATTCGTTGATTAAACAAGAAATCTACTATATCATAGAATATTGTATATCTAGGTAAAACTGAAATGAAAAAAAGAGAGAAGAAATTATGTTTATAGCATGTATCAGCCAAGTATTTATCAACTAAATATAAGTATATTAAAAAGCTAACTTAATATTCTAAATTGAAATTAATACATACTGAAACATGACTTTGTAGTAATGTTTTCAAAATGGTTTTTTCTCCATTAGGTCACACAAGATTTATTTTATTTGGTTTTAAGCTCATATGGCAATTTTCCAGCTTTCCAGGTGGAGGAAGACCTCAAATGCCCCTCTATGAATCATTTTAGGCACAAGCGAGCACCTTGACAGGTCCACCAACCTTATGTTAGCTAGCTGAATAGCTTTCTCATAAGAAAGAATCCCAAATGTCTGGCACAATTCTCTACCCACAACAGCAGGCAGATAAAGGTTCAAAGTCATAATCCTTAACCAATTGACAAAAGGAGGCCAAAAGTCACAAATTAAGATATTAAGTTAAGCAGGCTCCAACTAGTAGCTTCATTACAAGAATGTCACAACTGGTTAAAAGGCTCACCAGGGTTTTACTGAAAAGATTAATATGAATTAATATTTTTGTTTGTTTACCTTTTCGCATATCAAAAGGCACAGGAGATTTGATTAAAAAAAGAACTAACATTTATGAACAAAGTTCAAAAATCTATTTTACCATCTAGTGTTAGTTTTCTCCAGTAATTTTCTTTGCCGCCCATCTTTGCAGGAGATTCATCTATGTTTGTTAAGTACTGAAAAATAATTGTTCTTCATTAAGTATTGCATTTTAGATGCAGATTTATTTTAAATGATGTGTGGGGTCGAAATGAAGGTGGGAAGGATATTTTCTTCTTCTTTATACATGTACCACATAACATGAAAGCTGTCACAGGGATTTCATGCTCGATTTATTCTCAGTGATTAACAGCAAAATATGATAGCCAAACATGATGGCCAATATAATAACCAAACACGATAGCCAAACATAATGGCCAAACATGATGGTCAAACATGATGGCCAAATATAATAACCAAACACAATAGCCAAACATAATGGCCAAACATGATGGCCAAATATGATAGCCAAACATGATGGCCAAATATAATAACCAAACACGATAGCCAAACATAATGGCCAAATGTATAGCCAAACATGGTAGCTGAACATGATAGCCAAACATGATGGCAAAACATGATAAACAAACATGATGACAAAACATGATAGCCAAACATGTTCGCTAAAATAATATTTCTTTTTTTTTCACTTGGTTAAACTTTTAAGGTCAAACAAAATATTAAGACAGAAAGTAATGTTATGACCTTACGACCTAACATCATAATACAATACTTACTTGCATATAGTCTTTAAGTGTGGTGACATCTATTTCATCTGTAATTTTATAACGTTTTTGAAACATTGCATCCTGTAACATCTGATCATAAAACTGACGATTGCCCATCAACTTGAGGGAATCTTCAGCAGCCTAATAAAATAACAAACAAAATATTCAATGTTAAATTTCTAAAAAAAAGCTTTGGTATATTTCCCTTCTTATTTATAAAACCAAGATAATACACAAGTTTAAGTTAGTGAGGAGCATTTAAATACCTTACAGCTTTCCGATTAACTTCTTAATAAAGATAAGGTTGACTGTAATATACACTATAGATGAAGCTTAAAACATTTACACCCTGAATTGGTGTATTGGACTGGTCCTACTTAAAATCTGGACCTGTCCATTATTGATTTGAGGGTTTTTGACATAAACAGGCTAAAAAGTGGTGGTGGTGTTGGTAGTTTTCACTCCCGATCACGACAGTAAGCCACACTGAATTTACCAGAGTTCAATTCAGCCATTGCATCATTCCTAATAAGGATGTCAAGCAGGAAGACAGAGGCTAAAAATCAAAGTGAATTGTATTTATATAGCCTGGTCATTCTGCAAGAGAGTGCAGGCCTGGCTGGCACTATACTGGGGCATAGGCCAGTAATTTTCTTAAAAGGGTTAAACACTTACACCAGTTGCAGGTTTGATCACTCGTTTTCCACTAAGGTATTTTACACCTTTGCCATCTGAATGCAAGAAGACTTTGAAAAAAATCATTGGTGGAAACTCTCCGCCTCCAAACCTGTATCATATAAGATAACACATTAACTAGGCAAGTCATTATATAAATAAATTGTATCATTCTTGAATTTGATTTAAAATTTGTACTATACAGGTTAAAAACAACTGCTAAATGAGTACATATTTTTCTTTTTATATGCATGCAGTATTTTCATCATTTGAAAAACACATTTTTTTAATTTGCTTTCAGACTGCTATAGACAGACCAAAGACATTTTTAGACAGGCAGATCCACTGGCCTTCCTCACAAGCTCTTGTAAGCCATGCACCATGTTGTTGAATTTTATGATGCAGGTAACTTTCCAGCTTTACTGGTGAAGGAAGACTCAGGTTACACTTTGTGAATTATTTCAGGCTCAAACAAATACTTGAGTAGAAACATTGACTTCTGTTAGCTACATGTAGCTGGATGTAGCTTTTTCAAATGTAAGAATTCAAAGACACTTGCTAGGATCAAACCTACATTGGCGAGAGGCAAGTGATTTGAAGTCAACGACCTTAACCACTCTGCCACAGACTAGTGTTTTTTTTTTTTAAATTCTCATAATTGTTTCTGCCTTATTGGATGTATGATATAACCCTCTTAATTAACAAGAGCTGTCGGTAGGACAGCAACGCTCGACTATTCTAGTGCTTGATAGTAAACAATAATGCTTGATAGAGTTACCTACTCCTGTTTACAGGTTGGTGACATGATGGTGAACAAGTATGCAAAGTTTCAAAGCCATATGTCTATGGACTTTGAAAATATTTGAACTATTACAAAAACTTTAACGTAAATTCTAAGTCGAAAAAGGGGCATAATTCTGTCAAAATGCTTGATACAGTTACCTCCTCCTGTCTACAGGTGGGGGTCATGATGTTGAACAAGTGTGCAAAGTTTCAAAGCCATATAACAATGGACTTTGAAAATATTAGAGGTATTACAAAAACTTTAACATAAATTCTAAGTTGAAAAAGGGGCATAATTCTGTCAAAATGCTTGATAGAGTTACCTCCTCCTGTCTACAGGTTGGGGTCATGATGGTGAACAAGTGTGCAAAGTTTCAAAGCCATATGTCAATGGACTTTGAAAATATTTGAACTATTACAAAAACTTTAACATAAGTGGTTACGCCGACGCCGACGCTCGGGTGACTACAATAGCTCTACTTATTCTTATCGAATAGTCGAGCTAAAAAGAAAACTTATCTTTGAAGCAATACAGAAAGATTTGATATTTGACACAAAGACAAAAAGATAATCTGTGAAAATATACAAACCTGAATCTAACTCTTATTTGAGAACATTTGTCATTTAGAAACTCAGCTTCTTTGGGAGCAACCTTTCTTAATATCTCCTGTGACAAAGAATTCTCCTGTAAAAGAACATTCACATGTGGCCCATTAAGTTCAACACAATAAATGGCTTTTAAAAAGGGTCAGCAAATTATATTTTCCTTACTCTTTTATTTGTTATATATTTATGTATATATTATTAGTTATAAAGATTGTTGACAGGTTATATGGCCCTATATAAACAGCTATTTGTAAATATAACCCGAGCCCATAGGCGAGGGTTATATTGCAAACAGCTGTTTATATACGGCCATATAACCTTTCAGCAATCTTAATAACGAATTTATAATACAGCAAGCATCATTTTTTAGAGAAAAAGTAAGGTTTCTTTATGAATCGACAACAGCCGTGTATATAAAACTAAATATACATCACGATTATCCAATGAAAAGCGACATTACAAACGTGCAGCATTATAATATTGACTATATATTATACAAATATGGACTTTTTAGCTGTTGAATATGATGTGATATGTACTGAAAAAATTAATATTGACCGAGGCGAAAGCCGAGGTCAATATTAATTTTTCAGTACATATCACATCATATTCAACAGCTAAAAAGTACATATCTGTTTTATTATATAATTTATAAATAGCTTTTATATGGCTTATCACATCTGCCATTGCATACAACGGAAATCATTATTTTTAAGCTTGTCTACTGTTTCTATAATTTGGCTCTTTCCATTAGCATGCTAATCGCTATTGTTCTTAAAAATGTAAAACGGTAACTAAAATAGACTAATTTGACTGTTATGTACACTCCACTTAAAAGTTGTTTTTTTTCCAGAATAATAACAACAAACTTGGCATGACGTCACGTCAAAGTCTCGCTTCTTTTAGGGATTTCCAAAAAATCTATTTTTAGAAGAAAAAGCGGTGACTATACTCTGAAAATCAATTTTTAGGAAAAAAAACAGTGAATATACTCTGATATTGACCTGTTATTTTCTACAAAAAGTTGCTTGTTAGCCAATCAGGGAAAGGCATTTCAAAGCTATTTATAGATTATATAATAATATTTTTTATCTTTTCACATAAGCGATAAAATATAATACTATAAATATACATGGCTCAAATTAATGTAATTTTTAACTTATTCTGTGAATACATAGCAAATACACACAGTACATCTTTGTGTAAAATACTTTTATTTCAGAAATTTATTGAAATCTAGAAAATTCTTCCTGAATATGTATAATTTTGATACGTAAATGTATAAACCATGTTTGGAAAGCTGTGGTGTGTAAAGTTAAAAATGTAACATATTTTCTCTGTTTGTGTTCAAAAGATAATTATTTTACATTTCAAGAGACTGTAAACATGGTAAAGTAATTATCAGAGTTTTCAAATATCAAATTTCAGCATAATATATCTGTAATATTTTATCTAGATCTAAGAATATATACTGTGCCTTTGTTTTGACTCATCATTATTAATTATATTATTTTTCTACAATATCAACAACAAATGATTTGGATACATACAGCTGCACAGACAGCATGTTTTAGTAGTTTAAACATCTGCCTATCTCTGTAACCAATCCATGCTTTCTCTATAATAGATGCTGCAGCATGTCGGATCATTCTAAAATAACGAAACCAAAATCATATAAAAATAATATTCAGTAGAAAACAAAACAAAAATCAAATATTAAAGATATTCATTAGCATGAATGTATTAAAAATTTAATATTGTTTATTTATATAGTTACAATTTCACTGTAATGTTTACTTATAGACCTGACTTTTTGGTATTTTCTTATTCAATGAATAGTACGTTCAAAAAAAGATAAATACATGCAAATAAGCAAGCATGTTCTAAATAATTGAATAGTATTCTCACAGACTTAATACATGTATAATATTGTAAATTTTCAATACACTTATTGTTTATTGTCTAGGAAATCCGCATGATTAATTACACTGTATTTCAATACAGGTGCTGATGTAATTTTCTAACCACAAAATTCCTTAATATGAAAGATATATTTTGAATGTTTTTAATATTAGGCAATTAAGCTTCTCTGATATGTCTGTAATAAAACGGTTATGTGAAAAAAAGACATCATTATATTAAGCCTTCATAGAAATGTTGGGCGTCCTTGGCCGAGTGGTTAAGCTTGCTCACTTCAAACCACTTGCCCCTCACTGCTGTGGGTTCGAATCCCAACAGGGACTTTGGATTCTTTCATGTGAGGAAGCTATTCAGCTAGCTTACAGAACATCGTGGCTCTATTCAGGGAAGGGCATCTGAGGTCTTCCTCTACCATTAAAGCTGGAATATTGCCATATGACCTGTACTGTGTCAGTGTGATGTAAAACAAACTATCTTAGAAATGAAATATTTTTATACTTATAAACATGAAACTTAAACAGCCGACAGCTGTTTATTTTCAACATCAGTCAAATGTACACATGTATAAACAAGTATATAAAGAAAAGAGAAAATCAAAATTAAATTTTACTCTTTCTCTGTTAAGACTGGCTGTCTGAGATGTTTGCCGGGTGTAGGACTTCTGTGGTGGTCTCCTTCTTTTGAACTGATCGGTGTTGTTGTAATATGTCTGTACTGTCCGAACTCTTGCCCTTCAAGGGTGGCCACGAATTCTCCTGTCAGTGCGGGGACGGATGGTGACTTTCTTGAATCATACTAAAGAAAACAAACATCAATTAAACAAAATTAGTTCATAAAAAGAAATGGAAATAGAAGGACTTTGAAAGTTCAAACTGAAGGACTTTCCTCTATAAAGAAAATATTTAACATATAAATTGAGAAGGCTTGAAAAGACATGAAGATTCGATGTTACAAAGTTAAAATCTTCATTCCAGGGAACCTGTTCACCTCACATTCCTTGTCAGATTTTCTAAGATTTATTTTAATCCTAACAAGAGGGCCATAATGGCCCTGAGGTCGCTCACCTGTACATAGGCCCACCCAACCCCCCCCCCCCCCCAACGTTGCAGGGCCAATTTAACCCAAGGGCTTTTATTTGCACAAACTTGGTAGACACCCATAAGAAGATGTTTCATGCTAAACATCTAAGCTCTAGCTTAGATTTTTTTAAAGTTTTTTACTATACACATATAGTTAAAAACAATGACACCCCTGGGGCCGGGCCAGTTTTGACCCCAGGGCTTTTATTTGAACTAACTTTGTAGACACTTACTAGAAGATGTTTCATGCTTAATATCTAAACTCTAGCTATTTGGGTTTTTTCAAAGAAGATTTTAAGTTTTTGCTATACACATATAAAGAAAATCAATGACCCCTGGGGCGGGGCCAATTTTGACCCCAGGTCTTTTATTTAAAGAAACTTTGTAGACACTCACTAAAAGATGTTTCATGCTTAATATCTTAACTCTAGCTATTTGGGTTTTTTCAAAGAAGATTTTTTAAGTTTTTGCTATACACATAAAAGGAAAATCAATGACCCCAGGGGCGGTGCCAATTTTGACCCCAGGGCTTTTATTTGAACAAACTTGGTAGACACCTATAAGAACATGTTTGATGCTAAATATCTTAGCCATAGCTCTTTGAGTTCTTTAAAAGAAGATTTTTTAAGTTTTTACTATATGCATATAGGGAAAATCAATGACCACCCAGGGCGGGGCCAATTTTGACCCCAGGGCTTTTATTTGAACAAACTTGGTAGACACCTATTAGAACATGTTTGATGCTCAATATCTTAGCCATAGCTCTTTGAGTTCTTTAAAAGAAGATTTTTTTAAGTTTTTACTATATGCATATAGGGAAAATCAATGACCCCCGGGGCGGGGCCAATTTTGACCCCAGGGCTTTTATTTGAACAAACTTGGTAGACACCCATTAGAACATGTTTCATGCTAAATATCTTAGTTCTAGCTCTTTGGGTTCTTTAAAAGGAGATTTTTTAAGTTTTTACTATATGCATATAGGGAAAATCAATGACCCCCCGGGGCGGGCCAATTTTGACCCCAGGGCTTTTATTTGAACAAACTTGGTAGTCACTCACTAGAAGATGTTTCATGCCAAATATCTAAGCTCTAGCTCTTATGGTTTTTTAAAAGAAGATATTTAAAGTTTTTTCTTTTGGTTGCCATGGCAACCAGAGTTCTGCATGGAATTAAATTCTTTGAACAATTTTTAAAGGTGACCACCAAAGGAACATTCCTGTGAAGTTTGGATGAAATTGGCTTAGTGGTTTATGAGGAGATGTCATTTAAAGTAAAAGTTTAAAGACGGACGACGGCCGGACGCCGGACGAAAAGCGATCACAAAAGCTCACCCTGTCACTTTGTGACAGGTGAGCTAAAAATACACCAAGCAATATATGTGTATTTGTAAATACATGAAATGAATGATATGAATTTACTACAAGTATATTTTGATCCTTAATGATAATCTCTGAAACAAACAAAGGATTTTGGCATTTTTCAAATTCAAAACAGCACAAATTCAGCAAGGTGAAAAGTAAATCAGCAAGATAAAGGTTAACCCATAACCTGCTGGAACCAAAAGTGCTAAGTAGGAGGGAAACAATTTCTCGCGATCTGCTGAACCACAAGTTCAAAGTGCTGAAATTTTGATTCTCAATTCATTCATGACAGTATTTTGATTCGATTTGTCACCATTTCTGCAAAATTATCTTCTTTCTGATATTAAACAAACATTTTCTAAACAAGCATTTCTTTCATTGGTAACACATTCTTCCTTATCCAATCAAACGCCTGTAATGTAAACACTAAAATGTGTTGCTTAGAAAATGGAAGACAAACCACAAACTGTTGATGCTCTTGGGTCATCAATATTGAGTGTCTTTCAGGGTAGCTAAATACTGTTATCTAAGTATTCCCTTACAGAAAAAATCATGATAACAATATGCGATGGCCTGGGTAATCAAATCAAAATTAATTGAATCACAAAGCAATAACTGACAATGGAATCTGAACAAGAGAAAGCTGAATCATTGCACACCTTATTTGATAAGCTTTTCCAAGACCAGCCTATACATCTGTGCAGAATAAGCCCAGGCTTTTAAGTATTGGCTGCTCACATTTTGTATTTTCACTTTGAAATTCATTAAACATCAAATGGACTGTTCCAAATTCAAAGCAGGGCTTGAAATCCATTACTCAAATTCAGCAGGTTTAGGGTTAAATTAAAGTGATGATTACCTGTAAATGAGCTGGTGTCCTCCTCTGACCTGGACTTCCAGCATTTTTTCTTTTCTCCTCTGCACCCTGAGCTGATGGTAGTTTAACATTTATAGATGTTTTACTTGCTGTACTCTTTGCATCAGCATTTTTACCCTCAGGAGAGTCTGGAAAAGATATTTTAAGGATCTAATAAATTAAACTTTTAAAGAAATAAAAGAATCAAAATTCATTTATATGATAGCACTGTAAGCACACTACAAAAGGAGTCCAGACACATATTGATCAACTGTACCTTAAGGTATTCAGCTTACATGTTTTAGTGTTTATAAACTATGACATGACATGAACACTGAAGACAGACCTGTTGGGAAAGTCCATCAATAATCGTGCCAGGATTCTGACATGCTCGTATTCACCCATCGAACATGCCACGAAGTAAAGTGAAGCATACCTTGATAAAACTGTGTATAATCTGTTAATAAGCCAAGGATGGACATATAAAAAACTTTATGCGAACATAAAACTACCTAAATGTAATAGTTTCCGAAACGTAAAAAATTCAGCTCTTGGCCGCCATATTGCCAGTAAAAAATTCAGATCTTGGCCATCATAATGCCAAAATGTTTGACCACGTGATTACGAGATTGACCTTAACAGTTTAATTTGCGCAGACAATTAAGAAAACAGAACCCATGTACTTCTAACTTTAATTACTTAAAATAACTTTTTTAAAGATATTAAAAATATGATATACTGACTTTTGTATTCAATATAATTTCATCTAAGTACTAAAAATTAAAGAAAATAAATAAAAATTATATTGAATAATAAATATTGAAATCATGTAAACAAAGATGTTCTAAATATAGTACATGACTCTACTCTACTCGGTTCTGCGAATTACGTCATATGAGGTCTCAAGTACCTCCTTAACAGTGATTTTCCTGCTTATATAACAGACTCCGATAAAAGGCCTCTTCCCAATTGAAATTTTCTTTAAAATCATGCAGTTTTCCCAAAAATCTGAACTTGAACCTGCTTTTTTACTTCACAAATTAGTAATTTTAGTGATATATCTTCCTAAAATCATGTGGCTAAGGCATCTTCCAAATTAAGTGAGAAAAATCACTGCTTAAATCATGGTCGGCACAATTGATATTTCACAGTTAAATATGCAATTTATATGACGGCAATAATGATTTGATATTTTAAATGGTATAGATCGATATTAGAATAATTGTTTTTATCGCAAAATGCTAAGAATTATTTGGGACAAGGGTATTTGCAAATGAAATATAAGGTCAGTCAACATATGTTATTCTGGTTAGGTTTCGTAATGGGTCTAATCTAAAACTTTAATTCCGCATCAGATGAAAAACAAAAATGTAAAAAAGCGGCTTATAAAAAGTTTTGGAGGCCAGAACTAGATCATGGAGCTAAAAATATAGAGGGAGAAGAATAACTGTGACGTCACAGTTAAATTAAGTATCGACGGATTTTTGTTAATGCAAGTTATCATATGTTGCAGGATTTTCCGAGATTTGATGCATCCTGGGTAAAAGTAGCCAAAATACTGCCATATTGTCTTTATTGAATTCCCTGAGGTACATTGACAAAAAAGAACTAAGCATTTTCTACTTATATAAGAAGCAATAATTATTTTTTCTAAAACGTACAATACACACTTTTCCACACAAATATTTCTTTGATGAAAATCCATGTCGGCAATGTAAACAATAGTTCAAGGATATCGCAGAAGTTTAACAAGAGCGCGAGAATCGGAGACTAGCGGGAAACCCCGATTACCACCAAAGCATGCAAAGGATTGTGGATCTTAATCTGACTACCGTCTATTTTCGGAGCTTCCTATCCGTTGTATATATTTCTGTGACTAGATCAACTGTTACAAATTTATGAATTATTTGATTTAACTTGTGTTTACTTATTGCTTTACATATCTACTTTCAAACAGAAATACTGCTTTTGTTATTTTTCCAATTTCAGATTCCAAGTACACTGACCATTGTTATATTAAAATCTTATTATCCAATTTTCTTCTAACGTTGCATAAAATGGGGCGAATCGTGAATGGGACGAATCGTTATTATTACGTGTTTTGAGTGAATAAAACCTTATTTTGATGTTACCATAAAACTTACCCATAGTTTTTTTTAAAAAAAAATATGGAATATATTGTTTCACATATCTTTTCAAAGATGTGATTGTCAGAAGAAAGAGGAAATCAACTTTTCATGCAGTCTTGTATTGGTCTCCAGTGAAAACAAATGGCGACTTCCGTAGTTATTTTCCCGAAATGCTTTAAGTATATTTCCGCTCATGCGCGATACGAAAATTCCATTCGTAGCTGTCTGCTTGAGTTGAGAATAAGTTTGTTTTCATATTTTCAACTGTGATAGTTGAAAATATTCATAGGATTTCATTGTTACTGTTATAGTGGATAATTTAGAGCCATGAGGCTCAAAACTAATTTGCAGAAAGAACCGAAACATATCCTTTTGCAATTCAAATATTGAATGCGTTTTTACAGAGTAAAATTTACCCCACCCACTTGACAACTCTGTAAACAACCGTTATTTTATCGTTTTTCTCTAAGTCTTTGTTGAACTATTGGTAAATTATCTAGCGTTTTCCTTACTTGCACCATCCATGAACATATATCATATTGAGGTAAAAAAATTTTAAATATGAAATAATATGGCAGAATAATTCAGTTGATATTCGATAATTGTTTTAATTTTTGTGAAAGAGAATAAATCATAACATGAAATTAGGCAAAGCCTATGCTTCTACTTCTATGTTGAACTCGTCTGTAAATCCGCTGTGCAGACATCAGCAACGAGTGGTGATGTGAAATGTGCTCCATAAAACGTGAGCTAAAAACCTGTCCCCCCATGTGCGGCACCAGGCGTTCGAGTAAAAATAATGTGAAAACGTAGTGTGAAGTAAAATCCAACATGTTTGTACACTATACACGATGTTTAATAATTTACACATATAAGTATGACTGGACAGCAGTTTTAAAACTGTCCAGATTGTCCACAGTTGTGATGTTAGCTGGTAAGTTGTGCCAATAAGGTACAATTCTTGGAAAGAATGAATGTTTGTACGCATTAAGTCTGCAGTGATAAGTGACGAACTTTACCGAGTTTGTGTATCTTGTTGATAGTTGTGGGTGGTATTCAACTGGTACAGCCACCAGGTCAGGGTTCGAATTTAAGCTGGCATACTGGCAAAATGCCAGTTAAAATCTAATAATGCCAGTAAAAATTACTCTAGCTGGCATTTATTTGCAAGTGATTGTTCAATTTGTACGTTTACATAATTTTTTATCTTCTGAGCTGATGATGATGCTTGGCAACTGCCCCCTGCTGTAACTGATGACGTTTACCTTAAAAAACTTATATTTTATATAAATCAATTTTCGATTGCTCTATTTTTTTTCTGTGACTATATTTTGATGGAATTTTTATAGCAGCTAAACACTTTTGATTAGAGCATCCAAGATGGGTGTTCCTAGATGGTTCCTATGGTTTCGTTACAAAAAGAGGTCTGTGTATATTCGTGATAAAGATGTTTCTGATATTCAATAGACATCGAGCTTATTATCATTTGTCATATCAGATGATCAAAATACATTGTCATTCATGATTGTCTATAAAGTATAATAATAATAATAATAATACATGTAATAATAATAATAAAATACATTATCATGGAAATGCTAGTTGACTACCTCATATTGCCAGTTAAACATTTGATCACTTGCAAAAATCTGCAAGTAGAAAATCTTGCTAAATTCTAACCCTGCAGGTTATTAAACACTTTATACATGAGAATTAAGTCCGCACACTGACGACGTTGTTCAAGTGTTGGCCATTTTAGGTCGTGTACATGTAGCATTGATGTTACGCTAGATGGATTGTTACGATTGAATGGTTTATTCATGACGAATCTTGCCGCGTTCCGTTGTATTTGTTCAAGTTTCTTTGATGTATTAAGTTGTTGGGGATTCCAAATTAGTGACGCATATTCCAGTTTAGGTCGAACCAAAGTTTGATAAGCTCTTTCTTTTACTGTGGTCGGGCAATGTTTTAAGTTCCGTTTGATGAAACCAAGAGTACTAGAAGCTTTTGCTGTGATTGAATCGATGTGTAGGTTGTATTTCATAGTATCTGCTAGTTCAACTCCCAGATATGGATGATATTTAACAACATGTAGTGATTGATTTTTCATTTTGTAGTCAAATACAGATTTGTTACGTTTATTTGTTATAGACATGGTTGCACATTTATCGACGTTAAATTCCATTTGCCAGATATTACTCCAATCAACTAAAGTGTCCAGGTCTTTTTGTAAAATATTATGATCTTCACTGGTGAGTATGGGTCTATAAATTACACAATCGTCAGCAAATAGGCGAATTGATGACTTTATATCCGAAGCGATGTCGTTAATATACTGTAAAACACTTATTTTTCGCGATAACCTTATTTCGGGAATTTAAGGCAAAATGTCCAAAATAATTATTTCGCGTCAACATGAATTCGCGTCTTCCCGAAAAATGTGAAACCGGAAACCCGATGTCATTCAGATATTTTCTGTCCCGTCCGTTCACTAACTTAGCGTCGTTTATTGTGCGACTAATGCATTTATATCTGTATCAATTTTCTGATAGCTTGCTAATCTTCTTGTTAAGTCTTAAAATATGCCAATAAAATTTGATAATTATTTGATATGTGTTCACTGTGTAATTTGCCTAACCTATAGTAAACGATTATGTTCACCCTCCGGCTTAAACTGTAGTACAATACAATAGGATACAATAAATAGAAATGTTACAAACAACTCGCAGGTGCTAAAGTATTTGTACCAAATACCAAAACAGTTATTCTGAAAATCGTATTTTTGGGGGGTTTTTTCAGGTACATTAAGAAGGTGATTGTACCTTATGTGGGGACTAAAATTAAAATTTTGTGAGACGCTTTAATTTGTTTATACTTAATTCTAGTGCAAGTCACTGTTACCTTCCTTGACACAGGTAATATGCAGCGAAGAAGTTTTTTTCCATTTCCTCAATAATACCAAATTGTTACAGGTAAATATTTCATACCAGTAATCTGTACGATATGTATATGCTGCAATACTTGAATAGCTACATTATGTAACTAGAACTGGTTTCGATAATTTCCCGCAGATATATATCCATGTGTACGCATATTCGGATAGTGTTCATATTTGGACAAGTGTATAGACAAAGTGAAATATTCGCGAGAAATATGAATTTGCGTCTTAGAAAACTCGCGAATATTAGCGAAAATAAATTTCTCGCGAACAATAAGTGTTTTACAGTATAGTAAAAACAATGCAGGACTAAGCACGGTTCCCTGGGGCACGCCAGATGATACCAGTGACGGTCTTGATGATTCTCCGTCTACTACTACTCGTTGATAACGACCATTAAGGAATTCATTAATCCACAAGTTGGTTTCATTACATATACCATAATATTGCATTTTCACAGAGAGACGCTGATGTGACACTTTGAGTCAAGCACCGCCATATCAACCTGGTGACCAAGATTAACACTACGAGCAATGTCATCTGTAGTTAATGAACTGGGAAGTCGTTAAAAATTCCTTTCATTCTTTCCGTTTTAAAGGTGTCATTCGGTATTACATGCACCGCTTCCGTTTTCACTCGGAATACTCGACGATTATCATTTATCCGAAAAGTTGAGATTTGTTCCGTTAGTGGAATACCCCGCCTATTATCATTGAGTTACATTGTAAATGGCGGCGCCCGACTAGAACTGACACTGAAAATTTCATTGATAGGTATAGAATTCTATATATTTTTAATTGTTTTTTATTTGATTTTCTTTTAAATATACACGTGTAGTCTATAGCCGGGCAAGCCAAAGCCCGGACCCGCTTCACGGCCCCGGTCTTTGACTTCCCCGTATTAATCATGCTAGAACAAGCAACCAAACTAAAATTAGCTGTATTTCACATAATGGAAATTTAAAGCTGTACTTACTTTTTGCAAACATTGTTTTATTTAAAGATTTTTTTAAAGGGATGATTTTGGACATTACTATCTTTCTCACTCTGTTGAGCTACGATGACTAACTATTTTAGTCGGTCAAAATCCAGGGCAAGTACATTTTGTAAAAGGTGCTTATATTTGTTGGGTGGGTGACACTACAAAAATTCTTCGAGGCCTGATAATTCTAACATTATCCATTTCATTTTGTCATCTTAAGCAAAAAGCATCAACATTTCCTGAATTGATATCACTTGTTTAAATTCCTTGACAAATCATACATGCTGAACTTGTAAGTTGTGTTGGATGGACAACTCCAGAAGAACTGTTCTCTGGGGCAGATGACCATATTATACTGAAGTGGAATCTTATAAATAATGAAACAACTTCATTAGTGAAACTACCAGAGGATGTTTTCCCTACAGATATGCACTGGTTTCCTAAGGCAGCAACTGGTGGGGGAAAGAAAGCTGGGTCTGATTTATTCTGCCTGACATCTACAGATGGTAAGTTCACTTTTGAAGGAATTTCACTTTATTGACATATAAATTTTGTGTACATTTGTAATCACAATGTTTGACAGATTACAATCACAAAACTTTGTTTTTGTGTATTAACTAATTTCTGCTGCACTTGTTCTTTAAGCGTCTGAAATGGTGCATTGAGCCAGAGGAATGTATAGTTAGGCTTGCCACTATAGGATAAACTTAGATAATTGATTGTGTGAATTTAATGTTTAAGAAAGTATTTAAATACTACATGTACATGTAAATAGATTGAAATGAGATCTACATCTATTAAAATTGTGTTGCTAAGATTTTCATTATTAGACACTATATTAAATAGCACTTGTTATTCCAGGAAAGTTTCATTTGATCGGTAAAACAGGACGAGTTGAGAAAAGTGTTGAGGCACATAAAGGTGCTGTGTTATCTGGCCGCTGGAGTTACGATGGATCTGCATTACTGACAGCTGGGGAGGATGGACAAGTTAAAGTTTGGTCACGCAGCGGCATGCTTAGATCAACACTCACTCAAAACAGTATGATTCTCTTCTGTTTTCTCTTATTTCTAATGTCATTCAGCAATTTGCCATTGTTTTAAGCCATTTGTAACATAAATATACAAAACAAACTAGAATAAAGTATGATATTAATTATATGGTAACAATACAAAAAAAGTTTGCTTGGCACAAAGGTTTGCCTCTAAGCTGGGAAGTCTTTCATCCCTATATCAGCTTAATTTGTAAGATGGATTTGCTTTGTTGTTAATTTGGAACAGTTTAAAGTTTAAGGGATTTAATTTCATTTAAATATCAAAATTTAGCTACCAACAAAATAGAACCTGGTCAACCCTGCAGGTGGAAAAATCACTTTCAGTTCCAGCAGGTTCAGAGTTAATGGCTTTGACATGAACAAATTTCGCAGTAACTTATAGAAAAATATGATATTGCTGTATATATTGAGTTCTGATTCTCTTTCATTACTGCACTAATTAGTTGATATTTTCACTGATGAAAATATATGTCAAGCTCTTTCATGATTTAGTTTCTCATTTTCAGGTACAGCCGTGTATGGAGTGGCATGGGGGCCAGATTCTGACCAAGTTCTGTTTACAAATGGCCGACAACTTGTGATAAAATCTCTGCAAGCAAATGCGAAACCAACAATGTGGAAAGCACATGAAGGTGTTATATTACAAGTAGACTGGAACCCAGTAAATAATCTCATTCTGTCTGGAGGGGAGGACTGCAGATACAAGGTGAACCAAATTGCCTTACATCTTAACTTGTACTATAGAGGTTTGAAAAATATTGGCCTATTGGGTAGACTATGCTTCTCACTGTTCAAGGAAGATAGCTGTCATTTACACATATGAGGTTTAAGTTTTCAGGAAGTTTATTAAATAAAAAGCTTACTCCTGGGTAAAATGTTTCAGGAAAATTAATCAAATCTAGAAAATTGAGGAAATAACCACATTTTCACTGAAAGTCACACTACAAGTTGTTTCCTTTAGTTTACTTTGCATAATGTAATGTAACACATTAAGAGAATTAAAATTAATATGAAATTAGGCAAAGCCTATGAAAGGGGAAGTCGGTAAAAAAATCCTTTCATTTTTCCATTTAAAGGTGTCATTCGGTATTATATGTACCCACTTCCGTTTGTCCACTCGGAATCACTCGACGATCTATTAATAATCTGATAAAGGTTTGAGATTTTTCCGTTATTTGGTATACACCGCCTTTTATCATTGAGTTATATTGTAAATGCCGGCGCCTAACTAGAACTGGCACTGAAAATTTCATTGATAGGTATAGAATTCTTTATATTTTTTAATTGTTTTTTATTTGAATTTTCTTTTAAATGTACACATTTACTTCGCGGGCCCAGACTTTGACTTCCCCGTATTATTGGGAGAGAGAATCAGGTATTGTTAGCGGGATCATGGCCAAGTGGTTATGGTCATTGACTTCAAACTACTTGGCTCTCACTGCTGTAGGTTCTAGTGAGGCAATGTATGAGAAAGATCCAGCTAGCTTACAGAACGTTGGTGCCTGTTTGTGGCTGCAATAATGTACAGACTGGCACCTCAGGTCTTCCTCCACCAGTAATGGTGGCAAGTTGCTGTATGTTCTAAACTGTCTTGATGCGGAAAAAAAAATCATATATTCTATTTAAAAAAGTCGTTTAATAAAATTACAATGATTATCATGATGCACAGATGCTTTCACTGTTTTACTTGAGGACTCAATATACATGTAAAATATATAATCAACGAAATATTTTATGATTTAGGTATGGGACACATATAGCCGGTTAATGTACAGCAGTTCTGTACATGACTACCCTATAACATCTGTGGCATGGACTCCTGATGGTGAACTATTTGCTGTTGGCTCATTTAATACACTGCGACTGTGTGATAAAACTGGGGTATGTATATCTTTATATTCTGAAAATTAAGTTTCAAATGAAATTATTCTATTCACTCAGTATGTACAATTTTGAAATAACACTAATGTTTTACATATTTCTAAAGACCTAGGTGCATGTCTTTTTCTCAATCTTACAGGGTCAGACTATCTGACTGATTCCAATTGTTTTTTCCCAATCAGAGACAATAAATTTTTAATTCAAGAATAGAATACTGTTTAATCTGTCAATTTTATCCCAACAAGGCAAATTTTGTGGCTTAAATATTTCCATTTTTTTGTTGGAAGTAAATTTTTCTGGAAAAAAAGGTTTAAGACATTTGAGACAGATTTTATTCTCGTAAGTTGCATTTACATGTCTGAAACATAAAAGATTTTGTATTGAACGCTTTGCATAAAAAACCCATTGTAATTATTTTCCAATTTAATTTAGTGGTCGTATGCATTGGAGAAGCCTAATACTGGTAGTGTGTTCAAGTTAAGCTGGTCAAGTGACGGAACCCAAGTGGCAGGAGCTTGTGGGAACGGTCAAGTTCTCATTGGTCATATACTAGAAAGGTATGTCATTAATCTTAGCTATAAAACTGACTTTCTACCTCAATATTGAAAGAAGATAAGTGGTGGCTGGAAAATGACAACTTAACCATTTAGATTTTTTAAGCTTGATTATCAAGCATATAAAATTCATTTTTAGCTTGGCTATTTGTAGAATAGAGAGAGCTATTGTACCACTCAGGCATTGGCATAGCCATCGCACTTGGTGAAGCTGGTTGAGTATGACCTTCAAAACTACCAAAAGGAATGGGTTTAAATTTTACATGATAAAGATATGGAACTTTACACTCTTATTTGAGAGTATAAAAGGCGGTCAATGTCCAAGGCCCATAACTCTTAACATGGGTTTCAACATGATTATTACCCTTTTTGAACTTAAAAAATTTACATTACCCAGGCTCTTACACTAAGAATAGTTTAATTGTGTAATGTATCATTCAAGTTGGTTTGTTCATTTACAAATTTCTACATAATTTGATACAAAAATTCTTAAATTATGAAAAATATTCAAAGAAGTCATAAAATTTTGTAATTTGAAAATGTGGCCATAAATATATATTATATTTGGCTGTTCTTTCAATAAACTAAATCTGGACTTAAGAATATTTGTTTTTTTCCCAGCTTATCTGTAGATACAACAAACTTTTACAGCGTAAAAGGTTAACTAATCTATTGTGACGAGTAGTGTACCATGAATCTATAACTGTAAAAGTTTGTACCTATGTATTAGCTGGGATAAACCCACATTTGCTGAGTTCCAGATAATGTCTATTGTAATAAATGTATCACTTAGTAAGCTTATTTTAATGAATAAAGTCGTTGGCTATTAAATTACTAATTAATTATGTAAATTTATGTTTTACAGGAGATTAGAGTGGAATAATTTTGAAGCGACAGTTACAGAAAGTAAAAAGATAGTTGTGAGAAATGTACTGAACGAGACATATGATAAACTTGACTTCAGAGATCGTGTAATCAAAGCATCATTAGCATTTAATCACCTTGTTGTAGCAACATCGGCACAGTGCTATATATACAGGTTAGATCGTTATCTACACTTGCACTAACACCCACCTACCCAAACACCTTAAGTACATCCTCTTTTTCCAAAATGATTTGCTTTCGTACTGAGAAAGATTTGAGCAATGCAGAGGAATGGCAAAGGAATATATTTGTGTGTATTTTAATTTTATACATTTCTGCAAATGTTATTAGCTTCTAGAAAGGAATAACCTGACCCTTTGAGTGCTTTGGCAGAGCATTGATCCCTGGTTTGTCCTTACTGGACAAATTCAAAGTACACCACAAAATTATTCGTCTCAAAAACTTGATTACAATGGTAAATTCTTTTCAGCATTAAAGACGTTTTCGAGAGTTTTCATATAGACATATAAGCAGATAGAACAGTTTTAATTTTGCCTATATGTCTATATGAAAACTCCTGAAAACGTCCTTAAATACAGTTGAACTTCGGTAAGTCGAAGTTTAAGGGACTTGCGTCAAAACTTCGACACATCGGAACGTCAACTCATGAATCGCTCTCAATTCCATGACAAACCTGTGACTAGTCTATAACGAAACCTATTTCATGTTTTTTTCCATCATTAATCTGATATTCACATTTTACAATGATAAATATAGCATGTTAAATAACGTTTTTCACGGCTAATTATTTGCACTACCTGTTGACGTATACAATAGAGTTACAAAAGGCGTAACAATACGAAAGGGCGATAACTTAACCAACTTATAGTATATATTTCGCGTGTTATTCTCAAGCGACACCGGGTCAAGGATGTAATCAAATAAAAGTAGTTCTCACTGTTTACTTTCAAATACCACTACGGCAATTAAAATAGTAACGATTAAAGCATTTTATCACACATTTTATCGCAAACAAAGGCTGTTTGAACACAGGGCTGTGTAATTAACACCTGTCACACAAGTTGATTGGAAATCCTCTTCGCAGCCAGATAAGGTGTGAAAAATGTCTCGAGATCGACGGTGTCAAAATAATCGAACAACTTCGACTGATTTGTGGTAAATTGCACTAGATTTACTTAACACGGACCACGATAAAACTTCGACACATCGAAAAATTCGACACATAAAATCTCGACTCATAAATATGTTTTTATAAGGAATATATAGGGGGAAAAGTCGGGACTTTAATTTTTCTTCGACACATCGAGAAAATCGACTGATCGAAGTTCGACTCATAGAAGTTCTACTGTAGTCTCTTTTATCTTTACTGCTTTATTATACTTCTTTAATATTTCAATAATTATAGCAAATAAAATACAATAATATCGGATGCACCAAAAATGTTCCATATATCTTTCATAAAATTAATACAACAGGAAAAGTAATCTTAACCTAATCTTACTTTGAATTACATTTACACAATTTATATGTACACATGTAAATGTATGTGTAATGTGAGATGATTGTACTATTGCCTTTATACAATGTATATGCCAGTTCATTTAATAATTGCAAGTGTTGTGATGTTTGTTTGTTCATGATATAGTGGAGAAGCAAGTAATGCAAGATTTTGGTAAACAGTTCTCATATTAATTATATTTACTGTTTATTCATTATTCATTTAACTGTTTTGTTCCTTCTTAATTTTTTATTGCATTTTTTTTAAATTTTTTTTATTTTTTGAAGTTATTCAGTTTTAAATGTCACTTTTTAAAACTCTAATTAAAATATGATGAATAAAAAACGACAAAGAAACAAACATAAAGAAAAACTGGATAGTTCAGTCAGTTAAACAACAGTAAGGTTTATCAGTGATGGTTTCACTGCACATTTTGTTTTACTGATATAAATATGAAAATAATGTTCAGTTATGATTCAGCTGACATATCTGAGCTTATGTGAAGAAATTGTCTTTTTTAATTTTTATTTTATTTTTTATTTCAACAGTCTTAACTAATTACTTAGTAAATATTCTCATTATTTATATATGAGGGAAATAAGTATTTGTTATAATTGGTAATGAACTTTAATAGTTTGAATTTACTTTTAAGTTTACGGTCCATCATATGATTATCTGAATAAGTTTCATGCTTTGTAAAGATTGTTGCCTTACTAGTTTCTCCACTATTTTATGGTATTTCATTAATTCTCTGTATAATTGATTTATATGCTGGACATTTTGATATACCTATTATCAGGCATGTATCAAAATCTATTTTTTTCATGTCGTTAAATTTAACTCGATTTTATAAACAGCTGACAAGATACTGTCAGCTATATGTTGTGATGCATTTTGTGTTTGATTTGTTGATTGTTAATGTTTAATCATTATTGTGAACATTTTGCATGTGTTTGATTGGCTGACAGAAATGTTTAGATCAGTATTTTCTTGTTTAATATATAGTATTTTGAACAATTTCAGTACGAAGAATTTCAACACACCTATGATTTTTGATCTGAAGGAAGGCAATGTATCTCTTATAATGCAAGCAGAAAAGTAAGTTTGTGTTTTATTTAATAGCTTTACAAACAAGGTTCTTGATGTTTAATCCATTCTGCATTATAACCTAATAGTATTTAGTTAGTCTGTATGCTTTTGTAAGCATTCTGAAGAAACTCTACACAGCTGGCTGTTCAATTTTAGTATTTTGATATCAAAACTCATTATGTTAAAAGCCTATTATCCTCAAAAATGCTATTTAAAAACAAAAAGTCATGCTATAGTTTTCAGAACAATTCGTACTATAAAGCTGAGCCACTTTTGTGTCTTTGCATTTTGGCAATTAGTACAGCTATAATTATTTTGTATGGCAGTCAAAATACTACTTTGTTTTTATTTTGTTACTTTTAACACAAATTATTTCACATTCAGCTGTATTTCCTTTAGGTGATAAGTATTTTATATGTTATGGATCTATTATTACAACATTATAAAACACATGTTCACCCTTTCAAGATTTTTTTGCAGAAAAAAAGCAACAATTTTTATTTTTGAAATTTAGTGTGTCTTTGTTTAACTAATGTTACATATCGTTACCTTAGTGCAATAACTGGTTAACCCCTATTAAATTTAGAAGGACTTAACCCGTTACGTGACAATATGACTTTTCAACATTAGATTTGTGACAAGTGAAGCACATAATTTAATGTTTTTTTCCACAAGAAATGTTAAATCTCAGTAACATTTTTACGAATATACATTTGTATTAACCAATTTGATATTGAAATACGAGATATTTACCAGCTTTCTCTGTGTATTTCAGACATTTCTTGCTGATAGATGTAGCTGGGGTTTACGTGTACACATATGATGGAAGATTAGCATGCTCGCCAAAATATCCCGGTCTTAGAGCTGATATTCTTAACTCACAGACTGTTTCCATCAGTAATGATACAGTTGCTATAAGAGACAAGGCTGATGAAAAAGGTATGTTAAGATACTAGATACTAACTTATGACCAAGTTTACACCGGAGAATGTGATGTGAAATATAAATTTGCCAGATATTTGAGAGTAATACAATTTTACTGTTTGTGGTGTTACTTTTTTTTTATAGTTTGGTATAAGTTAATAGAGTATGCAGGCTATTGTGTTAGTACATTCAAACAAATTTACTTGAGCTGCTGTCTTTAGAAATCATTTGCTTTATAGTTTTTTTTCTAGATCATGTTGAATTTGAGGAACAGATTGTATTTATTTTTTATTGAAATATTTCAGTGATATATGTGTTTGATGCATTGAGTGGTAAACCTTTAGGTGATGGAAAACCTATAACACATAAGGTAAGCTATTTCCTATCAGGTCTCAGTGGCCAGGAGTTAATGGTGATAATTTTGCATACTAGACCAGCATAAGTTTGTTTGAATCCCATATCAAGAAAACTATCCGTCATGGATATTGAAGGTCTGTGTAAAGGTCAGTGGTTCTACTTCGGACTCTGCCTGGATTTGAAACAAAAATGAGTTATAATTTTACCACTAGAGCTTGCTTGGTTTTCATCTGATCTGTACAATGTTGACGTTACAAACAAAAAGAAAAATATTACAAAATTATTGTCAAGTGTTTAAACATTCTTCAAGATGATGAGAGTTCCATTTTGACTCACTAATAGCAGACTTAACTTTAAGTATGTAAAACTAAGAATTAATTAGTAGTTCAATTAATCAGTATAGAATTTATAACATCCTCTAAAATTCATTTTCATTTTTGTTTAAAGCAAATTATTGCTAAATTTTTATGAAGAAATGAACATTTGTAGAAATCAGTGACAATTAATATAAATAACGTAACGTAAATTGACTTTAAACTTTGTGTTTTTATACAGTTAGAAGTTATGGAGATAGCACTAGATCAATGTGGTCCTGGAGGTGAAAGGCGTCTTGCCATTATAGATAAAAACAGAGACTTGTATCTTACCTCAGTACGGGTGTTTGGTACAGATAGAAAAACTGTAAAACTAGGTATATTATCTTTATTAATATATGACTTTCTTTACTTCTTTTGTTAGCAAGATTTTGTGCTCATTTATTATTGTATTTGTGGATGTTTGATATTTATTGAACTTTATTTGAATAAATAATTTGACCGGTAGCTAATATAGATTAGAACAAAAAGCATCCGCTAAACTGGTTGTGAAGTTATGAGTTTTGTATATGGCCATTTGTAAAAACTGCACGAAGATTTGATTTCAAAATTAGGCAAATTATTAAATTTGGAATAGAAAAGAAAAGTGGTTTTGATATTAAAAGAAGTATTTAGGCTCCCTTCCAAAGAATACGTTGACTGTGAAACTTTCTTAAGTTATTAATGTGTGAAATGAAGATGAATCTAGCACAATAATTTTTACCACTGAAGAGTATGTTAAAAGTAGGTCACACTTAATATGCCTTAAAAGTCCTTACATTATAGAAGCTAACACTGGCTTTGTACAAACTCTATTTAAAGATAACATGTGTTTAAGTATGGCATATTATAGTAGTAACGGGTATTTTGTTCACATGTTTGTAATAAACCACACAGGTTAACCCCTACATGGTTAGATAACTGTGTAAAATAACTGCAAATATAATAGACATGATTTTAAACCTGCATTTTCCATAGATCGCTTGTAAAGTAATTTTCTGTGCAACATATTTGTCAATCTTTTTTTCGTCTGATTCTAACAACTGGTATGACAGACTAACCTTGTATATTTTCAGGTACAATGATAATGTCCTTGTCGTGGAATGATAATACTAATATGTTGGCAGCCTTGGCTGATGGTAAATTCACTGTGTGGTACTATCCTAGTGCAGTATATGTTGACAGAGATCTTCTACCTAGAACTGTCTTTGAAAAAGAAGCAAGGTAAAATTGTTATCCCCTATTTGTGAGGTTCAAACGCATTAAAATATACGACATTTTGTTATAGAAATGAATGACTTTTTTGTGTCAAATCAACCCAAAATCAAAACTTGTGCACAATTTGATTTTCATGAAACAATTTAGATAAGGGTCTTTTCTCTACCCATTAAAGTTTAAGCACTGACAAACGAATCATAAAATAAATAATGTAAGATATAAAAAAGCAAAACTATTAAGATGATATTTTTCATTATTTAAGGAAAAAAGATTATAATATTATATGTCTGCAGGATGTTCACATTGAAGAAAAGTTATGTTCCTTTGTTAAAAATGAATGGGGATATGATGCCTATATTTTTAGCCCCATATAAACGTAATAGTAGAGGGGTAATGATTTTGTTTAGAAATAATTTTGAGCAAAAAGTAGAAAATGTATACAGTGACGAAAAATGAAATTATCTTATTCCTTGATATGTTAATGCCGAAAAAACTTTCAGACTTAACTTCTCGTTAATTTAATATATGGTGCAAATGATGATAAAACCTGCTTTTTTATGAAAATATTAAACAAAAAATATTTGAAATTGGTAATGATAACGATGATAATTTGCGGAGATTGGAATCGTTTTATTAATCCTTCAGTAGATTATGAAAATTTACACAAATATTTAATAACCCCTGCGTGCAAGACAGAGTATTTTAGAGCTAATGAACAATTACAATTATGTAGACGTCTGGCGTGTTTTAAATGGCAATAAAAAGAGAATATACTTGGAAAAAGGAAAAAATCTCCGACAAGAAAGCAAGCACGGTTAGATTTTTTTCTTGTAAATGAGGATATGATGAATTATGTAACTAATTGTAAAATTACTACAGGTTATAGAACAGACCATTCAGGTGTTTTGTTAACAATTAAATTATTTGAAAATGAAAGGGGAAAAGGCTATTGGAAATTTAATTGCTCTCTTTTGACCGAAAACTCATATATTGATCTAGTTAAGAATACATTACATAATTTAGTAGATTTACATATAAACAGAAAATAACACTGAAGATAATTATATCAGATCCAGATTTTAGATATTAACCCCCAACTTTTTCTTGAAACATTTTTTGGTCGTTCTTAGAGGCGAAACAATAAAATATAGTGCAGAAAGAAAAAAACGATTAGAAAAACTAGAAAAAGATTTAGAAATAAATATTCAAGCATTAGAAAAACAAATATCCGAAAAATCTCAATTCTTCGAGTGACGAAACTTGGGCGGCACTTAATGAAAAGAAATCTCAGCTAGAAGCGTTACGGAAATCAAAGTTAGAAGGAGTGATGTTAAGATCGAAATGCCGTTATGAAAATTTAGGAGAAAAACCTAGTAGTTTATTTTTTAAATCTTGAAAACAGAAATTTTACAAATAAATTAATAACAAAACTGATTACGGGAAAACAATGAAGAAATAAGAAATACGAAAGATATACTCAATTTTCAAAAAAAGATTATTACGAAAAATTATATACAGAAAATTCAAATATAGATGAAACTCCTATAAAAGACATTATAGGGGAAAATGAAAATAAATTAACTGAACTCGATTCTCAAATGTTAGAGGGCGAATTGACAATTGATGAGTTAAATATTGCTTTAAGCAACATGAAAAATGGTAAAAGTCCAGGTTTAGATGGATATACAGTTGAATTTTTTAAATTTTTCTGGAAAGATCTCTCAATTTTTGTTTTAAAAGCTCTTAACTTTGGCTACTTTTAATGATAGTTTATCTGGCACTCAGAAACAAGGAGTTATAACGTGTCTGCCTAAACCGAATAAAAGTAGATTTTTTATAAGAATTGGCGCCCAATACACACTTTTAAATGTAATTTATAAAATGGCTTCTGCTGCTATAGCAAACAGACTGAAAAGAGTTTTAAACAACATTATTTGCCAAGATCAAAAAGGGTTTATCTCAGGAAGATGTATAAGTGAAAAATATCAGATTGATATATGATATTCTTTTTGAAACTAAACAGAACGATATACCAGGTCATTTTACTATCTATAGATTTTCAGCAAGCTTTCGATTCAGTTTCTTGAAGTTTATTCAGAAACTTTTAGATTATTTTAATGTTGGTCCCTCTTTCAAAAATGGATCAAATCTATTCCAAAAAGGGTCAGAAACCTGTATCATACAAAATGGTCATTTATCAGATTTCTTTAAAGTTAAACGTGGTTGTAGACAGGGAGATCCAATTTCACCATATATCTTTATCTTATGTGCGGAAGTTTTGAGGTTCAATGATTAGGAAAAAAATAATAATATTACTGGCATATTCGATTTACAATAAAGAATATAAGTTAAGTCAGTATGCAGATGACACACAGCTGTTTTTAGATGGAACTGAGAAATCATTTAGAAAATTGCCTAAACACGCTTGATAAATTTTATGCTATTTCTGGTTTAAAGATAAATACTGAAAAAACAAGGGCATTTTGGATAGGGTCGAGAAGAAATTCAAATATTAAATTATGTCAACAGATTGAATTAGACTGGTCTAAATCACCAATAAAAAATATTAGGAGTAAATATTTTCCGCAGACGTTGAGGACATTTGGGACTTAAACGGACATGAAATTCTTAAGAAATGTGAAAAATTAATAAATGTATGGTCTAAGCGTAATTTAACTCCTTTTTGGAAGAGTCAGCAATTATAAAATCTTTGATTATTTTCAAAATTTGTACATTTGTTTATGTCATTGCCAAATCCTTCAGAAGATTTCATTAAACAAAAAATAGAAAGATTATTATACCGGTTTTTATGGAAAAAGGTCCAGATAAGATTAAAAGATCAGTTATAGATAAAAATATAGAGGCAGGTGGAATTAAAATGGTAAATGTTAGAGCCTTTATGAACAGTTTAAAGTTAAGTTGGATCAAACGTCTATTGAACGAAAATGGCGAATCTTGGGTTACCCTCTCTCGTTTGAATATAACCAAAGTGGTAAAACTTGGTCCTGGTTATGCATCAGTTATATCTGAAGAACTTTCAAATATTTTCTGGAAACAAGTGTTGAAAACATGGACTTACTTTTGCAAAAAAGTGAACATAGAAATTATCGAAGATATATTAATTCACCATTATGGTTTAACACTAGATTCCGTAACACTAATTTACATTTTAACAATTGGATACATCACAATATAATATCTATTATTGATTTATATGATAATGACGGTAATATTTACAGTATTCAAAAACTGAAAGATATATATAAGATAAGAGGCACATTTTTAGATATTAAACAAGTCATTGAGTCCATCCCTTTTTTATGGAGAGAAAAAATTAGGAACAGTAAAGATAAAGTATTTTTATACAAGCAAAACATTTCATTAAAATCCCTATCTTAAATGTGTTATACATAACAGTAAGGGTTGCAGATTCTTTTATGATATCCTTTATTGACGCTGATCAATTTAGTTGTTCCTAACAAATGGGTAAATTCTATAGGACCTATATCACAGAAGGAGTTTTTAAATTATTGTACAAACTTAAATACTGTGAAAGAAATAAAGTTGAAAGATTTTCAATATAAGATTAATCAAAAAATTCTTGTGACAAATAAACATTTTTACATCGAATAGATATTAGAGATAATGATTTATGCTCATATTGTAACATTGATAGAGAAACGATTGAACATTTATTCTATCAATGCCCGTATATCAAATATTTTTCTTTTAGAATTGAAAGACTGGCTTAGAGATAAGTGTTTTGTCGAATTTGATATTTCAGACATGAAAGGCATACTTCAATTCTCGTATTATAATGGAAAACATTCGAATTTTGAATTTTGTAATATTATTATGCATAAAATACTATGTTTTATAAAACAAAATTTTAGAGAAAACTGTCAAAATTATTTAAATATAAATATGTTTTTAATATACTTATAAAATGAAATTAAAAAAAAAAAATCAAGATTAATAATTACATAGGCTTTTTTTAAATGGAGATGTAATTTTCTTTTCATAATTTGTGCAAAATATTATTCAAAAATTATCCCTTGATAATGAGTAACCTTATATTGTTTTAAAAATCAGAATACCGATAAGGAATATATTAACAACATAAAAGATTTTAAAAAATATAATCAGACAACCTAAATGAGAAACGTACATACAGGCCTCTATACGAACAATGTTGTTGTTTTGTTTTGTTGTTTTTTTTTGTTTTGTTTGTTTGTTTTCAATGTGAATTTACATTAATATATATCTTTTCTCATATATATAAGTTTAGAAACAAATACTTATGTGTACTTGATTATATCTATTATATCTTATTAATCTTGTTGCATTACTATGTAGCATGTCAATAATTCTATAGCCCATGCATAACATAAATTTTTATAATTTACAATTAACATAATTATGTTGTCCTTGTCATATTTGTGTATAATTTGTTTGTTAGAAAACTTGTAAGGTGAAAATAGCGGATGGATCCCCGACCCTATTTTATCCTATGACGGGGACAATAAACGAAGTAACGCTGTTGGGCTTCAAAAAAAAAAAAAAAAAAAAAAAAAAAAAGATGATATAAAAAGATATAAATGTTTTTAGAAGGATAAGCCAGAGCAGGTTGTGCGTGTAAATAATTATGATTTTGTATGTAAGTGTAATATGTTTTAATGTGTTTTTATCTAGTGAGTTTGGAAATTGAATCCACAGTGTTTAAGTTTAGGAAATCGTATATTAGTTGATACGGGCGAGCGGAAGTTCTCTTGTTGTACATCTATTCTCACCATATTTTGAACCTTCTGTCTATTACTTCACATGTATGTCCAGTCTGGCGAGGTGGATGATTGCTGTCGTAGGTTGTGTAGTTTGTCTAAGGTAAGCATTACGTCCAGTTTGTATCATCTATATCTTAAATTGGCTATGACTGAATGTAAAAAAATATCAAGAATTTGGTAATATGATATTTCCGTGTATGTTATTGCTATATTATATATAGAGGATGATGATAAACATTATTTCTGAAAATCTTATTGTTTTACTTACCTATTTGGCTGAGTTCCCTTTTCTAGGTTGAGGCATCAGATATTTGCATGTGCCATATTTTACGCCCTTCGTGATAGTAAGAATAACTTGAGACTGTTAGCTCCACCAGGTGAGGTGGTTTTGACCCCTGGTGTTACTTTAAGTTTGTAACACCCAAGATTAGCCAAAATCATCTTTCCTGTTTTGGTACCATATGTCCTTAAATGTGTTGGCCCTCCATAAAACCAAACCAACCAAACAAACAAAGCTTATGGTTGACAAACTCTTCCATGATAAGGGTATTGTTATTTAACTTTGGCAATAGAAAATAAATAACTAGATTCTCATCCAAATTTTGGGAAAAAATGGGGCGGGTGGATGGATTTTAATTTTTATTTTCCATTCACGGTCTGGAATTACACACAAGGAGGTTAATATTTGGGACTTTGTTCTATATCATATAATAGGTTCTAATATTATGTGTATGTAAGATATTATAGATTCATATTGAGCATAGAAGCAACATGATAATATATCTTGATTGTAATGATCTAGCTGTTTTATTGAACCTTTCATATTATTGACATGTTTGGACAAAATAAAAAAAAACAACAATATATAGATCTACAATGTATTGTTACAAAATAAGACATATTAATTTATAAAAGGATTGAATAAAGATGTACTATGCCTATGCTGATCAATAGTGCTTTTACATGAGTAAATTAATTAATCAACCAATGAAGCTACACAAAAAGACAATCCTATTTATATATTACATTGCAAAAATAACATCAAAGCTATTGAAAATTTGGCAAAGAAAGAACAGAGATTTAACTATTATATTAAAAAGCTATCTTATTTTCACAGTAAGAAATTTTATCTCGGCCCGCAGGATCCGATCTTTATTCAGCCAGGACCCAGACCGAGACTGACGGATTTTCGGCCGCACAGATGATGATACACTTATATACTTTTTCTTTCTTTCTTTTTTTTAGCTCACAAAGTGACAGGGTGAGCTTTTGTGATCGCTTTTCGTCCGGCGTCCGTCCGTCCGTCCGTAAACTTTTGCTTCAAATGACATCTCCTCATAAACCACTAAGCCAATTTCATCCAAACTTCACAGGAATGTTCCTTTGGTGGTCACCTTTAAAAATTGTTCAAAGAATTTAATTCCATGCAGAACTCTGGTTGCCATGGCAACCGAAAGAAAAAACTTTAAATATCTTCTTTTAAAGAACCCAAAGAGCTAGAGCTTAGATATTTGGCATGAAACATCTTCTAATGAGTGTCTACCAAGTTTGTTCAAATAAAAGCCCTGGGGTCAAAATTGGCCCCGCGCCCAGGGGGTCATTGATTTTCCCTATATGCATATAGTAAAAACTTAAAAAATCTTCTTTTAAAGAACCCAAAGAGCTAGAGCTAAGATATTTGGCATGAAACATTTTCTAATGAGTGTCTACCAAGTTTGTTCAAATAAAAGCCCTGGGGTCAAAATTGGCCCCGCCCTAGGGGGTCATTGATTTTCCCTATATGCATATAGTAAAAACTTAAAAAATCTTCTTTTAAAGAACCCTAAGAGCTAGAGCTAAGATATTTAGCATGAAACATCTTCTAGTGAGTTTCTACCAAGTTTGTTCAAATAAAAGCCCTGGGGTCAAAATTGGCCCCGCCCCAGGGGGTCATTGATTTTCCCTATATGCATATAGTAAAAACTTAAAAAAACTTCTTTTAAAGAACTCAAATAGCTAGAGCTAAGATATTTAGCATGAATCATGTTCTAATTGGTGTCTACTAAGTTTGTTCAAATAAAAGCCCTGGGGTCAAAATTAGCCCCGCCCCGTGGGTCATTGATTTTCCATATATGTGTATAGCAAAAACTTAACAAACCTTCTTTGAAAAAATCCCAAATAGCTAAAGTTTAGATATGAAGCATGAAACATCTTCTAGTGAGTGTCTACAAAGTTTGTTCAAATAAAAGCCCTGGGGTCAAAATTGGCCCCGCCCCGGAGGTCATTGATTTCCTTATATGTGTATAGTAAAAACTTAAAAAATCTTCTTTGAAAAAACCCAAATAGCTAGAGTTTAGATATTAAGCATGAAACATCTTCTAATAAGTGTCTACAAAGTTTGTTCAAATAAAAGCCTTGGGGTCAAAACTGGCCCCGCCCCAGGGTTGTCATTGTTTTTAACTATATGTGTATAGTAAAAACTTAAAAATCTTCTGTTATAAAACCCAATGAGCTAGAGCTTAGATGTTTAGCATGAATCATTTTCTTATGGGTGTCTACCAAGTTTGTTCAAATAAAAGCCCTTTGGTTAAAATTAACTCTGCCGGGGGGGAGGGGGGGGAGAAGGTCATTGTTTTTCCTTATATGTGTATAGCAAAAACTTAACATCATGAAACATCTTCTAATGGGTGTCTTAATTCCAAGTTTGTTCAAATAAAAGCCCTTGGGTTTAAACTGGACCCACCTGGGGGCCTATATACAGGTGAGCGACCTCAGGGCCATCATGGCCCTCTTGTTTCTTTTTTTTTCTTTTTCTTCTTTTAGCTCACCTGTCACAAAGTGACAGGGTGAGCTTTTGTGATCGCTTTTCGTCTGTCGTCCGTCCGTTAACTTTTGCTTTAAATGACATCTCCTCATAAACCACTGAGCCAATTTCATTCAAACTTCACAGGAATGTTCCTTTGGTGGTCACCTTTAAAAATTGTTCAAAGAATTTAATTCCATGCAGAACTCTGGTTGCCATGGCAACCGAAAGAAAAATCTTTAAATATCTTCTTTTAAACAACCCTAAGAGCTAGAGCTTAGATATTTGGCATGAAACATCTTCTAATGAGTGTCTACCAATTTTGTTCAAATAAAAGCCCTGGGGTCAAAATTGGGTCATTGATTTTCCCTATATATGCATATAGTAAAAACTTAAAAAATCTTCTTTTAAAGAACCCAAAGAGCTAGAGCTAAGATATTTAACATGAAACATCTTCTAATGAGTGTCTACCAAGTTTGTTCCAAATAAAAGCCCTGGGGTCAAAATTGGCCCCGCCCCAGGGGGTCATTGATTTTCCCTATATGCATATAGTAAAAACTTAAAAAATCTTCTTTTAAAGAACTCAAAGAGCTAGAGCTAAGATATTTAGCATGAAACATGTTCTAATGGGTGTCTACCAAGTATGTTCAAATAAAAGCCCTGAGGTCAAAACTGGCCCCACCCCGGGGGTCATTGATTTTCCTTATATGTGTATAGCAAAAACTTAAAAATCTTCTTTGAAAAAACCCAAATAGCTAGAGTTTAGATATTAAGCATGAAACATCTTTAAGTAAATATCTACAAAGTTTGTTCAAATAAAAGCCCAGGGGTCAAAACTGGCCCTGCCCCAGGGGTGTCATTGTTTTTAACTATATGTGTATAGTAAAAACTTAAAAAATCTTCTTTTAAAAAACCCAATGAGCTAGAACTTAGATCTTCTTATGGGTGTCTACCAAGTCTGTTCAAATAAAAGCCCTTGGGTAAAAATTGGCTGGGGGGTGGGGAGCTATATACAGGTGAGCGACCTCAGGGCCATCATGGCCCTCTTGTTTTTAAATAAAAATCGTTCGGGCGGAGCAATTTTTGCCGGGCGGGCGGGGATGAGAATCTGGGAATTTATTTTCTATAGCCTTTCGTAGAATTTAACAAGCTGAATTACACTTGGCGAACAAACATTATGTGAGATTGTGTATTGGCTAAATTGACTCAACCTAAGTACAAGCTTCAGATTTGGATGCTTCTATGATAACTTTAATCTATGACATTGCAACTGTAAACAATAAAAATAACTTGTTATTTTACACATGATGATTCAACTATTAGATGGTATAAGTTTGTGTCTACTGTACAATAAAGATAATGTTATGTTTTGCAGGATCAGACTTATGGGATGTTACTGCAATGTCCTGCTATGCAAAGGATTACACAGGGCCATTTGAGAGACACGGAGTATTATTATAAAGATAAAATTCAACATAAAGACCTAATTGATTCAATGAATGGCTAGAGTCTGTTTTGCTAGGAAGATAAACATTTGGAATGGCTATTGAAAAGTTCTTAAAACAGTGGCAATAATTTTACTAAAATATTGGAGACGCCTAGATATTGAATTCCCATGACAGTTTTGGTTGTTAGCAATATGTTTAGAAATATTCCTCTCTGTCATGGGTTCGATCCCCGGGAGATGCTTTGGTAGTTTAGCACGGAGGAAGGTAGCCTAGTACTGGTGTAACTCTCCAGGAACGATGGTTAGGAAACTACCCGCCTATATGACTGAAATACTTTAGGGAACAGGCATAAAATGAAACAAACAAACAAACAAATCTTCTACAACTAATTCTATTTGTGTGTAAATGAGAAAGAGAAAACATTAAGTAAAGGTATTGCAAAGTAACCAGACCCCCCTTTAAAGTGTTCAGTTTTAATACAACAGGTCCGATTTAACTCCCTTATATATTTAATTGAAAAGTTAACCAGCTATTGCACTATAGGTGCAAAATGTTAATAACTTGTCAATTCTGGTTGGCAGAAATTAGTACAGATATGCTCTTTTTCATATTACCACAGAGACATTTCATTACATACTAATTTTCAATACGGTTTTTCGATATCTAATTGCCACATGCATTAACTGGTGTTTGTGCAGTTGACCAATTAATACAAGTGTAACGCAATCAAGTATTAGCAACTAGCTAATGAGAAAAGTGTAAGTTGATTGCGACTGATAAGGTACAGTTTATACTGAATATCAAGGATATACCAGTAAAGGATGCCAGAAATGCTGAGATGGCATTACTGTGTGGTAATCCACAAGACGCTGAGGCCATACTTCTACAGGCAGGCCTTATCTTCCGTGCTATATTACTAAATATACAACTGTACAACTGGGACAGGTATGTTTATTCTATAAATCATAATCTATATCATAATCAACTTTGTTTAAATGATTTTAAACTCTCCCTATATGCATGATTGTTGATACATGATGAACACACAATTTCTAAAAAATGCACGGTGCTCATCCTTATAAATCAGTTTACTTTTATAAAAGTGTACCGTTGAATATCACAAGTTAAAATATCCCTTACACCCCTTCTGTTTATAATGCATAGATCGGTGTGAATATTCTGAATAAAGTTCAAACAATGTGATAGTTCGGCAACATTTATATCATTGAGTATTTAGGCCATAGTTTGTTACTGCTGTTTTCTTTATGGATAATTTGATAACATCTTGTGTATATTACCTAAAAAAATTTTATAAGCTGCAGCAAATTTAAATTTTAGATACGAGATAGGTGGCTTATTTTCAAGGACAGCTTTTATTTTAAGTGTGAATTTTTCTATCGTCGGACAGTTCAGGTGAATTGTGTTTTTAAATAACAGTTATAGATATAGAGCAAAAAGCAAGGGTATGGAATTATTTAAAAGTATTTTATTATTAAACTGCTAAGAAAGATTCAGTAAGTATCAATGTTTAGATGTGTGAGTAATGTACATTTGTGGATTTTTTTTCCAGAGCTTTAGAATTGGCAGTGAAACATAAGACACATGTGGACACTGTACTTGGTTATAGACAGAAATATATGAAACAATATGGAAAACAGGAGTCTAATAAGAGATTCCTTCAATACCAGGAAGGGGTAAATTACAATCTTTGTATTTTTTGAAAACAAAAGTATTTTTTTTAAATAGATAAGGGTAGAAAGAAAAATCCAGATTTTTACAACTTCTTAATTATTTGTACCTTTAACAAAAATTCATGCTAAATTCCATATTGTGAAAGTTTAGCCCAACTTTTGCATAATATTTGGAAATTTGTATTAAACAGATGAGGAATAATGTTTCATTTGATTAAAAGATAAATTTTACATGATATTGATTAGGTATAATGCAATATATGGTCTTACCAATTTCATTCTTTAGGTTAAAGTGATTTTAGAAAGGTTAAATATGTTATTTTTAGATAAATGTTTCATATAATTGTCAAATCAAAAGAATTCAGGTGGAAAATGAAAATTGCCATACCTTAGGTACCACTCTTTATATAAAAGTAAAGCAGACAATTTGTTGCCGATCGTCTATTTTTAGAAACGAACGTTACTGGTGTGCTCTCGGGACCTTGTTTTGAAGAAGGCTTTACAATGTTATGATGCATTTTTATGCCCCCGCCATGTAATGGCCAGGGCATATAGTGTTACCCTGTTCCGTCCTTCCGTCATCCCGTCCTTCCGTCATCATCAGTTTCCGTTCATTATCTTAAGAACGGTTGCACACATTCAACTCAAATTTGACATATGGATATGTCATGAGAAAATACAGGTCAAGTTCGAATTTGGTCATGGTTCGATGATTTTTGGCAGAGTTATGCCCCTTTTACTTTGAAAAAATATGAAATTTTCAGTTTCCGTTCACTATTTCCCCAACGGTACAACACATTCAACTCAAACTTGACATATGGATATGTCATGAGAAAATACAGGTCAAATTCGAATTTGGTCATGGTTCGATGATTTTTCGCAGAGTTATGCCCCTTTTACTTTGAAAATAATATGAAATTTTCAGTTTCGGTTCATTATCTCCCCAAGGGTACAACACATTCAACTCAAACTTTACATATGGATATGTCGTAAAAAAATACATGTCAAGTACGAATTTGGTCATGGTTCGATGATTTTTGGCAGAGTTATGCCCCTTTTACTTTGAAAACAATATGAAATTTTCGGTTTCTGTTCATTATCTCCCAAACGGTACAACACATTCAACTCAAACTTTACATATGGATGCGTCAAAGATATGTGCAGTTCAAGTTCAAATTTGGTCATGGTTCAATGATTTTTAGCAGAGTTATGCCCCTTTCACTTTGAAAATAATATGAAATTTTCAGTTTCCGTTTATTATCTCCCCAACGGTACAACACATTCAACTCAAATTTGACATATGGATATGTTTTTGGAATGCCCAGGCCAAGTTTGAATTTGGTCATGGTTCAATGATTTTTGGCAGAGTAATGCCCCTTTCTCTTTGAAAATAATATGAAATTTACAGTTTCTGTTCATTGTCTACCCAACAGTGTTACATATTCAACTCAAATTTGACATATGGATATGTCAAAGGAATGGGCAGGTCAAGTTGGAATTTGGTCATGGCTTGATGATTTTTTGGCAGAGTTATGTCCCTTTCACTTTGAAAATAATATAGATACATCTTAGGAATAAGCAGTTTAAGTTTGAATTTGGTCGTGGTTCAATGATTTTGGACAAACTTATCTTTTCTGAATGTTGGAAAAATTTTGGACTTTCAGTTTCAGCACTGATACTTTTAGCCATTATTTTGGCTACAAATATGCAATATGCTATTTTTAAAAGGTTAAGACTGAATTATTTCAATGCCTTGAAAATTGTATGAAAATGGTTTGTGTTAACATTAAAAAGTTTTAAGGGCTTTGAACTTAAAATGAAAACTAGAAATGTGTCATCATGCCACGGATGCCCCCGCATGCAGCCAAAATTTCAGATGTTATAATATTTAGTTCCAAATTTGTTTGCACAAATTATTTTTTTCATTTGCAGTTCAAAGCCCTTAAAACTTTTCAATGTTAACACAAACCATTTTCATACAATGTTCAAAGCACTGAAATTATTTAGTCTTAACCTTTTGAAAATAGCATATTTCATATTTGTAGCCAAAATAATGGCTACATACATTTCCACAAAAGTATGAGTGCTGAAACTGAAAGTTCAAAATTTTTCCAACATTCAAGAAAGATAAGTTTGTCCAAAATCATTGAACCACGACCAAATTTAAACTTTCCACAAAAGTATGAGTGCTGAAACTGAAAGTTCAAAATTTTTCCAACATTCAAGAAAGATAAGTTTGTCCAAAATCATTGAACCACGACCAAATTCAAACTTAAACTGCTTATTCCTAAGATGTATCTATATTATTTTCAAAGTGAAAGGGACATAACTCTGCCAAAAAATCATCAAACCATGACCAAATTCCAACTTGACCTACCCATTCCTTTGACATATCCATATGTCAAATTTGAGTTGAATATGTAACACTGTTGGGTAGATAATGAACAGAAACTGTAAATTTCATATTATTTTCAAAGTAAAGGGGCATTACTCTGCCAAAAATCATTGAACCATGACCATATTCGAACTTGGCCTGGGCATTCCAAAAACGTATCCATATGTTTAATTTGAGTTGAATGTGTTGTACTGTTGGGGAGATAATAAATAGAAACTGAAAATTTCATATTATTTTCAAAGTGAAAGGGGCATAACTCTGCCAAAAATCATTGAACCACGACCAAATTTGAACTTGACCTGCGCATTCCTTTGATGTATCCATATGTCAAGTTTGAGTTGAATGTGTTGTACCGTTGGGGAGATAATGAATGGAAACTGAAAATTTCATATTATTTTCAAAGTGAAAGGGGCATAACTCTGCCAAAAATCATCGAACCATGACCACATTCGAACTTGACTTGTATTTTCTCAAGACATATCCATATATCAAATTTGAGTTGAATGTGTTGTACCTTTGGGGAGATAATGAACGGAAACTGAAAATTTCATATTATTTTCAAAGTAAAAGGGGCATAACTCTGCCAAAAATCATCGAACCATGACCAAATTCGAACTTGACCTATATTTTCTCATGACATATCCATATGTCAAGTTTGAGTTGAATGTGTTGTATCGTTGGGGAGATAATGAACGGAAACTGAAAATTTCATATTATTTTAAAGTAAAAGGGGCATAACTCTGCCAAAAATCATCGAACCATGACCAAATTCGAAATTGACCTGTATTTTCTCATGACATATCCATATGTCAAATTTGAGTTGAATGTGTGCAACCGTTACTTAGATAATGAACGGAAACTGATGATGACGGAATGACAGAATGACGGAAGGACGGAATGACGGAAGGACGGAACAGGGTAACACTATATGCCCCGGCCATTACATGGCGGGGGCATAAAAATAATTTGTGCAAACAAATTTGGAACTAAATATTATAACATCTGAAATTTTGGCTGCATGCGGGGGCATCCTTGGCATGATGACACATTTCTAGTTCAAAGATAAAATTACTGAAATTATTAGTACGAAACAACACAGAATTGTTTTTCCAACAAAAAATAAAAGCTGAAAACAGCTGTAAAGTGTGAATCTAATAGTGTGATTATTTAGAAATTCAAAAAATAAGATTCTTGATTACCTTGAACAGTTTAGAAGAAAGCAAGTCTTGTATCTATTTATTTCTTTTAATCATTCTAGATTGAGATAGACTGGGAGAAAATCGAAGCAAAGATAGAAATGGAATATCAAAAAGAACGAGAACGACCGGAGCGACCAGTCTCCACAGCAACTACTTCTGGTTCCCGTACTGGTGTAAGTGGGGGAACCAAACCTGCTTTGAGGACGTAATGCCACATATATATCTGTGATAATATATTAAAACTGATGACCAATTTTAACTTGTGCTTCTGATATAAACTTTAATCTTTCAATTTGTGGTATAAGAAATGGAAGCATTAGAAATTAGTAAAGATTATAGACTGCCAATATACTGGTATGTAGGTTAAAGAAAAGAAATATTTATGCAACTTTACAATTGATGCATTTGTCCTTTAGAAAGTTGAAAAAAGAACATGTTAGAAGTATGTGAATAATTGTTACAGGTAAACAATCTTTCAGGTTCTTATTCTTTAATACACAGTAATTTGAGTAAATGTGGCATTGTTTTATAAAAAAAATTTCAATGTAAACACGAGAATTATTTATTTTCTTTGTCTAATAGCATGCCCTGTTGCACATGTATTTCTTTATATATGTGCAGTTAGTTACATAAGCTGAGTGCTCAGGTGACAAATTCTGTATACATGTACATATTTATATATGAATCTGATATCATTCCGTCCACGACTTATATTTAGTTATTCTCAGCCAGTGACACATCATGTCTTTGATTGTTATGACAAACATATGTAAATATAATGTTATATTTGTAAAATGATTTCCTATCCTGGCAGAGATATTACTTGTTTTACTTGGTATAGATGTAAATTTAGTGACATACAAAGTTAATTTGTCAAAAGACATCATAAGATGACTAACAACCAAGATTAAATCCAGACAACATCGTCTCTTGTGTAGGAAATTGAAATTAATGCATTTCTTCATTACGATTCATGTGAAATATTGAAGTTGTACAAAAATCTATTTATAGTGTCCGTCTGGTTATATTTATGTAACTTTATGAAATCATTGTAATGTGTATTAGTGAATTATTTATTGATATCTCTTTGATGACGCATTTGTCATCAGCTGTAATTTAAGCATTAAAAATACTTTTTTTAAATAATATTGCCTTTGTTGTTCATGCAAGGGAACTAAAAATTGTATATGCAAGTGTCCCAAGATCTCCTTTGATATATACACCTAGATAATATATTCCACTCCCACACTATCAGGTTAAAGGTGAATCACTTGGCAGTTGTAGTAATAAGTTGAATTAATAACAGTTTAATATAGGTATTGTGTTCAGGAACGTCTGTAGGTAAATACCAAGTGCATTTTTTTAAAGTTTTTTTTCCTCAAAATTAAGCTAACAATTTAATCCATAACTCCATATGTGTAATATACATGTAGTTTCCTGATTTTAGAACTGTTTAGTACAGGGGTTTCAATGATAAAAAGTTAATAGTTGATCTGTATAATGTATGATTAGATTGTACTGACCTTTTAGTTTACAAGATGGTCATCAGAGCAACTATAGCTATATTTAGATAAAACAACACAATTTCTGATAAAATGTTTTATTTTGTTTTTTTTTAAATCTTTAACAAATGCATCATCTGTAAAAAATAAATGATCTACAAATGAGTATCATAAACATAATTATAAATACACAAACAATTACTACACATACTAAAGTAAACCATGCAAGTATAGGGAGCAACAAATGGTAGTTTGCACTAAATTCAATCTGTTTAACAACACAGGTAAAGTCAATTTATCATCTTACACCTGTACACATTCATGATGAGTTATCAATGATGAAGTGGATTTCAGGTATCAAATTCTGTGATCACTTTTATGTTCAGATCTGTGATACTTTGTTTTTCGAGACGTAAATACTCTTTCGGAATTAATCGTATTTTGTAAATTTCTATCTCTAGGTTTCATTTATAAGTACAGAAACTAGCTATGGCTATTATAATAGTATATCTTATCTGGTAATACAAGGGTGTCAATATACTAATTGCAACCACCAACATACAACTATGCTGCAACATTCAAAAATATGGTTTCCCATTTAGGGGTTCAAGTAAAACGCTAATGTAACTGAGCATTCAACAATCTTGTACTTTGACCAAGTAACTCAAAACCCAACCCAAAAAGCATACCCTCCAAAAGGAATATGGCCACATTAAATTGAAACCCATTCCAAAAGCACACCCTCAGTGACCTTATTTCTTGAAACCTATCCCAAAAGCATGAATGACTCGCACCAAAAACTTAAAACTCCCACACAAGTAGAAGAAGTAGGTAGGAACCAAATCATGCACTATCTAAAATATCAGTGAAATATGTAAGACGAAGATGCCTTGAGAAAATGAATACATACATTGTGACAGAATCACAAACTGTAACAATAATTTATGCTCCAAAAAAAACTAAAACTTTTTTTGGAACATAAAAATATAATATTAAAAATACCATTTAATATATACCTAACAAGAGATTTTGAAGGCAAGAAAACTATTCAAATATATATTTTTTCTACATTGGTCTTGCAGAAATGTTAGACAAAAAAAGTGTCATTTATTAAAAATATACCTTTGTACAAATTTACACAAGTACAAAGTAATGCATTATTGTGTCAATTCAATTGAAATTGCATATATAAAGTTACACACACAATGTTCTGTTCTGTTACATAATCTCATACTTTAATGACTGAACACGGTTGTATTGTTCTACATGCTTTTTGATATACCACTAATATATCAACTACAAAAATCTACACCTAAAAAGCCTGGAACAATTTTCACCATTTAAAAGGGGAACATTGATAAGCACTAGTGCAGTTTAACATCCTTCTCTAAATATTAAATTATAATGTGCGCCGCCGCGATGTGATTAAAGTGGCATATTTGCATGTTTCTTCCATGGGTTTTCTCGTTTTTTACTGGCTAAAACATCTAAATCAAGGCATATTCTTCTCCTGGTTGTTCTTGGTTCTATTATGTCATCAACAAATCCTGAAAAAACAAAAAATACAGTATGATATACTCATTTTACCCGTAACAGAGTAACTGACTACCTGATATTATGAAATTATTATACATTGTTAAGTATAATACCAAATACAACAGTACACAGCTGCTAGACCTATATCGGAGGAGGTACCACCTAAGTCTAATATAGGTTTTGTAGCTGTGTACAAGTTTAACAGGAACAGTTTAATTGTATTAAACAATGTATAATGATCTCTTTATTTTTTCAAACCATCATTTTTTTGACATTTTGACAGAATTTGTTACTATTAGTGCAATGGTAACTTGATATGGATTTTTTGGACTGGGAAAATGAAAACGGGGCTACATTGAAAGGATTAGATCCAATGATTTCCATTGGATCCATTGAATCAAAAGGCTGTAAATTCATTGTATACGTTTTATGAAGTGGGTAATAAATATATTCAGGTTTGCTGGCATCATTTTTTTCTCCGTTTAATTTCATAAAATGTTTAAATAATGACTTTAATGACTAGGTAAGTAATAGAAAGAGCACCGAAACACGAGGCTATCTGATTTGTACGAGGGGGAGTAGCCCCCGAGTATAAATCAGATTTCCAAGTGTTTTGGTGTTCTTTCTCTTTTGTATCATAGTCAAACATAAAAGCACGTTCCCTGTTGTCACAATAAGAAACCCCGGCAAAAATGAACCAATGAACGAACATCTGAATATGACATTTCTGTCGCTTTCCCTTTCTCTGCCGTCACAAAATGTAAACCCCAGCAAAAATGAGCCAATCAATGGGCATGCTCTGGAGTGCGGGTAACTAATACCCGCACTCCAGTTAACGCACTGTGCATGTATATGTATACGATTTAACCCTGACACATTTTTAACAGAAAGGTCTCCAAACTATGATACAATAACACTTTTGAATGCTGTGTACTTTCAACATATCCATCCATAAACAAGTCAAGTAAATGGAACACACATTATAATCAATTTTTACTATGTTCAGCAACATTGTAAGTTTAAAAGTAAGTACTCATACTTTTTTCCTAAAGTATACATATTTCAGAGAATATAATTTATGTCATAAAATGAACACCTTTATATGGACCATGGAAGATAATAGTTTTGCAATGAATGGAAGATAATAGTTTTGCACTTTGCCTTCAAATTATAGAGGATACATACCCCTAACAGCAGCTGGGAATGGATTGGCAAACTTTTCCACATATTCTGCCTCATTCTTGACTTGATCCTTGCCTCGGAATATGATAGACACTGCCCCCTGTCATAAGAATAATATAAACCATTTATACAAGTCTACAGTTATAATATTTTCATAACATTTTGTTTATAGCACCTTATCTTAGTACTTCAGTCATAAAATATACTAAGTTGGCAATTAACTTATGTGAGCATGTATGTTTTCTTGTAAGTTGCAGCCAATTTTTTTCAAATAAATCATTCTGAACAGCAGTGGACTACAATTCATCTCAAAAAAACTTAAAACATTTAATAATTTAAGTATTTTTTTGAGTTAAATTGTTGCAAAAAACATTGTCATGAAAACAAACATGGAACATAAGGAACAGATTGAACATACATGTACTTGGCTCAAGCTTAATACACTCTGGACATACAGTATCTTAATAATGTAGATAAAATTACTATGTCAAGAAATAAGAAACATAAGAAACAGACCTTGGCTCCCATTACAGCCACTTCAGCCGTGGGCCAAGCATAGTTGGTATCTCCTCGTAGATGTTTTGAGCTCATTACATCATAGGCACCACCATACGCCTGAAATATATGTAACAACATGTAAAATATGGCATTTTACTGATACAAATCTAACATTTTCTTTATCATTAAACATGAAAGTATTACTGTATGAGTAATCCTATTACAACATAATCACTGTATTCCTAATTTCCATGTTTTTAGAGTACCCTAATCATGCCCTGTCAAGTTTAATGACATGCTTTCATCACATTAACCTATCTCATATCATGTTTTATCTGTAACCTTTATAATAATAAATTACGTAACATTTCCTTTTATTACAGAAATGAACTTTACCTTTCTTGTAATAACACAAAGTTACTATACCTTTCTTGTAATAACTGTAATTTTAGGTACAGTAGCTTCAGCATAAGCGAACAAAAGTTTAGCCCCATGTCTTATAATACCTCCATACTCTTGGTGTGTACCTAAGGAACAAAAAGAATGAACAATTACTTGGTTTAGTTTTGGTGCTTAAAGGCTGCATAGTGAATCTCACTGAAAAAGATATACACGTGTACATGTATTCATTTTTGGTTGGGTTTTAAATCACACCAACATTATAAATGTTTTATGTCAACTTGCCATTTTTACTAGTGGAAGAGACATAAGAACTCTAATGCTTTCATGCATTGTTTCAGGCACAAACCAGCATCCGAATAGAACCACCAATGTCCCGACAGTAAGCAAAGTAGAGAAATTCATAGACACAAGATCAACAATGTAATTTTTCTTTTTAAAAAAAACTTAAGATGACCTTACAGAGGCATCTGATCACATATCAAAACAGTGTGTGCTTAATAAGTGAAATTTGTGATAAACTTAAAACACAGAGAATATCTTTGAGTCTATTCCATTAGAGGTACCTGGTAAGAAGCCTGGAACATCCACAAATGTTACTATAGGTATATTAAAGCTGTCACAGAATCGCACAAAACGTGCCCCTTTAACTGAAGCATTTATATCGAGGCAGCCTGAAATATATAAACATTTTGAGTTACTGAAGCAGTTATACCAAGGCAGCCTGAAATATATTAACATTTAAAGTTAAATCATTCACACATAATAAATGCTCCTCTACACCACTTAACATAAATATATCATAACATAAAAATATGAAGCAGGAAAATACCAGTATGAATGTTAAATAAACATATATGGCTTACATATCATTTTATAATCCAAGTCTCTTTTTTAAAATGGAAAATCAGTTAATTTAGTAATTAATTTCAGTAAGCAACTATGTCTTGGTCAGAAAAAGCTGTTGTAATAAGAAGACAATAGTTTTGTGTAAAACTAAAATGGAATAATATTACAAAACAAAACAAATGCTTCCAGCCAGTTCAATGGTAAAACAAAGGCTATTCAGCAGTTAATTTGAGAAAAACAATGATTAAGTTACTGACCTAAAATCATGACCCTACAGTTTCAAATGAATACCTTATTCAAAAATGAGATGGGAAGGCATAAAAAAGTTTAAGAGTAAGAATTGTGTGAAAATGCAGAAAGAGTGGGATTGTCAAACTATTCTTTGAAAAGACCAGCTACATTAAGCCTCTATCATCAGACTATGTGGAAAAATACTTTCATTACTTTTGAATTCTTGAAAGAAGTAAAGTAAAGAAAGTGTGATAAAAAGTCAACAAAATGGATTGAAGGAAAAGTAGACAACTTTATGATTATCCAAGTTTTTCAAGGAGCATAAAAACTTTTAAAACAAAACAATAGGCAAAATAATTTGATCAAGAATATGAGACTGGTTACCTGCTGCCACTTTTGGTTGGTTCCCAACTATGCCAACTGTGCGACCATTCATGCGTGAGAACCCTACAACTATATTTTTAGCATAGTTTGGCATGATCTCAAAGAAGTTACTGTCGTCTGCTACACTTGTGATGACATCTTTAATGTCATAAGCTGCTGTTGTCTCAAGGGGGACAACTGTGTCCAATCCTGGTACATCACGATCCCTGAATATTTAAAAACAAATATGACTTTATTTGTAACATCTTGTGTTGATTTATTCTGCTTTTAATTCAAGTATCTTACTATATAGGGCAAATAGTCTATTATAGATAAAAATCAACACAAATCTAAATATCAATACACGTTTTGCTTTATTAGCTTCGTCAGTTGATAAAGGAAGTGACAAAAACCTAGATAACAGACGTCTACATTATCTTACTATATAAAATAAGTATATTTTTGGCCCTCGCAATTGCAAAATTAACAGTGCATTGCACTTGAAATAAAAATTTGCAGTATGTTTAGATACATTCGTTAACTTCATTCTCAGTGCTTATGCCTAATGGGTTTAAAAGCACATAAATAAAGTTAGAAAGTAATATTGCATTTATATGGAAGCTGTTTTCTACAACAAGTTTGACTGTATTTAGTCTCATGTATCAGCTGTACTTACCAAGGATCGTAACATTCTCGGATTGGTGCCGGGTCTTGATTACTCAGAGGTAAATAGTCGAAGAATTCTCTCAACTGTAGCAAGCCGTCAACATCATTCTCGAAAGCTCTGTGGGCAACACCTATATCAATAAGTAACATTAAATGATTTCTTACTGATTTTGTTACATTATATAGTAATTTTAATTAATTAGTTTCAAGTTATCTTGTTATTCAGTTTAAATTTATATTAACTTAAACAGTGGTAAAATGAATCAACTAACAATTCTATCAATTTTAAATTGTGGCTTAGGTTAGATCTCCTTATATCTTCAGCTGACCTGATAATGTTTATTCACCCTTACAGAATCACACAAAAGAAGCTTTTTTGCATATATAAATTAACCTGTATCAATAGCATATGGTGTTTAAATGTCCTTAAACTTCAAAAAACTTAAACAGACTTAAAATTGTTGTATGTGTTTAACTTCCGCAAACATTTACTGACCTGAAACTGCTACCCATGTTTTACTTCCACAAACATTTACTGACCTGAAACTGCTACCCATGTTTTACTTCCACAAACATTTACTGACCTGAAACTGCTACCCATGTTTTACTTCCACAAACATTTACTGACCTTAAACTGTGGTATATGTGTTCACTTCCACAAACATTTACTGACCTGAAACTGCTACCCATGTTTTACTTCCACAAACATTTACTGACCTGAAACTGCTACCCATGTTTTACTTCCACAAACATTTACTGACCTGAAACTGCTACCCATGTTTAACTTCCACAAACATTTACTGACCTGAAACTGCTACCCATGTTTTACTTCCACAAATATTTACTGACCTGAAACTGCTACCCATGTTTTACTTCCACAAACATTTACTGACCTGAAACTGCTACCCATGTTTTACTTCCACAAACATTTACTGACCTGAAACTGTGGTATATGTGTTCACTTCCGCAAACATTTACTGACCTGAAACTGCTACCCATGTTTTACTTCCACAAACATTTACTGACCTGAAACTGCTACCCATGTTTTACTCCCACAAACATTTACTGACCTGAAACTGTTGTATGTGTTTTATTTTCACAAACATTTACTGACCTGAAACTGTTGTATGTGTTTTACTTTCACAAATATTTACTGACCTGAAACTGTTGTATATGTTTTATTTCCACAAACATTTACTGACCTGAAACTGTTGTATGTGTTTTATTTCCACAAACATTTACTGATCTGAAACTGTTGTATGTGTTTTACTTCCACAAACATTTACTGACCTGAAACTGTTGTATGTGTTTTACTTTCACAAACATTTACTGACCTGAAACTGTTGTATGTGTTTTATTTTCACAAACATTTACTGACCTGAAACTGTTGTATGTGTTTAACTTCCACAAACATTTACTGACCTGAAACTGTTGTATGTGTTTTACCTCCACAAACATTTACTGACCTGAAACTGTTGTATGTGTTTTAGCGCCCCCTAACTCCTCTTGTGTGACATCCTCATTAGTTACAGACTGAAAAGAAAAATGAAAGTCTTTTGTAATTTATTAAAATCCTTTCTTTCCAAAATAATACAATAACATGTTTGCCCTGATATACTCACCTGATAATAAATCAGACTTGAAGGAATAGAGTTTATGTCAGAAAATCATAAAATACCAGTACCAGTCACATAGGGAACAATTCACCAAACGGTTAGTGAAAAATTGCTAATTTTTTAATCATTGTTACTCAGGACAGCCCCTTAAAGGATTTTACAAATGTAGCTAGTGAGTTAAACTTTAAAATATATAATGATGATCCGACCAATAGTACAAGCATTAAACAGCCATAACAAAATCATGAAAATATTCAGATGTCATCACTTTCAAATATAAGTTATCTTAATATATTCATAACAGTCAAATATTTGGAATGACAAAATTTCAGTCCATCAAGCATCAGTAACTTCCCTTGAAATCTTAAAACCTAATATCTGTTACTTCCCTTGAGCCAGCTGCAGCTGTGAAATATATAGCTCATAAACACCTCTCTGATAACAATCTATTTATTGCATCGGAAGTACAGACACTATTTGATGTCTGTAAAGTGCTAGAAACTGACAAAAAGTCTTTTATATTAATGCCTGTAGCTTGTACTAACTCTTGAAAATTTTCTAAGGGATAAAAACTATACCTTTATTTTTTGGGATCTATTTCAAAGAAACTAAATTGACTTTCAAGACTACAAAAATCATTCTGAGAAAAAACAGTTTTTATCACAGCATTTGTTATCAGATAAAGGGAGAAAAAATAAGAATGCGGTTTTACATCTTTGAAACTTCTAAACTAATAACTTTTACATTACTGCTTTGCATATATATGTTGTGCTTTGAGTTTAGAATGGTTCAGTTGTTACTTTATAGGATAGTAACAATTCTAAAATCTAGCAGGTAATAATAACTGGCCAGGCTCTAAATTGGTGGCAATTACCAGGCAGGTTAATATGAAAACCTATATATAATGTCACAGGAGGAATAAATGTTTTACTAAGTAGGACCCTCAGAATGACTCTCCAGAGATCTACCAACCAAGCTACCTTTATGCTTACACATTATCTCCCCAAATAAGCGAATAGTTCTATACTGTGATATACTCCCCCATTATAATAATGAAATTATAAGTTCTGAGAACACTTTGCAATGACCCGGGAATTGTAATATCATAATAGTGACCATTACTATATACTGTGAGAATAAGAGGCATTTTTCAATTAAATTTTACATCTTATATCTTAAAGTGTACAATTTTTTTCCCAGTTTAACCTGTAAAAACTTATGCAATCCTTTTACATTTTTTTCAAAAATTTTCATGTAATTAGAAACCCCCCAAAAAAACATTAAACAAATTAAAAAAGAAAAACAAAGAAATTAGGTTAGTAAGAAACTTCCTTCTAATATTCTCAGACAGTATAAAAGTTCAGTAAACAGAATATTATTATTTTTGATGAATAATTATTATTCAATGTTGGTATCCAAATACTAGTAAAACAAGAAAAATATGTGCCTTCATCTTCCTTAACCTTAACTTGTCATGTTGTGCATTTAAAGTCCATAGCCATAATGCTACATTTGATAGCCAGTTCTGATCACTTATAAATTTAATAAACCTAGATATGAGTATTAACTTTAGAAACCATTTGTATGTGATTTATGGCATGTCCTACACATATAAAATCAAATCATGCAAAATAACTTTGCTATGAATATTAGCTTCAATTAATTTGTATTTGTTTTTTCCAAATACAAAACTTGGCATGTAATAACAATGTAGTACACCTGCTTAAAATATCTTAAAAGTTGGCATGAAACTTTTGGAATCTAACATGAGAAATTACTTACAAATCATTATTGGGACTAATTGTTCCACCTGTGTGGCTTATCAGCAAAATGCTGTGTAAATATTTTCCTGGTGGCAGCTATACTACCTGCTGATATATATATCTTTACTGATTAGCTACATTATACTGTAAACAATATGTCAGCTGTCAGTCACACTAATTGGTTTTAATTGCTGTTTTAACTGGCAATTTCTAATAGGGGTGGAGGGTGCAAGACTGGAACAGCAAATAACATTTATGATTATTATATTTTTAGATATATAAAACACTGAAATGGCTATTCATTGTAGGTGTGAAGGACGCTTGTCCGTAGCAACCAAGTGAAATTCTATGAGTGTTTTACATTCACTTGAAGACTGGACCTTACAGAGACAAAAGGTTAAGAATGGAACAGTCATTCTTTATAACAACATCAAAGAGGATCAGTTACAAACTGAGCTTATAACCATAGCATGTTTATACTTTAATTAAGTCCTAAGTATACAAACATATTAATGGCTTTTTAAGTTATTTCTACAAATTCTTAACTAAACTCTAATTATATTCCTTTGAAGCAAGGCTAATCAAAAATCAATTTGTGGTACCAAGTGGTAATTTTAAGATTAGTAGAATAAAACCCACTACTTCAGGAATATACTTATCTGTACATAAGTTTTTTGCCAGAGTCAGAGTAATGGTGTAATACTTCCAATATCAACATGTAATTTATATAAAGTTATACAACAGGCATATACAAGAAGTTGATTTGTTTTGTTAGACACACTCTGCATGTTAAGGTCATATAGTGACTTTCAAGCATTACTTATGCAGGATGACATCCAGTGCCCATTCCTGCATTATTTCAGGCATGAGCAGGCACCTGGGTGGAACCACAAATGTTCTGTAAACTTGACAGCTTCCTTACATGAAAGAGTCCCAAGTCCCTGGTGGGATTACAATTCACAAAGGTGAGTGGCAAGTGATTTGAAGTCAATGACCTTTACCACTTAACCAAAGAGGCCGGGTACACACATGAAGCTCACATAACTAAGGCTAGGAGTGAAAGTTGGAAATTTAAAAAAAATCCTGTACATCCTGAATCTGGCTTATTTGCCCCTTTAAATTTTATCTAAAATACATAGATCAAGTGTTAAGGATCAGGATCAAATTTACAAAAAACTCAAACATTTTCCATTGTTATCCTCGTAGATTTAATATTTCATAAAAATTATTAACCTTAAAATTGCTTATGAAATTTTATAATAAATTTATTGTTATTTTACAAGAAATAGTTTTAGGAGTCTGGAAAAAAAACACTGGAATAACCTAAACCATTTACAAATAAAAGTCACCTTGAAACCCTTATCACACTGTCTGCTATTCACAAAAAATATATGTTGCCATCAAATTCTTTCATAATCTCAAGTATGTCAGCATTGCTGCACTTATGTTTTTATCTAATTTATTTCTTTTTATTGTTTTATATTTTAAAGGGTATAAAGTTATATCTTACAAAATATCTTATTTTTAAAAACTTTATTAACAGTAAAACTATGTTGTTCCCAATATATTACGGTTGATTCTCAAAAAAGTTGTAACATTGAATATGAATTGTATACATAAACAAAATAAAATGGTCTCCAGAAAAAAATATTTTGCTGCTCTATTTTGAACTGTATGATTTCGAGCTCATGACATTTGCTCTAAGGGAAAAACACACAGTTATTTCTTTCATTCAGGTAGAAGTATTCTTTTCCAAAATTAAAAATATAATTTTTTGCAACAGATATATAGCTTTATACACTTTGATGCAACATTTTGAAGACATGTACACTGACATTTGAGCCGCTTCATGACAAAACCAACATAGTGCGTTTGCGACCAGCATGGATCCAGACCAGCCTGCGCATTTTCCATTATTTCTCATGAACTCTGTGATTTTAATTTATTCAAATTTATTTTGTTCCTGGCTAACCAATACTTGGCAATGAGTGTAGTTCTTGCTCAATGAAACAACAACTTGTCCCTGACTTTTTAGCAATTTGCTTTTGTTTTCATTTCTCTTGGGGTTCTAACATTTCAAGATTTTACATGTATTATTTCAAGTAAATCAAAAGAAGGGGAGAATCAGGATGGTTTGTAAACTGGTTTATTCAAGGATCTACCAGCTTTGGTCTTTCAAGACTTTCATCATTATTTCAGTTAAGAATATCTAACCACCTGTCTATTATAGGCTAGTACATTACCTTACATTACACAACATTTCTTCACATGAAACAATTCAACATCCAAAGGGGATTGGAACTGAAATCGAGGAAGGTGATTCAAAGTAATCAACTATTGTAAAGTTACATAACACAGAGATAACAGCTGATTTTCAACAGGTTCTAACTTTTGCAATCCAGATGCCAATTCAAATTGGGCATCAAAATGTGCTGCTTTTGATGCTTGGAACACGGCCTATCAGATAAAACTGTTAATGAATGCAGCGATCAAGAACACTCAAGACTGCATGAAAATAATACCGGGTTTTCAAATTACTTTAACAGATATTCCATTACATATACTAAATTACACATATACTAAATTACACATCTTCTAAAATGCCTAATGAAAAGTTATAAAAACATTTAGGATTTCTGTAAATACACTTTAGAAATAAAAACCTGATTATCTTAATGTCTTTGATAATACCCAAAATGCATTTGGGCATAAATTATAATTCTATAGTAATTTAGTAAATGTTTAATGTAAAATATTCCATTTCTAGAAAAAATATTTAATTTTTTGTTCCAACCCCCCTCTAAAAGTGTTATGTACAAGAACCTGGCATAAAAATTTTGAAGTGTTAACTGTTTTTATATCATTTATATTTGTAATTTTGTTGGTATTATAATACTGAGGAAAAACAGACATCCCTACTGCTTTGATATGGAGACTGATAAAACTATATCTTAGAAGATTTTTGATAATAAATATCATTTCAACACTTTGAAGGTAAATATCGGCCTATAAGACTTCACCAGCCTAAATGGCTTATGAGTAACCAGGTGAAAGGTTGGTATTAAAAAGGCGCATGATTGATATTCAATTTCAAAATATATTTATGTTTTTTTGTATTTTAGAAAAATTTAAATGTCCGCAGAAATTTGTTTTAACAATATTTTTGTATTTATTTTCTATTTTATAAATGTTGGATTTATTTGATCAACTCCCAAAAATTGGCTTTCATATGATGAAACATGGTTGTGACTCAAGAAGGGCTCAAACCTATGATCCCTGGACTGTGAAGAAGACTCTTAACCACATGAACACCAATCCCCTTATGCTAATCGAGGTTTAAATAGCAATGAATTTATGAAAAATTATCAAATGAAATAATGTCAAAAAATAACAACAACAAAATATTACAGAGTATCAAAAGATTTAGTTCTTTAAACTGAATTATAGTCATCCACGGGTGTAAAAATATATTCAACTTCAAAAAATTCAAACAATTACAATGAACTTCGACAAATGTGTATTATACAGTATCTATCTAAATTTATAATCGTTATGCTTTCCAGACAGAAATATCATTTCAACTGTTCCAAGTACAATATTTTAAGTTTTCATATAATTCTGTTCTGTGTTTTGCCTAAGTATAATTATGATGCTATCTTCAAATCACATAACCAAACAATCATGTCGCGAAAATTGTATTATGTATAAAAACATCAAAGTAAAAACCTAAACAAAAATTAATTGTTTCAAGACAAAAAGGAAATATTTTTTGTGAATTTTTTTTTTTTTAGAAAATACAACATAATTCCTCAAAGAAACATCAGTACAAAGTAGAAACCATGCCTTTAGAGTTGAGAGGAACCATGTAAGCCTAGCCTGAGGAGAGAAAACAGAAAATCTCTTATCTGACACATAAAACCAGCCCTGGCAGAGAATCTATGGTAATTTATTCCCAAAACTGATAAGCCACTGATAAAATTCACAGTAATCGATAAGCCAAATCCCGAAAACTCTGTGAAACTGGTGTTTATAGACGGGGAATAAGTCTGGGATGAAATGTATTTACCAGAAATATTTATATTACAGGGGCAGGGTATTTACTCTGTGATGACAGTATGTGTCAATGAGAACTCATAATAACTGTCATACTATAAATGTGAGACGAGGATTATTAAATATATGATATATATCTGTAAAAATAATGGTAAGTAAATTTTTCAGGGTTTTTAATCATCATTATTGTTTCTATTATCATTAATTAAATTTTGAAGAAAAATATTTTTTTTTATTTTCAATAAATAATTCAAATAATTTTTGTATGTAAAAAATAAAAAATATTACAACACTTATTTTCTGCCAATTGATACCTACTACATGTTTAACATAATACTGTGTGTGTTTTAAGTACTATTTTGTTTTTTCCTATTTACGCTTTTTTACGTAATTACTTTTATCTCTATAGGAAACTGAAATATTTTTATATTCAAAATAGTACTTAGTTTTAATGTAAATTGTTTAATTAAGACACATTTGAATTGTACATTTTTCTGCCATTTTAATGTTAGGTTTTCTAATAATATTTCGCCATGTCTGTTATTTGTTATAATATTTATGGCGAAAGCCAAAACGTTGATAAATAATAATCATCAAAATTCATGTGCTTTTGTTGATTTTTCTATGCTAAATAATTTTTGTTGCATTTTCAGCCATTTTTTTCATGATAACCTGATTTTCCTAGCGTTTTCTTATTTTTTGTTCCTGGAAATGACAAAACTTTTAATAATAAAAATTTTCTCACTCATGTCATTTAAAATACATTTATTAGAATTATAAAATTTAAATTAATTTGGATCAAAACTCTTCTCTAAACTGTCTCTCAGATGTAGAAAAAAATAAAACAATAAAAAAAGTAACCTTAAATGAACCATAGGGGAATCAATCAATGTTTTAATAAATAAAAGTTACAAAAATATTAAACTTATAAAAATGTTGTTTTTTAATGCATAAAAATTTAATTTCACAAATAAATATTTATTCTATTGTTATCTAGCATATTATTAGATACAAGTTCTGTTAAGACAATTCAATTCTTTAATGAAATTTAAACATAATACATGTGTACTACTATACTATATCAAAATGTAAAAAAAAGTTTCTAAACATGTAAAGCTAAAATATATATATTTTTTAATTTATGACATTGACTAACTTAAAGATAGGTTCAATTTAGTTATCAAGATATACTGTGAGATTTTATTTTCAACCAAACTCGGAAAAGCTTAAATCTTATTGATGCAAGCTGAAAGAAACTGAACATCATATGTTGGGACTAAGAGAAGTTTATATTCAAACTGAGTTTAAAGTAAATTCTGTGCAAGAATTATCCACGCATCAAGCTCTTAAAAATAGTTACTTTGATAGTTTATAAGCACTTAAAAAAAAAATTAACACCTATTTTCTAAGAATCTAATAAATAGCGATTTACAAGAATTAAATAAGACCTTTATACACAAATTTCCTTTCATTATTTACATACTTATTATTATCAAAATTGAGAATATAGATATTATCAGAGACATATTAAGATAGGGTCTCTGATATTATCAAACAAAAGCAAAATGCTTAAATATGTAAAGCAAATCTTGTGTTCTTATCTATATATCATCAAATAACACTAGAAACACATGTGCAGTATAACTGACCCATGACAAATTGCCTTGATGTGTGCCCCTCGGCTTGGGCACTGTCTTGACTAATTAAGCTCCTGTAAACCTTCCCACTCTCATCTTGTTTCAAACAAATATCTCAGGCAGTACGATATCTTGGTCTTTAAATTCAATCCCTTTCCTTAAGACTAGAATGAACTATTTTCATAGTCTTTTCCATTTACAACATATTTCAGTGTTTGGTGCCCATACATTACAAGCAAAATGGAAAATCCTCTGCTTTGAATTAGGAACTTGGCAGTTTAAGTTATAATTATATTAGAAATCTTAATACCAAAATGATAAATATTTAAACTAAGGCTTGATTTTGCTATTTTTAGATTGAAAATTCACATTTTGGCGATAACAATTTTTTTTACCATTTTATTAGTTTATTTTTTTTTTTTTACCATTTTACTGCTAAATTTAATTTTTTTAATCTGAAAAAGGTAAAAAATCCATTAGTACTCTAAACTATATGGTAAAAATATTATTGCTCTGTGTTATTTAAGAGTTCCTTGTAATAAAGAGATGTCACTGTGGTCAGCTTTCAGAGCAAAATACTTGCAAAAAGTTTCTTTCACTATTTTTTTTAAAAATGTTTTAGCAACAGACAAGTCATATGAAGAAAATAATTAGAACTGTAATATTTTCTGTAAAACCTAGATGAAGATTTTTTAGCTTCAATATATTTTATCTGATACAGAGAGAATTCTAAATTCTTCCCTTATCAATCCACTTAAAATAAAATGCTTTCCAATGTATCTTTCAGATAACTTTAAGTGTCTGCAGCTTGAAAATGTTCAAGTGCATCCTAAGGAGACCATACTGGCTGTATTGATTAGGATAATTACTTCTGCAGAAACTGAATATGTTCCGGTCTCTTTGACCATTCAGGCTAATCAAGAATGAACTGGCCCTGAGCTTGATTTATGTTTCAAGTGAAAGATGGATTACCCTAAAAAATGTTGAAAAACATGGAATAGAACACTAATGAGGAAGACATATATTTAAGAAGCTAGAAATTCAGAAACAGACCTTGAGGGCAGGCAAGTAGAAAAAATGGCAGCGGGAAATATTTTCAAATATACATTTTTATCAATATTTATTTTCTGTGGTACCAAGATGCTTTACCTTGTAAAAGAATCAAGTGAAAACTATTCAAAACAATTGCCAGTTGATGACAATGATTACTTCAATACTTTCAAAGAGCAAAATTTCCCAGTATTACATAAGGATTCTAACAAGGTAAAAAATAAACCTGGATTAATTCAAATGGCTATTCAACAAAGGAATTTTAAGAAAGATGTGGAGGTTATATCAAAAATTAATTCAACAATGTTAACAAACAATAATCTTAAGAGGAAAAGAAAACTGCTGTCTGAAATGTGGGATACATATTACAAAGTTAAGGAAAGTGTAACACTTGGAAAGCAAGTTCAAAGGTTACATGCATTTCACCAGGTTGGGAATGACACTTTCGTGTATTCGGTGTTCTATGATGACAGGCAGATTTCAAAAAATAAAAACCCAGTTCTACAAATTGTAACAATTTCAAAACTACAATCAAAATCAACTTTAATGTGTAAGTTCTCTGAAAGCAGCCGAGAGGATGGTCAATGGGTCACTGCAGTTAAACAGGAACTTAGTGATAATCATGGTAAAATATATGGGGGAGTTTTATACACTTGTAATATCCCTAACATACTTCATAAAACTCCACAGAAGACAATTCATTTACAAAGTCAAATCACTCAGGATGATAATCTCTCAAAGGTGACAAGCGCATTAGTAACCATGGAAGTAATTTGGCTAGAAATGTCAAATTGGAAGTCAGCAATATATCATGATGCAGATAATCTCCAAAAATCTCAAAGTGTGAAGCAGCATATAAACTCTGCAAACAATTTCTTGGAAACTTTTCCGAATAGCAAAGAATCGAGAAAAAATCAAACAATTGATAAATCACAGATATCAAGTCCAGAAATAATTCAAGGGAGACAACTGGATTTGGCAATGAAAGAAAAATATAAAGAGTTATCTAGAACTAGAAACAATAGCTTGCCAACTGTTTCTATATGTGTTCCACCATTATTCGGCGACATAAAACTATCTGAATTCATACAGTTTGTTGAAATTCACAGAATTCTTGGTGCTAGTCAGATATTTTTCTATAAAATGGATGTTACATCTGACATAGGACAAATGTTGAATTATTATCATTCTCAGGGTCTGGTATCACTGCATGATTGGATATTACCAAAAGAACTTCAAGTCTCTGAAAATATCTGGTACAATGGTCAAAGTGCTGCACAGCAGGATTGTTTGTATAGGAACATGGGGAAATATGATTATACTGCCTTTATTGACCTTGATGAGGTCATAGTTCCAACATCTGCATCAGACTGGCCACAAATGCTCGAACAATTAGATAAAACTTATACTGAAGGTAAAAACAGACATGCTGCGGCATACATATTCAAAAGTGCTTTTTTCGAGCCAAATTATACAAATACTGAGAAAACTAATATAAAACATGAAAAATTGTCATTCTTGAGAAGTTTGTACAGGACTGAAAAAATCAGTTCAATAAGAAATAAAGTGATAGTAAAGCCAGTATTTATAGAATTTACAGGAATACATCATGTTTCTAAATTAGTGAATTCTGAATTAAATCCTGAAATAGTTAACGTTCCAGTAAATAAAGCACTGATTCACCACTACAGGAAGTGTACAGAAGCCTTAGATACAGAAATGCATTGTGGGAAATATGTAGCAGACGCAAATTTGTTAAAACATTCTGAGACGCTCCTAAAAAACTATGAACGTGCATTGGATGATAACATAAAATATTTCAAAACTATAAAATAGTGTGATATATTATTAAAACATTCCTTTATCATTAAAAAATATTAAATGTTTATGTTTGTTTTGATGATTTCAGCCAACTCTAAGTGACTCCAACCAAGTATACGGTTTGCCTTCCTTCAATGGCCAAGAATGAACCAAATTTCATAAACATTTCAATCATATCTTAAATTATCTGATTTCTACAAAAATTCATTTAACTCAATAGAGAATCACAATTAACTGACATGACAGACCAATGTAATAACTTTAAATATTTCATATATCTTTATTACCATACATTATGTCTATAATAGTAAGTATTAAAGCAGCTGATATGATTTTTTTAAACATCTATTTAAAGATATATACAACAGTTTTCATACAGACATACAGGTAGAATAAAAACTGATTTTAATACCGGGTAACAGCATTTACTGATTTTTTGCATTATGTTACTTAGAATATGACTGAAAAATTTAATGCTAACAAGCAAATTCGTTGAATTTATATCCCCCGCCGAGTACTGGTTATTATTAACACAACAACTGAAGACATAAGGCTTTATTTATATATTAATCATGGCATAAACAGTAATATTCTTTGAACCTGATAAATATTCAGGGAAATAACAGAGCCATAACTTTGTGTTAAATAGTAATACCTGGAAATGCCAATAAGATGTATGCCTACTACATAACTAATCAAGGGCCATAAATCTGAGTTATAAGTATCTGACCGGAACAAGGCGACTATATGCACATCTCCTCTTAAAATTGAATTCCAGCCAGTAGTTACAGAGAAGTAGCACGGAAACGATTATTGCTCTGGTTGTATACTGCCTAAGTTATCAAGGGTCATAACTCTAAGTTAAAATGTCTGACCCGAACAAGGCGACAATATGCGCATGACCTCTTGGTATTGAAGGTTCAAATAAAGTTTCATTGAATTCCAACCAGTAGTTGCAGAGAAGTAGCACAGTAACGATTTTTTCTCTATATGCATACTAGATAACTAATCAAGGGCCATAACTCTGAGTTAAAGTGTCTGACCGGAGCAAGGCGACGATATGCGCATCTCCTCTTGGTATTGATGGTTCCCATAAAGTTTCATTGAACTCCTACCAGTAGTTGCTGAGAAAAAGCACGGAAACGAATATTGTCCTATATATGCATACTGCATAACTAATCATGGGCCATAACTCTGAGTTAAAGTGTCTGACCGGAACAAGGCAACGATATGCGCATCTCCTCTTGGTATTGAAGACTCCCATAAAGTTTCGTTGAATCCCAGCCACTAATTGCAGAGAAGTAGCGCGGAAACGATTTTTACTCCATATGAATACTGCATAACTAATCAAGGGCCATAACTCTGAGTTAAAGTGTCTGACCGGAAAAAGCCAACGATATGCGCATCTCCTCTTGGTATTGAAGGTTCCCATTAAGTTTTGTTGAATTCAAGCCAGTAGTTGTAGAGAACTACTCCGGAAACGATTTTTACTCTATATGCATACTGCATAACTAATCAAGGGCCATAACTCTGAGTTAAAGGGTCTGACCGGAACAAGCCGACGATATGCGCATCTCCTCTTGATATTGATGATTCCCATAAAGTTTCGTTGAATTCCAGCCAGTAGTTGCAGAGAACTACTCCGGAAACGAAATTCAGACGGACAGACGGACGGATGGACAACGCCAAAACTATATCCCCCTCCTGATTCCATCGGCGGGGGATAAAAAAACATGGGAGATGATCCTGATCACCAAGCTAATTTACCCTTGAATTATTACACAAATAATTGATTTTGAATTTTATTCGGAATATATTTCTTTATTATAATTTACTGTTTTCCCATTTTAAATGTCCCACACAAGAGTTTTTAAAATTCTATGTATTTAGGCTTTTGGAGTCACACCAGCACAGGAAAAGTTGTTTTACAATATTATTCCTATAAATGGTGGATGAAATCTGTAAGTTCCCCTCTGTATATTATTTCTAGCAAAACCAGGTGTGCTGTTTATCAAATTATGACAACTGTTTATTCAAGTTACTACTGCATAATGACCATGATATACACAGAAAGCATATCTTTTATAGAATATGCATATCTAAAACACCTTTCAATTTTTATTAATGTATTATCTTCAATCTGTATATTTAATAATCTACATCTGTAAGTGTGACCTTGTATGATGCTGGTAGCATGTTCAAATGTAATACATCTTAAAAAGGCTTTCTCATTTGTCATTCAGTATTAAAGACTCACAGACTTAAATGTTTAGAATAATGTGACATTGTATCATATTGATATACTGTATATGATTTATCTACAGTGTGATGTATCATTGAAGTAGCACTAGTACACAGATGGGTACTGCGTTACAAACAAAACACCATTACCAGTCATTTAAGATTCATGTAATTACATTTAAGCAACATACCTTCAACAAATACCACAACTCAAATGTATACAACAAGCATATATAGTGATGTTCAAATAAAAAAATCTACAAAAATTAGCTTCTTTTACCATACATTTAAACAAGTAACAAGAAATTAACAAAAAGCAAGGTTTTTGTGTAAAAAAAAAAACAACAGAGGGCCATAATTACAAAATTTGCGCCAAGACACATGATGATCAGTGAAAGATTACATGAAATGTTATTAGACAAGTTGTTAGACTTGCACACAGTAAAGATTGTTTACACCTAGTTGCATGCCTGATGCCATTAACCTTGCAATCTGGTGGTAGTTGTGGTAGTTCTGGATCACGGCAGTAAGCCACATTGAATTCATCAGAGAATAGTTCAGCCATCGCATCAATCCTGGGTAGGCTGTCAAGCAGTTTACCAGTACTAGTTAAGGAACTGAAACTTCTGTACATACCAGAGCAGAGGTACAGTGCGAATGACAGAAAAGATTTCATGATCAATCGCAACAAAAGTGACCTGCACTTGACAGATTCACAGTCCAACTCTCTACATATTGATCTAACTGTACGGCTGAAAAGCACCTTGCAATCTAATAGATACAAGTCTATATAAACTAAGTGACAACTGGTGAGGGGCCAATTTTGACCCAAGATGCATGATTTATGCCACTTTTGTAGAGGACCACAAGGTCATACTACAATCATGCCAAATATCTAAGCTCTAGGCATAGAAGTTTCTGAGGAGATGCCTTTTAAGATATATTTGCTATACAAGTCTATATAAATTAAGTTGTACCAATTGGTGGGACCAATTTGAACCAAGGGGCATGATTTATTAACTTTTGAAGAGGTCCACTTGGAAATGCTACATGCCATATATCTACCCTGTTTCATAAGAAAAGACTTATTTTCCTATAAAAGCCTATGAACTGTGGCATGATTTATATAACTTTTGTAGAGGGTACATGCCAAATATCTAAGCTCTGAGCATTGTAGTTTCTAAAACGATTTTTAAAAGTCTATTTTTAGTTGCTGTGACTACTTTTGCATCAGACTGGAATCATTCATATAACTTTTATAGATGACCGCTTTAAGATCATTCCTATGAAGTTTGGTCAAAATCCATTAAGTGATTTAGTAGGACATGTTATACACTGTATAAATTATAAAACTTTACCTTGACAACATCAGGACCTGTGATGAACAAGTACGAAGTATCCTGAAATAAATAACAAATCACACATTCTGGTTTGATTTTTACTATACATTTGTAGAAAAGAAAATTGTACGGAAAGAGGTGCACAAGAAATATTTTTCCCTTACATTAATATGTATAACTACTTTCATTGTCAATTTTCATCAACTAGCATTTATGTAACATGTTTTCAGTTGATATGCACGTGACAACAACACAAAATACTTTCTTAATGGAAAGAAAATAATATTACAACAGTTTTTGTTCATTTTATATGAATTATAATAATCAAATGACATTGTTTCAATGTTCTAAACTTTACAAATTGCCTTGATTAAAAAAGTGACTGACAATATTTAACATGTTGACAAAAGTTTCCACTCACCTTGACCATAAAAGTATAGTCTGTCAGGGCAGGTGAATACACTGCACCACCTATAATATAACAAATATATTTACATATCCTTCCATACAATATATCATACTTAACAAACCTTATAATACAAGAATAAGATATAGATTCAAATTCATTTATTGCTTATCTTTGCTCATCCTAAATACACATACCAAAAGAAATCACTGCAATGTCTGGACAAGAAAAGAGGAATTTCTGAAAATAAATGTTGAAACGCCTGGCATATCTCCCTGAACTAAAGTAGTATAATTTCTTTCTTTGTATTTTAGACTGTCCATTGATGATATCATAAGTTTGAGTATTTTACAGTAAAGAATAGAACTAAAATAGGTATCAGATTTCTAAATCATATGATAAATATTGTTGTTACATTGGAAGTAACATATACAAATAGGATCTTACATGTGATTTCATTTCATATAAATTGACCACAGTTGGCACATCTGTGTTTTAAAATATTTAGCGTGGTAAGCATTATATGAATAAGGAAAAGCTTATAAAGTGAACCTTTGGCAAGCTTCATACATTTCTTAAATAAGGATAAGGTCAAAAACAAACCTATATGAAATAACAACACATAAAAGTTTTTTTTACCATTTGATATTACATTTGTATATAGTGGTTAAATGGAAAGGAAAAATAAAGGAAAATGATTATTTAACAGGCAATTTTTTATTATCAAATATTTGTCCTAATACAAAAATCTAAATGGTTAAAATCAGTAAATTGACTAAAGTATCTCCTTTCTTAGTATGTAGTTTAAGGTTTATATGACAAGATGTAACTTACCAGCACACGGACCCATAATGAGTGATATTTGTGGTATAACTCCAGATGCATTCACATTTCTCTGTGTAAAACAATTAATTATATAACTAATTAATTGATTTATATTGATCTTACTATAAGAATATAATGGCAAGTTGAGCATTTTTAACAAACAAACAGAAAGATTTTCTTCAAAATCCATGATAAATTTCTAAACTCACTGGGGTATAACTCAGTTCAAATCTATGCATTTGCTAAAGGTCTTTGAAAGTGACCTACACGTCCCAAAAACATGTGCAAAATTTCATATGAATATTCTTTAACCAAATTTTTTATGCTGGTGTAAGTATGAACAGTGAAACAATCAACTTCAAAACCAGCTTGTTTGTTTGATTTCTAACATGCTCAAAGAAATAAAATCTATAAAAAACAACATAATTAGCTTGTAAAACAAAACATATGATATAGTATTGTTAATATACTTGTCACAGGACCGTCAAAATCTGATTTTGACTTACTAGTCAATTTTTCTCTGCAGTATTTCTTAACTTGTGACGTTGTCTGTATAACATCTATATAGTAAAATCATGAAAATTTCCGTTTATCCGTACAAGCTGTAGGACAACCTGGGCAATACTGACAATTGATTTTGCTGCTTGACCTATTTATGGAGAAACAGAACATTTAAATACAAATTAAATCGTACCTGAAAGATATCAGCATAACCGGCAAGAGATTCAACACCTTCCTGGATCCTGGCTCCACCAGAGTCATTCAGTCCAATAACTGGGGCTCCAACTAACATGGCTTGATCCATTATCTGTTATAATGCAAAATATTGTTTAGGATACGAAATAAGGCATAATACAATGTAACTCATATTATGTTCCTATAGTGAGCTACAAGGTCAGTGACCTTAACCAATAAACTACCAGTAGTAGAATGGCGCCCTTTGCCTCAGAGTGACTTTGAAAAAATCAGCAGCTTTGCTCAATTTTCCATGTAGCTCTTAAACAAAATTAATGTAATAAAATTGCAAATTTTACGTAGGTCTTACAAAGGCATTCAATGTAAATTTTATATAGATGTCACTGATACATGTTTGTTTTTACAGTTGAAGTAACTCCAAAACTTTCAAGCCAATTTAATCATATTCAACACTCTAGAAACAAGATTCTGATCCCATATTGAACAATATTATATAACTGCCAGTGTCAACCAATAATAAATATCAGATAAAAAAAATAATGTAGCCTTTTTATAAGTCATCTCGATGTCATGCTTTATGGTTATCACCTTAGCCTGGGATACACGTTGATATATTTTGCTTATTCATAACATATGCGTTATTTCATACTCAATCGTGTTTTGATAATATCAAAGCCTAATCAAACATGTTGATCAAATTCAATCATCATGCAATAAACCAAATCAACAGAGTAAAATCTCTCAATTTTTAATTGCAAATGTTGGTATGAAAGCAAGGCTCCTTGACTGTTCGTTGAGTTTCGGGTCACTTCGTGGAAATTCTGTTTCTATTTGTAGACACTACTTTGTATTTGCATGAGTTATCGTTCTTTAAATTACACTTGTTATTTTCGGGTGATTACTAGGTGGCGCTTCGATCAAAAATTGTATTTCCCCCAGGCTGTTGATTAGCTGAACAGAAACACACAAAAAATCGACAGACTGGAACCCAGGTTAGGCTTACCTTACAGATCTTTTTGGCATGTGCACCAGACAAACTACCACCAAACACTGTGAAGTCCTGTAGGAAAAACAAACATAGTCAAGTATAAACAATAATTTGCAGTCAATTTGATTTTCCATCATTTAGATTTACTTTGTAGAAGTCCAGCTAAAGATACTTCTCCTTAAATATTTAAGTCCTTGCAGTTTTGTAGAAGAAAATTCTAAAGATATCACTTTTAAAATGCTTACCTAGCAGAAAAGTTATCCATTAAACTGGAACCATTTAAAGAACTTTGGTACATGTTCATTCCATGAACATTCAAGGCATACTTTATCAAATTTGACAAAAAGGTTTCTGAGAAGATGTCATTTGAAAATATTGTTCATAAATATTGTTGATAATATATATATAATATATATAAACAGACAGCTAACAATCATTCATCATAAAATCCTATTATGTCTTATAATCACTGTCATGTGTTAAGATGAACAATAATAATTGCCAATAATAAATACCTGACTGAACACAAAGCACATCCTTCCGTTGATCGTTCCACGACCAGTCACAACACTGTCACCAGGAAACTAAAATCATTAAATGCATTATAAATTACTACAATTATTTAACCTCAAAAAAACCCACAAAAAACATTATAATATATGATGTTTTATTTTTTTATCATTCTGGCAATTTTTGAATTTGATCCTCATTCTAAGTCTGAATTGTTAGTTAAATTTTAATAGTCACATTGAACCTGCAATATATGACCTTTCTATGGGAATTCCACAAAAAAAATCAAATAACTTGCTTAAAATGCATCTGTCTGATAAACAATGTAATGCTTACTAACTAAATTTCAAAACTATCATAACGGTACATGTACTTGAAAACAGAAATTGATGTTAAATTATAGAAGCAGGAATAACAATTTATCAGACAAAGAATTTTAAGTGATAGTAGGTGAGTTACCTTCTCATTTTCCATGCCGAAGTCAGTACAATTATGTTCAAGGAATGCATCATACTCTACAAAACTTCCTGGGTCCAACATCAAGTGTATCCTTTCTCTAGCTGTCAGTTTTCCCTATACAAGGTACATAAATTTACCCTATTTATAACTAGTATCATGTGAACATTCAGGAATTTTCTAGAACAAAAATAAGTCATTTACGTATTTGTCCAATTTTATGTTTCTATTGAAGAGAGAAAGAGAAAGAAAAAAAATTATACATTTCAGTTTGATTCCTAAATCATCAGGTGTAAAATGGGGATCAGATTGGATTACTGCCTGTCTTGCAATACAGAGCCCGGAACCTCGTAATTTTCGCAAAACTTGTCTTCTTCCTTCTCAAGGTATTGATCAAACAAGGATTTATACACTGTCACCGTAACGTAACGGTAACCTTGACCTTTTGACATTATAACATCAAAATCAAGACTAGGGGTCATCTATTATATTGATCACAGGCTATGTTACCACCAAGTAACATTTACTTTATGTTACAGGATAGATATAATGTGCAGCCTGACCATGACTTGAACTCAGGACCTTTGGAATATCATATAGAGGCTCTACCAACTAAGCTATCCGGCTGCTTACAAATTTACTCCCCCAATTGGAGAACATGTCATTCTTGACCTTGATATACTCTCACACTAAGTTGAAATTCATCCTCAAATTTAAATGGGAATAAAAATATAATGGACTCAGAACTTTATACAGTCACGGTACCTGGTAAAGTGCCAAATGTCACAAGGTGAGAAAAATGTTCAGGCTAACTGGAATTTGAACTTAGGAATCTGCTACTCAAATGACTGGCCCTTTACACATCTTAGTTTTACATATATGAACCATGTGTTCTTGCATATCAGACTGGTGTTTCCATCAGCTTTAAATACACATACCAGAAATTTCATCTGGCATGGTAGATGCCAAATGAGTCGCGTGCTGTATATACATTGTAATGACATGCTTATGATGATGTAATTTTGCCGTTGTGAATGAAGTTGTAATGTAAGAAAAAAGATATGGGTGTAAAGACATAAATTTTAAGGTAAGGAATTTAAAAAATGTGGTAGAATATGCAAGAAAAAATATCTGATATGTTTGCGTTTTGGATCAGATTATCAATCCCTCAGGATGTTCGGAACAAGTATACTTGTCAAGCCTCGTTACCACACAATGAGCAGATGCCCTCGGGCTGGATGTTCTAATCTGAACCGCAAGATATGAGATAGACTCATCGGACCTATGCTCACCCTGATTTTTATTTTTATGATATAAATTTTTATTAATATTCAGGTCCTTTTACTGCAAGACTGCTTGACATTCTCATATGGCAGTTTTAAAAACTTTTAAAGTATACTCATTATCTTCCCAAAAAGGATAACAGGATGACAATGGAAACAAGACATGTACAAATAAATATACAGATTAATGTGTCTTGGTTAAAAACATACCTTTTGGTGTTGCTTTGCAATTCTTTTCTCTCCACCACCCAATAAAGAAGCTTCTCTGGTCTTGTCAATCCGTTTCTTTACACTCAACGTATGCTGTGTACTTCCTGCAACAACACTGCAGCATCTTGCATTCTTCAAAATTACGTTTGAAGAAGCAAGAAGTCTACTTTTGTGCAACACAGCTTTTGTGAGTCTAGCAACACCTGCCATTTTGTACACAAGGTCGCAATCGGGTATTCTCTATTCCGAAAATTTCTATAAAATTCAACAGAAAAATCAAAGTTTTCCGAATGATTTTGGGTTCAAGGTTGGTATTTTTGGTGAACTGCGCTATCTCGGTCACTTGCGGCGAAGGTCGATTTACAGCCAATCGTTGGACAGTACACTCGACTGCCTCTCAATGAAAACATGTCAGCTTCCACGAAACATACATCAACTAAAAGAAGAGTTACCGGTGAGAGAAAAACCATCAAAGAGTTAGCTGCGTTATCAAAAGTAAAGGAGAAGTAAGATGTGGCATGTTGTTTCTCTCTCAATGTTTCTACTGAAACTCTAAACTGTTAGTTAAGAAATTAGGGAACATTTTATGTCAATATTGTCAAATCGTTCTCAAGTATTTTCGGACCCAAAAAATGTCTAATTGTCATAAATCGATCGGCTTCTGACAAAACGTTAAAGAGGCACTTAAAAAAATAGTGCAACTGAAATTCATGTCAGAGAGACCATTTTCCAATGGTTACACTAGCAAAAACTAACAAACAACCCTCCTCCCCCCCCCCCCCCCCCAAAAAAAAAATAAATAAATCATAAAGTCAATTTTTAAAAGTGTAAAACCATTCACAATAGATTATAAGGCAAATATGAAAGTAGGCAAAGTTTTTTTCATTATTATATCTCGCTGATTATCATTGATTTACATTAAAATGGCAGCACCTACTAATGACACATAAAATTTCACTGATAGGTACTGTATAGAAATCGACACTGAAAATTTCACTGATAGGTACTGTATAGAAATCGACACTGAAAATTTCACTGATAGGTACTGTATAGAAATCGACACTGAAAATTTCACTGATAGGTACTGTATAGAAATCGACACTGAAAATTTCACTGATAGGTACTGCATAGAAATCTGTTTTTTTTTATAATTGTTTTTTATTTGATTTCCTTTTGAATATAAATATGTAGTATATAGCCGCCTGGGCAAGCCTTTGACTCCCCATCTAAGTGTCATTTTCACCTTAGGTTTATTAAGTTTTCATCTAAAATTACTTTCACCTCACATCTGTGTGTTATCAAAATGTGACTTTGTAAACTTATAGGCTCACTAATGCAGAGAAATAAAGCCATATTGGCCCAAATAAAGAATCACCACTAATACCACAGCACCTGTTCAGACAAATAAGCAGATGATAAGGGCAATACTGCTTAAATTAACATAATTAATTTTGTCCTAAAGGGTGGTGTCCTTTGGTACCATTGTAAGCTTACTTTATATTTCTGTGCATTTTTAAGTTAAGACTAGTACTACTTAAATAACTTAAAGATAAGAAAGTAAAAGTAAGTCCTGACTCCTTTTATTCTTACATGTTTACAACTAAAATATAATTCCCATTTTCAGGGTGAAGGGGACAAGGAGACAGTAACGCCTGTCTTATTCCTTACTTAATTTCCATTTATGATTGGTTTATTGTGGACTAAAAATCTATCAATAACTAGATTTTGGCTACACCAAGGCATTCTTTAAGGTGATGATGTGAGTGTAAAGAAGCAACTTTTAGCATTTATAAAACAAGATATGATAATGTTGAATGAAGTCTATACAATGTGATAAATTTCAGAGAAATTGAAAAGCCTGATGTTGTCGAGACTGTGGATGATGATGAGCCGTGGGCACCAGCAGCTTACACTGTGTTCAAAATTGTTATGTCTGCCAGGTTATGTGCTGCTGCATGGAATATTGTAGGGGATTGTGATGAAACATATAATTATTGGGAACCAGTAAGTTATACCTGTTTAATCCTAGATCTGATGAACTTTTGAAGTGAACTTGTAGGAACATCTGTGGCTGCATGGTTTAGGTTGTTGACTTCAAACCACTTACCTGTCACTAATGTGTGTTACTGGGACTTTGAATTCTTTCAGCTAGCTTAAAGAATGTCGATGGTTCTACTCTGGTGCCTGTCATGCCTAAAATATTATGCCCAGAAGGGCACCTGAGGTCTTTCTCAACCAAGAAAGCTGGAAAGTCGCCATAAGACCCAATCTGATAAAAATCACCTCTAAATAACGCTCCGCTTTTAGATCTAAGCGTGACCAATTACAAATTATTTCTGGTGACTATTCACACAGCCAATTATCAGTGAGCTTTCATAATTTTGAAAGCAATATGGTTTCTAATTTTAACCCTAGGAAAACAAATATTGAGTAGGTAATCTTCACGATTTTGAGAACAAACATGGTGTTGTCCATATATCAGACAGGAAAACTGGCAAAACAATCTTGTCCATTAAAAATTGGCTCTATTTTTTTCAAGTAATTTGTTAAAAATAACTTAAAACATTTTTTTTTCTAACAAAAATCAACAATTTGTTTAACTTCCACGTATAACAGTATTTTGACACTTCTTTTAATGCCTATGTAAAAACCGGTTTGATTGCATTGCTAAAAATAGTTTTCTTGTGAAATCCGAATTATAAAGGAGGCAAAACATATAGGGTCGTCATCAGATCTAAGAAATAAATAGATCTGTGTTTGTGTAAAACTTTACCCCGCCCCCCCCCATTCATCCGCGCAGTCTGATCAGGATCCATGCTGTTTGCTTATGAACCATTTAACAAGACGAGAAACTGATAGTGAACAGCATCGATTTTGATCAGACCTCGCGAATGCGCAGGCTGGTCTGGATCCATGCTGGTCGCAAACCCATTATGTTGGTTTTGTCGTGACGCGGCTCATTTGTGTTTTATATTTCAGTAGTGATTGTTTCATTTTAAGACATCTTTTTTTTTAATTTCAGACCCATTATTTGATGTTTGGGAAGGGTTTTCAGACATGGGAGTACTCACCAGTGTATGCCATACGTTCCTATGCATATCTCATGCTTCATACGTTACCAATGCGACTGTATGGACTGTTTACAACACCCAACCCTGTAAGTTTAGTTACGTTAATCTCATTCCTTATACTACAAGCTTTGATTTGATCAATACCAAATATTACCAGTTTATGTCAATTACATGTTCTAGATTTATAGCAGATAAACTTTTTTCTAAGATATATTTCTAGTAGAGAGTTAATCATAAGGGGAGTTTTTGTTGTTTTTTTTTTTCAAGTGCGACATACATATAAATATTTGCTTTGGTTGGCAAATGCTTGGCATACATTCATATAAAAAAATTTGGAGCCTCGTATATGTGACATGTATGTACCTTTGTTAGATAAAGTTTCTCATAGTTTACCTAGTTATGGTTCAAATAGATTTTGAAACTAAGTGCTCATGGTCAGTTTTGATAATTTACCTAGTTATGGTTCAAATAGTTTTTGAAACTAAGTGCTCATGGTCAGTTTTGATAATTTACCTAGTTATGGTTCAAATAGATTTTGAAACTAAGTGCTCATGGTCAGTTTTGATAATTTACCTAGTTATGGTTCAAATAGTTTTTGAAACTAAGTGCTCATGGTCAGTTTTGATAATTAACCTAGTTATGGTTCAAATAGATTTTGAAACTAAGTGCTCATGGTCAGTTTTGATAATTTACTAGTTATGGTTCAAATAGTTTTTGAAACTAAATGCTCAAGGTCAGTTTTGATAATTTACCTAGTTATGGTTCAAATAGTTTTTGAAACTAAGTGCTCATGGTCAGTTTTGATAATTTACCTAGTTATGGTTCAAATAGTTTTTGAAACTAAGTGCTCATGGTCAGTTTGATAATTTACCTAGTTATGGTTCAAAATAGATTTTGAAACTAAGTGCTCATGGTCAGTTTTGATAATTTACCTAGTTATGGTTCAAATAGTTTTTGAAACTAAGTGCTCATGGTCAGTTTGGATAATTTACCTAGTTATTGTTCAAATAGTTTTTGAAACTAAGTGCTCATGGTCAGTTTTGATAATTTACCTAGTTATGGTTCAAATAGTTTTTGAAACTAAATGCTCAAGGTCAGTTTTGAATAAACACATCACTTTGATACCTGCATTCACAAAATTATATATGTGTGTTACTAAATGTACTGTATATAAGATATTATGATCTTCAGGTGATGCTGTTTTTTATAACTCGATGTGTGCTGGCATTTGTCTGCTCATTATGTGAGGTGTTCTTTTACAAGTATGTTTTTCTTACTATTTATATCATATATATATATGTTTTATATGTTGTAGATAAAAAAAAAAAAGCCATTAGGTGTACAATGTTTTCCTTAACAAATAAAATCTATCAAATCTGTATTTACACAAATTATTTTAGTTGTGTTAAAAGTATAACAGAAATTGCAATGCTGAGATGTTCTATATATTTTCAAACTTTCTTATTTCATTTTAAAAGGACTAACTACTTACAATTTGTTGGTTTTAGTTTAGTGAATACAAACATAGTTTATGAACAATGAACCTTACCAGCATTCTTGATTTTTGTTCCAAGCCTTGTCAATACAAAACATTTTGCTTTTTCATTTATATATATAACTTGAGTATGAAAAGTAGGCCAGTTAGATAACTCAAAGAACATACTTAATTGTTCAGCAAAAAGCCCTATATTTAATTTCTTAAAATGTTCACCCTTCTTGGTATAGAAGATAAGAGGACCAGTATTCATTTCTGAGTGTTATAAGTGTGTCAAAGCAAAATATTGCCAATTTTTGTACAAAATAGGGACCTGCCTTAGGTGTTTAGTCTTATTGGTGAGAGTATACATGTATGTCAGTAGTCGAGTTATAGCATTTGCTCAATATTTTGTTGTTTATATTATAGGGGAGTATGTAAACAGTTTGGGAATAATGTTCTCGTTGATGTTTTTTTCAAATCAAAGGCTGGAATTTTATTCATCATCAGCGACTCCCAAGTATTTTCTGCATTGTACTATTTTCCTGATTTTGGGGGATTTTCCGGACTATGGGTATCCAAAATTAGTTTGATTTTTTCAGAATTTATTTTGTTGATTGTGTAGGAAGTTAAGTTTATAGACACATTTCAAAATTCGTTTGAACCAACATCGAGCAATGATTTTTAATTTCTTGCTCAAAGAAACAAAATTTTGACCTGACGGGGTTTTGAACCCTTGCGTACAATTTTTAAATTTTCTATCTGCCCAAATTTAACCCATCGTCCATTCCCCAAAAATAGCTTTTCCAAAACTTTTTTTTTTATTATCTTCTTGGGAAAAGAACAGAACCCAATGAAAAAAAATTTTTGCTGCCTTCAAATTACTCAGCTCAAATTACTTTTGTGTAATTAAAATCTTTCTATATTACAAACATCACAGTGTAATAGTCATTTTGTTTTAAGAAATGGAACTTTTTATGTTAAGCTAAAATGTGTGATTTTATCTTTTCTTATGCATTGATTTTACCTATTTTGATAATACATGTAATAACACATACATTTGAGCAGTTATTTAAGATAATTAGATTATAAGATATTTTAAGCTTAATTTAAATGATAAGATATTTTAAGCTTAATTTAAATGATAAGATATTGTAAGCTTAAATCTAGAATTGTGTTTATATTTCCAGGTAGCTATCATGGCCACTGCAGCTAGTACCATTCTTGGCTGGCCATTTGCAGGAATAATTGGGTATATATAGATCTTAGTATCTTGTTCAATAACTTTGACTTTCAGGCTAAGTGATTATGGTTTACTTTGTATAACAGCTACACCACTAAGTTCCTTTCAAGAAAGATACTCTGTCTTTAAACATAAAAAAAACATTTACCAAAGGTGGGGGGGGGGTGAAATAAAATATTTTTGCCCAGGTTTATATTCTTCTTGATAAATCATAACCCCTTCAGTTGAAAAACAACCAGTTCCAGTTTGAGTTACTTGTGTTACATACAAAATTAATGTGAAAAAAACCCCCGCTTTGTTTGATTAAGTATGTATCATTGAATACTACTAGGTTGTTCTAAACCTGGTGCCAAAATGGCCTGTGGAACTAATTGTTTTTTTTTTTGTATGAACTTGGACAAATGATCATCTCGAGATCTTGTTTAATGCTATTCTGCTCATTTATTATAGCTACTCGATGTAACATTATTTAATGGTTTTCTGTGACTTTGAAAGGAGTAATTAAATAACACATTTTAGCTGTTTGTTTTTGTCTTATTTTAGGGCTCCAATTGCTCTTGACCTATTGTTACGACAAAGAAAAATCAAGTTTTTTGTATTGTGGTCTTTACTAGCCCTTGTTACATTCCTGGTAAGTATTTTAGTTTTGTTGTGTTTTTGTTATCTGGAGCATTGTTCATAAAACTTAAAGTATAGAGAGATAGCAAGTTGGGCAAGTAGGAGAAAAGTAGTGTCAAAAAACTTTTACTCTTGCTTGTTTTGTTTTGTATTTGAAAAAAAAGGTTAAAAGAACATTGTGCAAGAAGTATAACACTTTCTACTTGTGTATTTGATTTTTTCTTTGGCAATCAAAATTAAATAACTGATTAAGATTAAAATGTACAGTTAATGGCAGATATAAATAAATATACAAGTATAGATAATATATCATTGAGAAATCCCAGTGTTTTCAGGGATTAACATGGATAACGTTTTATTGTTTTTCCTTTGCAGTGGCCAATGATTCAGTTAGACATGTATTATTATGGGAAGTTAGTTGTCGCACCACTTAATATTGTCATGTACAATGTATTCACTGACCATGGACCAGATCTATACGGTATAACTTCTTTCATTAGCTGTTTTCTTCCCTAACTGAAGAACTGGAATAGCTTTTCACACATTAAAATGTACTATTTATAAGCTAATTACTTTTTAGGGGGCCTCTGTAGTCAAGTGGTTCAAGTCACTGACTTCAAACCACATGCCCCTCACTGCTGTGTGTTTGAATCCCGACAGGAACTTTTGATTCTTTTATATGAGGAAGCTATCCAGCTAGATAACAGAAGATCAGTGGTTCTACACAGGTGCCGGCTTGTGTCTAAAAATAATGCATGTAGTTGTACCTGAGGTCTCCCTTCTTGTGTCAACCTGGAAACTTGATATATGACCTTTTAAATGTCGGTCTGACTTAAAACTGAACAGTTTCAATTTATGACCATTTTACTCTACTGTGCAAGATTCAGTTTGATTATACATGTATATAATAATTATTACTGGATAAAATCATTTTACTTCTGATTTTTTTTACAACATTATTCTGATAGATTCATTTAGAAACTGCTTACATACAAAAGTTGAATGCTATTGAAACAATTGATGAAGTATAACTTTTCTTGTCCACATTGTCTTATTTGTAATATACCTAAATTTAATAAATATTAAATGAGGAAACTTGTTATTGTTTGCACTTAACTTAAAATTGTGAGAGAAAAAAAAGATACCAAACTATTTCATATCTGAAGAAAGTTGAACTAAATTGAGTTTTGATGATAAAATATTGTATTCTTTTAAAAAATTTGGCATGATCATATCACTGATGTTTCGTTCTCCAATGCTTTAAACCCCTTTGGAGAGATTGGAGCCTCTCGTAAAAGGAAGCTATGTAACTAGTGTAATTAAAGTTAGTGGTTCTACTCAACTGTTACTTAAACCCAAACCATGCTAAATGTCTTAAATCATCTTGACCATCTTGCAATCTGGACAGAATCATTTTTAGGGAAAATTTCAAAATAAATACTGAAAAATGTGCCAGCTGATCTTCGTCTGTACTAATTGTATTGGTAGATATAGTTGCTCCCATAGACAAAGGGTTAACCAACCACAAACCTTTGAATACCAAACTGTAACATATACTATATATATATTTTATGTCTGTCCAGGAGTAGAACCATTCTCATACTACATCCTCAATGGTTTGCTGAACTTCAATGCTGTCTTTGTGTGGGCACTGTGCTCTCTACCTTTTGTGGTTTGTAAAGATTTCTTTGAAGTCTATTTTATTGTTAAATTGCTTAGTTGCTTGACCAAGATATATTAAAGTGATATTTAAATTGGAAATTGACTACAACATAAAATCTATATGTTCAAATGATAAAATTTTTAAAAATTACAAAATTTTCCTTGTTATATACCCCTTAGTATAGTTTTAAAAATAGGACAAATTTCTATTTTCAAATTGAAAAAAAAATCTAAAAGAAATGAAAGTGAAATGAAATTGGATTAAATTATATAAAACTGATTTATATAAAAGTCTTGTTTAAATGGTTGACTCTTTTGTCAGTAAAAATGCTATTAAGTAAATCCTTAAAAATACATGAATGTTTTACATTGCAGATTGTGTATAATGTATGGACAAAGGAGAAAGAAAGAGGAATACCATGTTGGCTAGCACTTTCTGCCATGTATATATGGTTCTTAATATTCTTTACCAGGCCACATAAAGTAAGTTTACCATTTCCTTCCCTAATGCCTTGGTGCTAATCTTTCATTTTTAGTAGCCATGCCATTTAACATTTCATTTACAGTGCCATAATGTACCTGTAATTTTTAGTGACTTGATGCAATTTAGCCTGACATTTTTGGTGCTGTTTTGCCTTAAAGTTTTCATTACCATTGCTTTGATGCTGTTTGAATGTCCTAATTTCCTTTGACTTTTCATTCCCAGTCTGAGTGCCCTGATGTCATCTATTGACTTTTCTTTTTACATTGCCCATAATGTCAAGATTTATACTTACATCATTTAAAGATACAAATATGTTTAACCTTTACCCTGCATGAGTGGAAAAGGGTTTAGCCTTTGCCACAACTATAGAGCTGGATCAGCCTACACATCCATGCAGTCTAACAAGGCTTCATGCTGTTAAAGTCACTCAAGTTTTTATCTTGATATCCCCATAATTTATATGATTATGTTCAGTTCCAAAAATTGAAGCTGGACAAGTCCCTTTAAGAAATACAGGGGAAAAAAATGTTAATAATGTTTACTCTTTACCTATATAATTTTTGTAATGGACTTGTCCCACTTTTAAACTAACTACTAAGTCTAACTGTCCATTGTTTGCTCAAATAGTTTTTGAAACATCCTGAAAATTGACATTGACTGCCATAGTAAAATCTTCAAAAATCAGGAAATAAATGTTTATTTACAGATATGGAGCAGTGGGGATGGGGCCGTGTTTTTAATGAACACTCTTTGTTACTATTTTGCTACCATTTGTATATAATTAGGTTATTATTTTACATTTAATTAGGAAGAGAGGTTTCTGTTCCCAGTGTATCCACTGATTGGATTGAGTGCTGCATTAACAATAGATTATAAACAGGTAGGCAGATATTTAAAAGTCTATGACTTCGGACCTATGACTGTTGTGATTTTGAAATGTGTTCTTAATTTGATTTACATTGTACAAATGAATTAAAGATTTTCATTTTATGATCTCCAAACTCTGTTAGATGTGTTTGTTATGGTATACTTGAAATACAGATTATATTTCATCTATAGGAGACTTTATTTTTATGCAGTTTAAAATTGTCATGAAACTATGTTTCAGAGATCAAAATATTTTTTTATAAAAAACTATGTTTGCTTTTTATTTCATGATGTTTTATAACAAATGTATCTTGTTTAATTTTCAGAAATGTTTCAGTAAATTTTTTCCTGGGAATAAACTATACAACTATGCAGAAAACACAAGTTGGATCTCGATGGTTGCTGGGATCTTTTTCTCCCTGATGTCAATATCAAGAGTTATAGCCCTTTATCAAGGTGAAAAGTAATTTCCTTTTATAAAACCAAAATTGGCAAGCGTTTGTTATCAGTAATGAGTGAGGCCAGCTTTAAGGCCCCCACGATTACACGTTTAAACGGATTCGTTTCGATTTTCATTCATAAACGTTTAGGATATTGTTTACCGTTTAATCGAAATGACCATATTGTCTTACAAAATTTCTTAATCATTGCCTGTAATCATGGATTTTATCAATTCTAGTGGTTTATTCCAAAGTATACAAACTGAAAATAGGTGTTTACAACCCTCCACACAGCATTACGGTGCAAAATTGCTCGTGACAAAATACATTTTTGGTAAAAAAATTGGGTTACAATGCAAATAATGTGTGCTGTCTCAATCGTGATGAGCCTTGCACATTCTTTATTTGTACATGTGTAAAAAATAGAAAGAAAGACATCATTTGGCGACTCAAATACATGGTGTGTATAGTACATAGAGGTACCACCGTTTAAACGGTATCGTTTCGGTTCTTAGCAATCGTGTAAACGTTTACAAAAAATTGTAAACGTGGGAGCCTTAGCCAGCTTACACATATATACAGTCTGACCAGGCTTTACTGCTGTAGTTTATTATTGAAATCCCTTAAACTTTGAATGGACTGTTCCATGTTCTGAGCAGGGCAAATCCATTATACAAATTCAGCCAGTTAAGTGTTATTTGTTCAATTTTTTCCTCTGATCAGGGTAAGAAGATTTATCTCAAATTTTATCATGTTTATATAAACCTTTCATCAGGGTGAGTAAGGGCTTCCATGGCTAATTGGTTCAGGTTGCCTACACCTAAACACTGACTGTCAATTAACTGTCACTTATGTGGCATTGAATCATGTTATGTAGGAATTGTTTCTTGTACGGAAGCTAGGGGTAGGCCAGTTCTTATATTCCTGTGTTCACCTGTGCAGGAAATTATGCATGAAGAATTGCTCCAGAAGTCACCATATGACCTCACTAGCGTTAGTGTGAATATCATTAGATTGTTTTCCAATAGATTAAGGGCAAGACGATAATAAAATTTTATTTGATAGTTTCACATAATAATGCATGAGCATATCGTCACCTTAGTGCAGTAACATAAGTTCTTCTAAATTCAATATAAAGAGTTATCAGTTAGTGGACTAAGGTGACGATATGTAGATTTAATTTCAATACACTGCAGGTTTGGAGCTAGTCTCAATATTTACTATCTGATATTACATAGATGTAAGGGCGACCATCGTCTATATAATAAAAAGCCCTAAAGCACACAATTTGTTGGGCTAGTCTTGAGCTAAAATAGAAATGTTTTAATATATTGTTGAGCCTTCCCGTTAAAACTACTTACTATAATTAAAAACATTAACCAACATGAACAGTTTTATCTTATTTGTCATTAATAATGCATTAATACATTGCTAGGGTTTGGAAAAATCATAAATTCAATAACTATATCAATTGAGTGAAATAGCAAATTTAAGATATTCTCCAATATTTGATAAAAACATATGAACAATTTACTTACATCAGTTCAGATGTACTGTTAAGTTACAAAACCAACTATAATGTAAACAGTTGCTTTAAACATGATTATTATGTATTGTTTAATCATATTTGTTTATTTATTACAGGATACCATGCCCCACTAGACTTGTTTGTTGAGCTGAATAAGATAGCTTCAGATCCTAAGATACACAATTTACCGGAGGATAGACCTGTTAATGTGTGTGTTGGCAAGGAGTGGTACAGATACCCTAGCTCATTCTTCCTTCCTGCACAAAAGTATGTCATGAAGTCTGAGTTTTTCAAGAGAATCCTTTCTTATTTTGTTCCCATACTTTCCTTTTATTTAAAAAAGAAAATATCTTTAGAATGGAATACAATAAAAATGTTACTTCAAAATGGTTTTGTCATTAAAATATTTTAATTTTCTTGTATAGGTAAGAAAAAAAGTTGTACTTAAAACACAGTATATTGTATATAATTATTTAATATCTAAGAAATGCTGCAATGTTGAGAAGTCTTTTTTTATCTGTCTAATATTATACCAATACATACAGATATTTAGAAAATGTATTGAAGAATAAATAAAAACCATGATTTAATTATATGTGTTTATGAATATTTTGAATATGTGTTTATAAATATTTAGATTATGTGTTGATGAATATTATATTCGTAATATATGTTAATTAGTAATCAGAATATGTGCTAAGAATATGACTATGGTCACTAACTGATTATTTATTTTATTTTCAGCTGGAACTTGCAGTTTTTACAGTCAGAATTTAAAGGTCAGTTACCTAAACCATACTCTAATGAGCCTCATGCCACAAGACAGATACCTACACATATGAATGATGTCAACAAAGAGGAACCTACCAGATATGTATGTTTTTATCCCCAATTTCACTAAATGGATTAATCCTGCATTTAATTCAGAAAAGTCTATTGTAAATATAAGGGATATAAGGTTATAATTATACAATTGAACTAGATTTAATTCTGTTGTATCAAACTTTATTTATGTGCAAGCTTTGGTGGTATAGATATGTCATAAATACTGCAAGTGCTCAAAGTATCAAAAAATATTTACAAGTAAAAATATAACAATAATGTTACATGCCCAACACTGTCTATGACAACAAACTTATATATTTTAAAAAATATAATTTTTATGAATATTTTGGCATTACAAGATTAGATGCTAGTTACCATATTTGTTAATCTCTAAGCATATGCTATGCTGAAAATCTTATGTGTGCAATAGTGATCAGGCTAACCAGTTACTTTTCTGATTTCTTTTTTCTGAGCACTAGCAATTTACTAATAGTCACATGCCCATTAATTCTATAGGTTTGAAGCCTACTATGAAAATTAGATTCTACAAGATGTAGTTTTTTCACAGAAATACTTGTTTAAAATTTATTATTCCATTCAGCAGCAAATTAAGTTCCATTTTTTGCAAAGGTACTTAAAACCACAAAAATCGAACTCTTTTTAACAATATGATAAATTGGACACGTTTCTTATGTCAATGTATATTATCTTTTAAGGTAAATATATCCAAGTGTCATTACTTTGTGACCTTGAGCGGCCTCGAGAAAGACTGAACTTAGAAGCCGCAGAATATGCCAAAAAAAACTAGAAAAGAAGTGTCATACTTCTTATTACTTTCCCGTAGATGCTTCAAGGTAATTGTATATAAATCTATTTTACATAATTATTACTAACAAATAGGCACACATATCCAGTAGATGTATTGCCTATGGTTCAACCCTCTTAATGTGACCAATGAAATAAAATGTTTGGTGAAAATATTAATTAAATTTTCAAGCAAGTTGCCAATCATGAAAGTGTACAGTTCAATTATTAACAAAACACCTATCAAATTAAACTAAGAAATATTCAATATCCAAGCAAATCACAAATGATCGGGACATAATATTTGATCTTTTGTCTTATATATAATGTGACCATACATGTACTTCTCATTTAGCGAAACAATTTTACCTTACTGAGCATTTCCTGGCTTGTCTATTCCTAGATCTCACCCTTGACCGCATGTTATTGCACTCAATTCTACCAGTATTAAACTATTTATTTCAGATCATCACTGTGTTTCGCAGTTTTTACCATTCCATTTGTATCCAGTTAGTACTGTGTCTATGGAACTAACAATCTCATGAAATTACACGTCGCAACTAAACACTGTAAAAACAAAGGAGGAAAGAGATACACTATGTATGGGACATTAGTATCGTTCTGCCATATTAACTGTTGACTATTTTTAACACAGGAGAAGATTATATGAGGCTATGGTTGTATTATAGGTCATAGTGCAAGAAGAGGAAACAGTTACAGGTGATAAGTTTGTGACTGCGGTAAAATCAAAGTTACTGTCATCATGATTTGAAAAGAAAAGAGTTTTGATGTTGATAAGAGTAATTCTGAAATGAAGGAGGTAATTATAGCATACAAAGAGCATATGTGAGAAGTATTTATACCAAAGCAATAAGAAATAAAGTTAGAAACAGTTTAACTTTCCAAATAGCAATAAGCCTCGGTGGCAGAATATTGAAGAAAAATCAACGGGAAGATAATATTTTGGATATCTGACTTCAAATTAGCCAGCAGCACGTTACCGAAGATATTTCCAATTAGAAATTAGAATAAAGCGAGGGAAATGTCAGTTAGTTGATCAATACGAATAAGGAGTTGTTTGATAAAGGTGAAATTTGGCATAAAGGGAAAAAACTTAGATTTTATGTGGAATAAGGGAGACATGTAATCTTGCGTAATAAAGGAAGGATTTGTATTATTAAATAATATAAGAGATTTTTTTAATTTATTGATGATAGGAACAAATGGAGATTAAATGTGAAATACAAAGGGAGAGAAATTATCCTACAATTTTAAATTGTGGGGACAAAAGGAGAGAGACTTTACAATGATGAGAATGTAGGAAGAAAGGAGAGCAGATTTTACATTTGGAATAGTTGACTAAAGGCGAACGCGAATTTTGATATATTAATGTGAACAAGGGAGATAATTTCTAGATTTATGAAATGTGATAAAGAAGACGAAACTTTGTAGATCTTTGAATGTGAGAGATAAAGGGAAGAATTTTAGATTTTGAATGTGAATAAAGGAGAGATATTATTGAATGTGGATAAGGGAGATAATTTTGGATTTTGAAATGCTTGAAAAGGCGAGATATTTATATACTTTGAATGTGGAACAAAACGGTGATTAATTTAAGATTTGAAAGCAAAAAAGAATTTAGGGGTTAGTTTATATTTGATCGAGAAATAGAAGGAAGAGTTTTGAAAAATTTAAAAAATAGGAATGAGGGCGACAAACAATCTCAGAAATCTATGAATGTGATACGGCGTAGAGTAATATTTTCTCATGAGAACACGACCAATTGAAATGACGATGGCTATATATTTTGTTTTGTGCAATTAACAACATAATCCGATAGGATTAACAAATAACAATTTAACAAACCCTCTATTTCTTAAAAATGAAGACTATATTTAGTTTCAAAATTATAAAATAATATTGTAAAATGTAAATGTGGTGTAACAATTGACATTAGTAAGTTAGGTTAGATATAATATTATAATTCGTCAATAATAGTGAGTTGTGTGAAACTATAATGCTTTTTAATTTTAGTACATTCATTGTTTATATATATAAATATGACGAAAGTGTGTAGTTTCTCAAAAGATTTTTATAAGAATAAAGTTACACTTCACAGTAAAAGCGAGGAACATTGAAAGGATTGAAAATTACCAACTCGGTGAATTCATGTATTTCGGAGAAGAACACAAAGTCTACCCTGTGTGTACCTTAGTCGTACTAATAATGATGGTTCATCAAAAACACTTCACATTTAACTTGTATAACCACCATAGATTTTTCCAAATTGTTGATAACGTTCATAGATCTTCGACAATGGGAAGGTTTTCATTTGAATTGGGTCAAGGCCATTGAGGCTAAAAATTGATATCTCTTCTTTGAGGTTATAAATAGATATTTCTGCCTTAAGGTGAAATATAGATATATCAGTTTATTTCCTCATGATAAGGCCATTTTTTTAGTTTTGTTAGTGCATCATTTAGACGGATTTGATTAATACGATTAATATTCTTGTTTTATACTAAAAAAATCAAATATAAGTACATTTGTTTACCTGAAATATGTATATAGTAACATGTATGTTAATTTTGTCATCAGGGATATTGTGTCTATATCATTGTTGTTGCAAATGTCTTGAATCTTTTAACAATTTAGGTCTCATTCATACTAACTAACGACATAGCCACATTATATACCAGTGAAAACTTAAATTTAAAAATGTTTCACTGGACAAAGCCACACAAAAACTTCAAGTGTAGTTGTAGTCACTCAATATATCAGGTCTATTTCTTTTATATGAATAAAAGTGGATAATAATAGTTTCACATTTAACACTTTTTCACAACATCCCGCTTTACATCATTTAATAGTATTGGTAGCATATATAAGATTGGGAGATGTATAGTTCTAATCATTAATTTCATATCTATTCTAAAGGTCAAAGTTCATTGCCCTATATTTCTGGCACACGGATTTTTTTTTTATTATTTTAGTTTTCCAAAGAAAGTTCTTGTTCGGGATAATCGGGTATTATTAAATTATTCATAATAATTAATATTATAATTTTACTGTTCTCCGCTAGTAGGTCACAATATCAAAGAACTTGAATGTGCTATAATGATTTTTATTTCTTATGATTTCCAATTTTGTCATTCAATCAGGGCAGAAATATTTCTTAAGAGTATTGAGCACAAATTATCATGAAATACAATAACCCAGTAACGAATTGTTGTGACGAATGTTCTTATTAACTGTCATATTGTTGAAATTGAAAAAATAAATGTTTACTTAACAACACCATTTAATAAGCATTATCTGTTTATATTAGATAATAAAATGACATGTATTAGAACAAATAAAATGTAGATAACATTGAGAAGCGGTAGTGAAATGTAAATTATTATTATTTTAAGATTCCATTCATTCACCAATTTTACGTAAAGAAAATCAAAGACCGGAATATCTATAAAACACAAGCTTTTTGCGCAATATTATCGAATACATGTATTTAGAACAAAGAAACATCCTATGGCTACCATATGTTTTGTTTCAAATGACCCTCAAAAAATAATCAATTACTCTACGGGGACTATCTGCATCATAAAACCATATGATCCCACAATAACACATGGTACCATTGTTTTCACACTACAAAAACGGTACTGCATTATGTCCACAATAGCTATGGCTACCGTTGTGTTCACACAAAAAGGTATTGTCATTATGTCCACAATAGCCATGGCTACCGTTGTGTTCACACAAAAAAGGTCTTGTCATTATGTCCACAATAGCCATGGCTACCATTGTGTTCACACAAACAAGGTCTTGTCATTATGTTCACAATAGCCATGGCTACCATTGTGTTCACACAAAAAAGGTCTTGTCATTATGTCCACAATAGCCATGGCTACCATTGTGTTCACACAAAAAGGTCTTGTTATTATGTCAACAATAGCCATGGCTACCATTGTGTTCACATCAAAAAAGGTCTTGTTATTATGTCAACAATAGCCATGGCTACCATTGTGTTCACACCAAAAAATATCTTGTTATTATGTCCACAATAGCCATGGCTACCATTGTGTTCACACCAAAAAAGGTCTTGTCATTATGTCCACAATAGCCATGGCTACCATTGTGTTCACACAAAAAGGTCTTGTTATTATGTCAACAATAGCCATGGCTACCATTGTGTTCACACCAAAACAGGTCTTGTTATTATGTCAACAATAGCCATGGCTACCATTGTGTTCACACCAAAAAAGGTCTTGTCATTATGTCCACAATAGCCATGGCTACCATTGTGTTCACACAAAAAGGTATTATGTCCACAATAGCCATGGCTACCATTGTGTTCACACAAAAAGGTCTTGTTGTTATGTCCACAATAGCCTTGGCTACCATTTGTGTTCACACAAAAAGGTCTTGTTATAATGTCCACAGTAGCCATGGCTACCATTGTGTTCACACAAAAAAGGTCTTGTCATTATGTCCACAATGGCCATGGCTACTATTGTTGTTTACACAAACAAGGTCTTGTCATTATGTCCACAATAGCTATGGCTACCATTTGTGTTCACACAAAAAGGTCTTGTCATTATGTCCACAATAGCCATGGCTACCATTATGTTTCACACAAAAAAGGTCTTGTTATTATTTCCACATAGCCATGGCTACCATTGTGTTCACACGAAAAAAGGTCTTGTCATTATGTCCACATAGCTATGGCTACCATTGTGTTCACACAAAAAAGGTCTTGTCATTATGTCCACAATAGCCATGGCTACCATTGTGTTCACACAAAAAGGTCTTGTTGTTATGTCCACAATAGCCATGGCTACCATTGTGTTCACACAAAAAGGTCTTGTTATAATGTCCACAGTAGCCATGGCTACCATTGTGTTCACACAAAAAGGTCTTGTCATTATGTCCACAATGGCCATGGCTACTATTGTGTTTACACAAACAAGGTCTTGTCATTATGTCCACAATGGCTATGGGTACCATTGTGTTCATAAAAGCAGTGGCTATCAGTGTTTTAACAAAAAAGCAATGTTGTCATTGTGTTCACAAAATTTAAATCTGTCTCCATGCTCACAAATGCATTGGTTATCATTGGGTTCACATATGCAATTTCACAAAAGCAAGGTCTGTCTGTCTGTCTGTCTGTCAAAAGCTTAGCCTTATTTACATAAAAACTCTGGCTATCATTGTGTTACAAAAACTTAAGTCTCATGTTCACAAAAGCAAGGTCGGTTACAAAAACTATGGCTACCATTGTGTTCATAAAAGCAATCTTTATTTATGTCTTCACAAAAGCATTGGCTGTAATCTGCTACTGTGTTCATTAAAAAATTGACTGTCATTATTTTAAGAAAAGCAATGTCTGATATTGTGTTCACAAAAACTGTAGCTGTCATGGTTTTCACAAAAGCTTTTGCTGACATTGTGTTCACAAAAGCAATTGCTATCAAAGTGTTCATAAAACCTGTCTGTCATTGTGTGCATAAAAAAATGCCTGTCATTGAGTTCACAAATGCAATAGTTGTCATTCTGTTCAGAAAAGCAATGGCTGTCCTTGTGTCCACAAATGCTTTGACTGTCATGCTAAATTACTTTCTAAAAATTTCGTTATAAAATGTTGTTTACAAGAAGTGGCCTTCTTGATCTAACGATTAATTGTCCCAACTTTTTCAAATATAATCCTCTGGAACACTGAATTATTTCATGTGTTAGAGCTATTTAACTAGGTTCTTCTTGAAACATTTGAAAAAATTGAAATGTTGCCAAATAATCTTACCTACAGTAGAAAATGAGAGAGGAAGCCAATATGCAATTATGTAGCTATTTTCGCAGATGGTACACTTTGTACTCAAGGTGCAAGGTACACTTTGTACACAGGAGGTACACTGTATACAGGAGGTTCAAAATTGCTGGAGGTAAACTTTGTACACAGGAGGCTCACTGTGTACACAGGAGGTACTCTGTACACAGGAGGTACACTCTGTACACATGAGGTTCACTCTGTACACAGGAGGTACACTCTGTACACAGGAGGTTCACTCTGTACACAGGAGGTACTTTGTACACAGAAGGTTCAAAGTTGCTGGAGGTACACTTTGTACACATGAGGCTTACTCTGTACACAGGAGGTACACAGTACACAGGAGATTCACTCTGTACACAAGTGGTACACTTTGTACACAGGAGGTACACTTTGTACACAGGAGGTACACTGTACACAGGAGGTACACTTTATACACAGGAGGTTCACTTTGTACACAGAAGGTACACTTGTACACAGGGGGTTCAAGGTTGCTGGAGGTACACTTTGTACACATGAGGCTCACTTTGTACACAGGAGGTTCAAAATTGCAGGAGATACAATTTGTACACAGGAGGTACATTCTGTACACAAGAGGTACACTCTGTACAAAGGAGGTACACTTTGCACACACAAGGTTTACTTTGTAAACATTTACAGTTTCTACCATTGCGGGCGATTAAAAGGGAAAACAGAAGAATATTTATTTCCTTCTATATTTTCCTCAATTATTTGCAATGTATATTGAATGGAAAATATATAAACTGACAAAAGGAGGGTATTTATAATAATTTATTATAATTATTATATATAGTAACATCGCAATTCTATAAAATATAAATATCTTACATATTTGATAAACATTTGTATATATACATAACAAAAACATAATTAATATTTAGTCCATTAAAAGATGTAAAAGTACAAAAATTAAGACCTGTTTCTTTTGTAACATCTTTAATGTACATGACTTGTATATATTATAATAACAACACATAGTTTATTCATGATTTAGTTTATCTAATACTAGAACAGGAATAGATTCAAGAAACTATTACACCATGCATATCAACATAAATGCTGATATCATAATTAGGAGACACATAGTGAATTATTGGTCTACAAATTTCAAATTTGAGCCGCGTCATGACAAAACCAACATAGTGCGTTTGCGACCAGCATGGATCCAGACCAGCCTGCGCATCGGCGCAGTCTGATCAGAATCATTGCTGTTCGCTATCACTTTCTATACTTGTTATAGGGTTTGTAAGCGAACAGCATGGATCCTGATCAGACTGCGCGGATGCGCAGGCTGGTCTGGATCCATGCTGGTCGCAAACCCACTATGTTGGTTTTGTCATAGCATGGCTCATTTGATTGTGTGGGAAACCATAAGCTTAAAGACACACTCTCCAAACTGTTCCTGCAAAAAGTGTAAAATTTCTTGCTAAAGGAATCAGCAGCATACCCTTGATGGTGTTTGAACCCAGGTGTCTAGCAATTTATAGATTACTATACTGATGTGTTTACCACTTTCTCATACCACTAAGATTATGATACAATTCTTTAATTCATAGAACCATAACTTTCAATACTGATGTCAGCAAGCTGATATTAATGAGAGCGGTTAATTAAATACAAAAAGCTGATTCAAAGTATATTGATTCTTAAAATACTGCTACTATGTATAAACCATTAAAAATCAAGTCCAGACATATCTGTTAATCAGAAACAGCCAAAGAAAGGTTTATTTCTTTGAAGCAATTTTATGCCAAGACATTTTATTTCAGTTGTTCAGTTTTTTTTACATGCCAACACATTTACTAGAATCTACCAATTTTTCAGATTGTTTCTTTTTTTTCTAAAAGCTTACCCAATTAACCAAAAACTACATCAAAGAAGTGGCATGGTTAATATAGATAACAATATAATAAACAAACTACATGCATTTACATAATTCTCTTGGCACAATGTGAATTAATTTAATATAAACATTAAGTTGATGGTAAAAAAATAATAATCATACAAATACATTTGAGCCGCGTCATGACAAAACCAACATAGTGCGTTTGTGACCAGCATGGATCCAGATCAGTCTGCACATCTGCGCAGTCTGATCAGGATCCATGCTGTTCGCTTACCAACTCTATTACAAGTAGAGAAACTGATAGCAAACAGTATGGATCCTGATTAGACTGCGCGGATGCGCAGGCTAGTCTGGATCCATGCTGGTCACAAACCCATTATGTTGGTTTTGTCGTGACACGGCTTATTTGTATTAAACATAACACTGTCACAATCAACTGACCAAATGAGTAAGTTTCAATACAGTGTGAATAATATATTAGAAATACCAATGTATATAAAGTTAATAAAATGTGTAACATGAACAATAGAAAAAATTTGAAACCAAATACTTTTTTGTTTGAAATCATTGTCAACAACAACAACAACAACAACCTTAACAACAAATCTTCACAAAAATAGAAGTACATGTATTATTATTTAATCATCTGCTAAAAAGAACTTGCAACCATAATTTCTAGCTTACCACTGGTTTACAATGATACATGATATAGGACCTGTGGACAAAAAACATTGCCAAAAATATATTTCAAACAACACGAAATTTTGCACTATAAGAATATCACAGATTAAAGGATAATAATTTCCTAGAAAAATATATAGATAATAAAAAGTGCTTCAATTGATAACATTCTTTTTCACAGCAAACTATAGAAAAATACAGAAAAAATATCAATTTTCTTTAAAATAAATATATGCTCCCAAAGATCCTTTCGGCAAGTTATCCAGACCTGTTCAAACAAGACCTGTCCACTTTTTCTCAGTGCTGGATAGTAAATAAAAGCAAGATAGAAAAGGGGACATAATGCTGCAAAGATGATAAGCAGACTTACCTGCTCTTCATAGTCAACAATTATTTCAAATTTGAAATGAATACCTTTGACAGATTTTTGTGAAAATAGGCAAATATTGTAATGTCAAAAAAGTAAATCTTGTCAACGTTTATTTTTTATTGTGCTTTAACCACACTTTTGGTCACATTTCAGATGTCAGTTAATCTATTGCCATTGCTGGATAGCTAACCAGTAATGTTGACATATCATCATTTGAAATATGATGAACATGTTAATTTGCAAAAATTACAAAAATCATATACATTACATATCTTGAGGTAGTTCAAGTTGACTTAATAGTAATGTTGCCCCTTTTATAAATAATTTTTACCAGTTTTGAATTCTAACCATTTTATTTTATTTTCTAACAGCCAACCACCTAAATCAGCTGAGTCAGACAAAAAATTAGTTTTAAGTTACTAGTACTTGTTTTTAGAATTTAAAAAATCATAATTCCTCAGTTCAAAATTTAATGCATGACAAGCCCAACAGACAAATTACAGCATAGTTTAATAGGATTTTTCCAGTGAAGAAAATACAGAATCTTAAGTTCTAGTTTTATAATCAAAGTAAAAAATCATTACAAATTATGTTGTCTTTGGTAACAGCATAATCATGAACATTTCACTATAAAAATGTATAAAAGATAAAAACTCTTTCCATCCTCATGCAGGCCTCTCTGCCAGTGTTTGAATATTTATTCAGCAGTAAAATATATTCTTCTTTAATAGACTCCCTCATTTCTTCTTCTTCTGTAAAAGGTAACAAGATTTTTTCTTTGAGACTTAATAAATTCATAAAAACAAAATCTTCAACAGGTATATTCATAACAGCTGGCCTTGACAGTATGTGACAACCAAGTGTCATGCCTAAGAGCATTCAAAAGATGATAATAACAACACAACAACAAATTAAAGATCTAAGTAAGTGTTGACTTTAATATCAGTAGTCTTAATAGTGGGGTCAAATAAAGAACAAAACAAAGAATTGGGACTGAATTTGGTGGTCTTAAAAGTAAATAAGCGAGGTGGTCTTAATTCTGGATCATGTTACCATTGACATAAAGAACCGAAAACTTTGTTCTTTTAAAAAATGATCTCAATAGTGGGGTGGTCTTTAAAGTGGGGTGGTCTTAAGTAGGTACTTCTTTTTAAACTATTAACTCATTAAGTATTAATTTCCACAAGTTTTTATCATGCAAATTTATCAACTAAAAAGTTAAAATATATGACATACACTGTATGTACATTGAATGTAACCAGTTTGTCATATTAATGAATTACCTTTTTGCCTTTCTTTTTCTTTTTCTTAAGACCAGATCCAAGTTTTACAATGCTATTGAAGACATCAGTGCTAAGTTTATGGGTGGTCCTAATTTTGACTCCTCCCATTTTCTCTGAAACAACAAAATTTGAATGATCACTATCTATATTTGCATGGTATTTCATTGAATTCTTTACAAATAGGACAGTTGGGTGAATTAAGGTGGTTTTCTTCCCCTTGTGTTTCTCATATGAATTCTATAAAGATAATTTTACATATGACTTTCATGTAAACAGCTAGAAAATTTTTCTACATATACTGCGAGACAGGTCAAATTTTTTCAGAAAGAAAGTCTCTGGCAAGCTCGATAACATTTTTTCTTGCAAATTTCATCAATTAGTTTGCATGTTTTAAGAAATGTCAAATTTACTCTATTCCATGTACAATAATGTTAACATTCATAATTGTGGTATAAGAAATATATGTAGGCTAAATATTCTTTTTTTTACATAAAATGTAAGTGCAAATGATTACATCAGACTTTTTAAACTTATTATTTTGCAGTATGTTATTATAACATTCTTTAGCATTCCAAGCATTAAAGCACTCATACAAAAGGCCTCGATTTAAAGTCTTATCCCAAAGACTATTTAGTAATTTTACTTGGCCTGAGCCCGGGAATCAAACCCATAATGTCGAGATTACAAGTCTAAAATACTCTTAACAGACTGAGCTATGCAGGCTGGTCTGTCACTTCCTTGCTAAAAGAGTAAATGGTAGAGTGTGTGCCTCAACTTTGGGAGGTCAGGGGTTCATTTCTCCGGTAGGGCTAAAAGATATCAGTCTGCAACTGTGATATTTCACTCATCTAAATATCAAACAAACAACAGGTAATAATTTATATGTATTGTAACATAAGAAATGTAATTTATAAACTTTACCTTCTTTCCTATGCTCTAGTGCCTCTAATATTTCTCTACCAGCCAGATCACCAATCCAATTATCTTCCAAATCTAGCTCTTCAACACAGTCAGAATGCATCAATAATCTAAATATAGTAACAATATCTATATTTAGTAACATGGTATAAGTCATATAAAAGTAATATTATATAAATTTAGTTACATTACTCAAATGATGCAAAAATATATAAATTTTACAGCATTTAATTCAAACTTAATGCATCATAGAAATACACAGCTTAACCTTTTGGCTTAAATTCAACAAAACAGATATACTGCTGTCTGTATTTCCCTATAAGGTGGTTTACCCATCTTTATCATTTGATTTCATAGATTTGTTTTTGTATTTTTATCAAAATTTTGGTTTGATATTAACAAAAATCATTTAATCTCTCCATCCATAAAAGTGAAAGTTTACTATATGATATGAAAAATTAAGCATCTACTGGCTAAATAGGTTACACTTTTTAGTTTCGTAGTTCTTAGTAATGCCCCAAACAAATATCCTATAATAATATAATCAAAACTCTGGCAGAGAAAAGAGGAAACAAAGCATGCCGATGATAAGGTTTTGGTTTTGCTTTGTAGCCCAATGGTCAACTGTTAAAAAATGTAACATACATCTTTATTTGTATTTGCATGTAAATTAAAAAATATTCCTGAGAAAGATCATTCTATTTCTTAAAACTTTGTCTTTAAATTCAAAAATGTAAGATTTTCATGAAAATCTGATAAAGAGTAATGTTACAAGCCAGGAAACCCACATCTACCTTGCAATTTTGTTCTGCATGGCCAATGAAAATATACTACCAAAGTTTCCTGATTCAATGAGAGAACTATAAAGCCTCTGAAAGCCAAACTTACTTTTTGAAAAGCCTCATGCATATAACAGGAGCAAATTTCTCGCCGTAAGCTAGGTTATCTATGGCATTATCAGCAATGTGTAACTTGTGGATCCATGGTCCAATTCTTGGGGGTGGGGGTGGCTCCTTTTTCTTCTTCTTTTTCTTACCTAACAAAATTTATGAATAATGTATAATGCTTATTCTTACAGTTGGGCCGTTTTTCAAATTACTCTTGCAAGCATTTTATTTAAGTTTATGTCAAGTAATGTAGTATGGAATTGTACAACTCTATAAAGTTCTGCTCACATTGCAGATATTTTCAAATCAAAAACCTAAACTGGAGCAGTCAGCAGTTCAAAACCTAGTCAGTGTTGATGGATGTGCTGACTGGCAGTGGCTTGCATGTCTGCCTTTATCTATGCTTTAACCCTCAAAGGTATAATATCATTTATACATTGATATACTAAAAATTCAACTCACTGAGATTTATAAGTTCATTCTCCCCACTGAATTCATGAGAAAAATATATATTTGAAAGTCATTTTTTTTTCAAAAAGATTAATTCTTACAAAAACATGAACTTATATATTTGTTTTAGGTTGAACATTACCTTTTTTCTTCTTTTTCTTATCTGTTGATGCCTCCATGTCAGATGCCTTGCCACTCTGCTCCCCGCCACTCTCAGGTGTGTAGCGTAGTTTGTTCTCCTTAGCTGAAATAATATATACCATTTCAAAATCTAAGGCCTGACTAGTATAAATCAAACATAAAGAAAATATATCAATTTAAGTTAAAGAAATACATATGTATGTATAATTGTTAACTTTTTAGATATGCTCAATCCAGGTGTCACTTTGCATGTTTTATACAACAAAAGACAGGATTTTCTATTTTTATTACAGGAATATTTCTACCCTGTTAAAAAAAAAGAGAGTTATCTTTGCTATTTGACCTGTGACAGGTTAAACTATGTTGATAGAATAGGTGAGACTTATTCAGTTAAATTATACATTATTTGTACACTAAACAACATTTACACAGATTAAAACATTTTTTAAAGATTTTCCTGAAGGCACCATAGAAACAAAATTAAAGTTGTTTTGCATAAAAGTTTCATAGTTATACAAAATATATTTTAAACAAGAGCTGTCAGAAGGACAGCGCGCTCGACTTTTTTAGTGCTTGCCTATAAAACAAAACTTTGACAGTTAAGGGCACACAAGACTTTAACTAGGAATTTCTAAGTACAAATCAAGAAACATTTTCACAGAGTTATCTTCTCTTGCTTACAGATAGGTCTCATGATGGCACATAAGAACTCCAACTTCCAAAGTAATATCTCAAATGGTTAAGTCAACAAGTGGACAAGAATGAAAATTTTAACTGAGTTTCTAAGTCAAAAAGGGCCATAATTCAAATAAAATCCTTAACAGAATTACCTTCTCCTGCCCATGTTTTGGGACCATGATGGTAAACAAGTATTCCAACTTTCAATTTAATATCTCAACCAGTTCAGTCAAAAAGTTGACTGGTACAAAAAAGTTAACCAAGATTCTAAGTCGATAAAAGGCCTTAATTTTTAAAACAAATCCCTGACAGAGTTACCTTCTCTTGCGTACAGATGGGGTAATGATGTGAAATAGCATTAAAAGTTTCAAAGCAATATCTCAAAGGGTTAAGGCAATAAGTGGATTTTACCCATATTCAATGTATTTTCTAAGTCAAAAAGGGGCATAATTCTGTCAAAAACCTTGACAGAGTTATGTCCTCTTGTCTGTTGATGAAGGTCGTGATGGTAAACAAGTATGGTCAGTTTCAAAGCAATACCTCCAATGGTTTTGAAATAAAGTGAGGTGGTACAAAAAACTTAACCAAGCTCAATACACTTTCTAAGTCAAAAAAGGGTCATAATTCTGTCAAAAACCTTGACAGAGTTATGTACTCCTGTCTGTAGATGGAGGTTATGATGGTGAACAAGTATGGTAAGTTTCAAAGCCATACTTGTAATACTTCTGAAATAAAGTGGGGTGGTACGAAAAACTTAACCAAGGTGTGACGCCAACGCCGACGCCGACGCTAACGCCGACGCCGACGCCGGGGCGAGTAGGATAGCTCCCCTTTTCATAGAAAAGTCGAGCTAAAAAATAGAAGTACTGTAAAATACTTTTTTTTAAGTGCAACCTTGCCAAAAGAAGACACATGGATTCTAACTTGAGTTTTAGTCTCAAAAACAGAATAACTGTAATAACCTAGCGGACAAGTTTGTTAGAAAATATACAACTTCACAAATTCAAGCATCATGTACATGTATTAGACTAGCTATATCTTGTTATCAATAAAACCTGTAACCTGGCATGATCATATACACACATGTTCTGTTTATTATTAGTGTTACTATATGACTTTCCACCTAATTATTAGCTTACAAGCTATTAGACAAACTTTAACATAGTTAAAACATATATTACTAATATTCTAAAAGTTCATCAAATGGCCAGTATAAACATGCATAAAGCATCTTTAATCTGGTTTTATTTAATTGATTATCTAGGTAATTTTACCTACCATTAGCCTGAAAAATGAGTTTGATTGTAACTTATAATGAACTCAACACATATTTTACCCACAGGTATTCGGTATCATGAATGGTAACTACCTCATCTATAACCCGCAACCTTTCCCAAACAATCTGCAGCAGTGCTTTTCATGTAACATGCTTTTATAGACTATATTTTTTTAAATGAAGGAAATGTTATCACAATCCTATATAAGTTATATATAAACACATGTTACATAAAAAAATCCACTGCAGTTTAGATTGTTTGAGAAAGGTTGGTGGTTATAAAGGGTTGATTGGGGGAATAGTGATCTAAATCAATGCGCAAAACACCAGTAATTATACCTAGGGTTTTACCTTTAATGCCCTCAGAACAGTTCCTACCTAGTGCCTTCAATCAAAATTCCTCCCCAAGTGCTTTCAATACAATTCCTACCTACTAAGTGCTCTTATAAAAATTCCTACCTAGTATCCTTATCACAATTCCAACCTAATGCTCTTATCATAATTCCTATCTAGTGCAGTTATCACAATTCCAACCTAATGCCCTTATCACAATTCCTATCTAGTGCCCTTATCACAACTTCTATCTAGGCCCTTATCACAATTCCAACCTAATGCCCTTATCACAATTCCAACCTAATTCCCTTATCACAATTCCTATCTAGTGCCCTAATCACAATTCCTACATAGTGCCCTTATCACAATTCCAACCTAATTCCTTCATCACAATTCCTATCTAGTGCCCTTATCACAATTCCAACCTAGTGCCGTTATCACAATTCCAACCTAATGCCCTTATCATAACTCCAACCTAATGCCCTTATCACAATTCCTACCTAGTGCCCTTATCACAATTTCAACCTAGTGCCCTTATTACAATGCCTACCTAGTGCCCTCATCACAATTCCAACTTAGTGCACTCAGCATTTTTTCTTCTTAGTGCCCTAAGCACATTTCCAATCTTGTGCCCTTAGCAGGTTATTACTGTTGTACATACAGTCTTAGCAAATCTATTCTTTAATTATACTGTTATAATATTGTTATAACACTTTTCTACATATAATTTTGTAACACTGCAACCTCAACTCACTCCACACGTTTACAACACATTCTACATTTATATAACACTGCTGTGTAACTTTAAATAGCATTATCAAGGACCATTTCACAATTTGGAGTAAAAATCATAAACAAAAATTAGAAAGTGAATTTTGACTATTTGGTTAAAAAAATCAAGTTGGTGATATTCATCTTGACTTTTTCAATGGCAATTATTTTTGTTTTTTAGTTCTCATGATTCTGTTCTGTGTATTCTTTAACTATTGTGTTTGAGATTTTTACATATATCTGAAATTTAAAGAAAGGACCAAGAAGATGTGATTGTTACAGGGTAATGCATGTACCAGACCCAATTACAGGGTTATGTATGTTATAGGGCCAATTACAGGGTTATGTATGTTCCAGAGCCAATTACAGGGTTATGTATGTACCAGAGCCAATTACAGGGTTATGTATGTTCCAGGGCCAATTACAGGGTTATGTATGTTCCAGGGCCAATTACAGGCTTATGTATGTTCCAGGGCCAATTAATGGTAGAATGCACAAGGCATCAACCTGTTAGTTGTACATTTATTTACACTTGCATTACTTTGACTAGCAAATGTATGTGGGCAACTGAGAAATTGACATTGGTAATTTTAATTACTTTTATATTTTTAATAGGTTAAATATGTTCAATTTTGTATTTCAAAATAATGAGTAGTTGTAGCAAGGGACAACTCAAAATGTGTCTATATTTTTGCTCCATTATGAAAATGACCTTGACCTCCAAGCACACCATCTTACCAAACTCATCATAGCTGTCAGCATCAATGCTTACTGATAACAAAATTACAAATGATAATAAATATATATACTTACTTCACTTCTTTTATAATAATTACAAAAAATACATATATTTCTTACATATACATGATATATGAAACAAATATTAGTTTAGATGATGTTCAGATAAAAAATATAAAAACAAACAAAAAGTAACATTTTGCACTTTTGATCATTGGGTGACAAGCATTTTTTGAAAAAATTCATTATAAGAATTACAATCCATAAATTGTAAAATTGTTTTCATTGATACACGGTGACCTAAAGTTTAAATGCTATGTTTTTATAACGCAAATGATGTCACATCAATACATATGCTCTAACAGATGTGAATACAGTTTTTATGAAGTCACAAAAGTGGCATGGGTATGTGATAAAAAGATAATATTCTTTACATAACAACCTCCATATTCATGCACATCAGTTCCTGTATGTGAAAAAAAATAAGGCAGACTGCAGAAATAGCTTTGGGCTCTTATATATACATATATATTCATTGGTTTGGAATTTTAAGCTACATTAACAATATCAAGGTTAGAAGTTGACTTTTCCACTATGCGTGTAGAGAAACATCTCAAATGTCCCTTTATGTATTATTTTTGGCTAAATGAGGCACTGTCCATATATCCTTCCATAAGCAAGTTGGAGAATTTCATTATAAGAAAAGATTTTAATGTCCATCATAGAACTTTAATCTACAGTCGTTTGGAGCAAGTGATTTAATGTCCATGCCTGTATAGCCACTCCTGGACCATTGTACTTTACTGACTGGTACGTATAAATGTTTTGTGACACTTAAGACTAATGGTTAATTCAACATTTAGGCCGGTACATAATATGATTATTTCATATATATTTTACTTCAGTACTTAGTTTATTTATGGAGGCCGGTACATTATGATTATTTCATATATATTTTACTTCAGTACTTAGTTTATTTATGGAGGCCGGTACATTATGATTATTTCATATATATTTTTCTTCAGTACTTAGTTTATTTATGGTAGATTATTATTTATCAGTTTTTCATTTCATATCTTAAAAATTTCAGAGATTTTCAGGGTTTAACATTCATGGCACAAAGTAAATTGTATATATGAATCAAAACAGAAGAATAAAAGCCAGAGATGACAAAATAAAATGATAGTCCAAGCAGAAGTATATAAATTATAAGCATAAACAGAAAAAAAATAAATAGATAGGTTCTGAACTTGTAAATATCAACTCAAATTTATGTAAAGTGAATAAATTTTCAAAGCAAATATATTGAAGCAAGGAAGACACATGCGTCAAACATTTTTCCTTTAAGAATAGTTATTATAAACAGTTTCTGACATAATTTTACTCCCTGAATGTAAGCAATGATAACTTATGTATAGTTCCAGTATTGAGAAAGGCCAGTCTGTGTGTCCCTGCCTCCTGAGCAGGACCCAATAATGTTGCCTGGCCAGGACCCAATAATGTTGACTGAGCAGGATCCAATAACATTGCCTGAGCAAGACCCAATAATGTTGCCTGAACAGGACCCAATAATTTTGTCTGGCCAGGTACCAATCATTTTTCTTGGCAAGGACCCAATAATATTGCCTGACAAGGACCCAATAATATTGCCTGACAAGGATCCAATAATATTGTCTGACAAGGATCCACTTACATGTATGTTGCCTGAGCAGGACCCAATATTATTGCCTGAAGAGGACCCAATATTATCATTGAACGAGGACCTAGTAAAGTAACTGGACCATGACCAAAATAATGTTGCCTGACAAGGACCATCATTGTTGCCTGAGCAGGACCCAATAATATTACATATGTATCTGAATAGGACCTAGTAATTTTACCTTAAACAAACCACAAGAGCGATCAGTGATCACATGTGTCGCCTCATGATGGCCAATTTCATGTTGGGACAAGTTTTGTGACAGACAGACAGACGGACAGTGCACAACTACACTTGGTACTGATCATTCCTGTAAAGTTTGGATGAAATTGCACCAGTAGTTTCTGAGGAGTAGTCTGGACAAGTTTTGTGACAGACGGATGGACAGACAGACGACGGAGAAGTGATCCCTATATGTCGCCACTACTCCGTAGAGGCGACACAAAAATTGCAGCCTGACCAGGATCCAAGAATGTTTCCTGACCAGAACCCAATATCCTTGACAGTCTAATTTTAGTGTTTCAATATTCAAACCTTGCTCATTTCTTACATTTGTCATAAAATCATTTTACAGAGTTAATAAGTTAATAACTGACAGTAGAAGCTTAAATCAGAAATTTAAGGGTGGTTTAGATTAAACAATATTGACTGTAAAAAGTGTCTGAATAAAAACTTAAAATAAAAATTAAAATCTGATTTAAACTCTAAACTATATTTCTGTGCAAGTGTTCTTGTGTATTGTACAAACATAAATGAAGAATATTTTCTATCAAAAGAAAACTATATATTTAAACCCTCTTAAAATAAAAATAAGCAAAAAAGACACTCTTGTGAGTAAACTTAAATAGTCCAGATTTCGTGTCTTATAAATATGAGCAGCACCTAACAATTTTGGTCCTAAAAATGTGGAGCAAGAAAATTTATGATATCAGCAAAATGACATCATACCATGATGTCGTAAAATGACATCATACCATGATGTCGTAATTTGTCCATTAACATCATTTGATTGTAATTTTCTAAGGTATTGTAACAGACTTTGCAGCACATTCAACTGATCATCAGTTTCTTATACATATACATCAGTAAAACTAAATGGCTATACAAAATGATTTTATTAAAAATAAAGGTAAAAATAAATTAATTTCCAACAAGGACCAAAATTGTTAGACATGGCTTGAATCTATCATGTTCAGTGGTCAAACTCAGGGCTATAGATACAATATATCAAGTTTCAAAGTTCTTTCAGAAGTACATGTCTATTAGAAAATAAAATTTCACGGTACAAATGAAAAAACGCAACAAATTATAATTTTCCTTTTAATTAAATCATTCAAAATTGTGACTGCATGGTAAATTAGTTTTTGTCTTATTAACTAAAGGAAAAATATACTAGTGTTATAATATATTTATTGTTAACCTTTTTCAAAGAAGAATTTACAATAAAATATTTTCAGACAATGTCCAGTTTCCACACTGATGGTTTAGGTCATCTTGAAAAAAACAATTCCTTATTGTATCATATAAATTTTCACACTTTTTCTCAAATATGTGAATGCTATAGAATGTATAGGATTCAGTGCAAATTTAATTTGAAAAAAAATAATGAAATACTTATAAATTAGTTTCTGCCATGTATATAAATTAATCTTTTAACCATAAAATATTCCAATGGTTTTGTGTCCAACTTTTTGGGACAAAATCTATAAATAATTCTGAAAGAACTTTTTCATTGTAATTTGTTGTCAATTACAAATACCTCCTGGTCTAGAAGACCCATAATAACTGACTGTAAAACAATATAAAGATTCAGTTATGACATTTGAACAAAAAACTCTAATGATCAATTTCCTCAATGAACAAGGTGCTAATAATATAGTTGGCTAAACTTTACAATTCATCTCTTTAACTAAAGGAGGAATTTATGTGTACACAGTATTACAGCTGTATGGCTAAAATATATGAATCTAAAACTGAAACAAAATAAAATTACTATAATGTCCAACAAATGTGATCTATTTTCCTGTAAAGGCTAAGACTGAAAGATACATTTTAATTTTTAATAAAAATCCATAGCGTGTTAAGGCCTGAAACTATATTGATACAAATTCCCAATACTTAAGATCAATTCTGGACAGATTTAAAAAACAACAAAAAAAAAACAACAACTTATGACTGAATTAACTATTAACATAATTATAAGACTATTATAGAAATGCAGCAGCACTCATGCACAAGTCTCTCAATGACCTAGTTTTAACCATTTATATTTATCTCACAAGATTGAAATGACTTTTTTTCTTTAAGAGAGCCATTTATTTGTTTATATTTGTTTATATTTACTTCAAGTTTTCTTTTAGATCATGACATGAATGCAAATTTTCCTAGGACAAATTTAAGTTTTACCTGGTATTGCTTCCCTATTTTAGTATTACAATACATGTACTGTGCTGAACGCGACCAGATGTTTAATTATACAATATAAAGATAGATGAATAAGATAAACAATAAAGGTTTAAATTTTAGGCCAATCAATGAATAACTAACTTTTACATCATTAAGATAAAATCTATATTTTTTTTATCGAATAGCAATAGAATAAAGAGAAAGTTAAGTGTTTTGTTTTCATAAACATGGAATACCTGTTTTCATAACTATTATTATTATTTTCATATTTATAAGACCAAAATACTTGAAGATACCTAAAAATTCTCACTTTCCAGTAAGATATATTTCATATCAATCCATGATATATAAACATAGATATGAAATACCAACCTGCTGTTTTTGTTGCCTCCTCCTCCTCCAGTTTTTTCTTGGCCTCCTCCGCCCTCAACAGGGCCTCCATCTCTGCCTGTTCTACACATAGTTTTATCAGTTCCATGGCCCCTTCACACTCCAGGTTATTTCCATCTATGAACAGCTCTCTAGAAAATATATAAGTGTGTAATCATTTTATATGGCTATTTTTAACCCTAAATTACCACACTACATTTTTTAAAGGACTTGTCTATCTTTTAGTCTCTATAAATAATAATCCTTCATCATTTTAGGTGAGAAATGACTGAATAGTCATCAGTGCAGACTATAATCAGACAGATCAATTTTTGCATCAGTTTTAGTTGGGGAAAAAAACTTTTATAAGTACTCATTAAAATTCTTAAATTCAGGAAAATACTTGAACACTTTTACTGATCTATAAGTGATGAAAATTGCATATTTGGACTGTTTGTGAGACATCTGATAATTATTTTCTCTTTCCAAAAATATTGTTATTTTCAATGCACCAACAAACTAATGAAAACTTGCTATGGAATAATGCAAATAGATTTTTTTCTTAAAAATATAATAATTTATATCAAAGTGAATTATATAAGTTATGAGATAATATTCAAATAACATTATTTTTGTTGATTGACATGTATAATGCAGGCTGCCAAGACTAAATACATTTTAGGTGGATAGTTTTGGAATATTTCTAGTGACAACATCTGGTATTTCTAGCCACAGCAGATCTTTGTTTAAACAATAAAGGAGAAAAAATGAACATCACAGTCTTCACTCATTTCAGTTACGTTTCTACAACAATAAAACATTCAAGCGTCATTACCTAACAGCTGTTGTAGATATCATCTTGCCCAGAATTGTACCACTTTTAACTCCAAGATCACAGTAACACAAGCTAACTGACAACATGGTGGTATTGTTAACTAAACCATTACAAAACTTTTCACATCCATCATCTCCAAATTCATTATAGTCCAGACTTATTTTAGTAAGATTCTCCGCTATCTGGAACGATCTTGATAATCTCTCAACCCGGTGTGCATCCAGTAAACAATCCATTACCTCCAGATATTTTATTGGGTAAAATGGTTTCTCTAATAACAATGCCTGAAAGAAAATGAATTATAAATATATCATAATTTATTTCTTGTATATCTATAATAAGTATTCATACTATAACTAAATTAGAACTTGGCTTCAATTTTCACTAAGTCCAGTACATGTTCAAAATTAAATACTATTAATTTCAACAATTTATGATAATATATAAGTACTGACACTATTTAAGTCAAAGGAATACAAGCATATAAAGGTTCATCTTGACAAACACATCAAAGAAAGTGTAACTAAATTAACCATTCACATACTAAATGTGTGTAATGCTTTTAGTTAAGAACAATCTATTGAAAATTCAAGGGATTTCAATATCAAAATACAAACAATTGAGCTACCAACAGTAATAATAGAGCCTGATCTGATAGCAGCCAAGTAAAAACTAACCTGGCTGTATACTAGTGGCAAAGGCTCAATCACTTTTGGTTCCAGCAGGTAAAGGGGTTATAGTATTTTATAAGTTAAATTCACAAATGCTTACCAGAGTTGCTGTATTTTCATAAGACATGGGATATTTCCATACATACAGATCTCTAATGAATGTATATCTTTCTTGTCGTAAAGCTGCCAGAAATGGTTCAATAAGCACAGGTAATGCGCCCTCTTTGTCAATCTCAACTGACTCCAAAATAAACTGAAATTATCAAAAAATTACAAGGATACTTAATTATATGGCTTTGTATTATATATTTTGAAATCTTTTAAAATCATTGTACATTTCAGATTCAACTAGGACCGGAAAAGTCTCTACCAATAATTTAGTGTAATTAACAGATCTGTGTTTACTCAATGGATTTTAAAAACAATCTACAACAACATAAAAATACTGCGGGTTACTGATTTCTTTCACATTTTCTTCAATTTTTTTTGTGTATTTTTCTTCTTCTTAATACTGACACTGTTAAATTCAAAAGGCAGAAGTTTAGCAGTAGAGATGCAAAATACCCACACATGCCTTACTGCTTTATATTAGAGTTTACAAGATGTGTTAAGGGCAACTATATACAGTATGTATGTAATTACCTGCGCTAAAATTGCATTATTTTCCATACATCCTCGCAGACCTGCTGCAATTCTGGGACACATTCTTGAGTCTGTGTTAGCACAATTTCTTTCATAACATTTCAAAAGTCTCTTTATAATATCCTCTGCATTGGCCGGTCCCTTTGCTTTCTTTTTACCTCCTTTCTTCTTTCCCTTCTTTCCACCTTTCTTTCCTTTCTTAGGCATGGTGAAGTACTTTTATTCTATGAAAGAAAATAGGCATGGTGAAGTACTTTTATTCTATGCAAGAAAAATATGATAACCAACATAAGAGTATAGTAACATAACACATGTTGAACATTGCTTAATTAAATATGCAAATGGTTATTTTCCCCAAAAGTGTGAAAATCAGGGATGTTTTCCCCACAAGATGGGCTTGAAGGGTGATAAAAGTACTGAGCAGGGTGCATATATTATAAGCACACAAGTATGACTGGTGACTCAAAGATAAAAATAAACTTGAGAGAGTGTCAGATGTACCAGTTTATATGTTAGTCACAATTTGTAAGGAAAACTCTAGAGAAAATACTAATAGTTCAACAGTGTCTTGGACAAAGTTTCAAAGTTTTACTCATGAGGATAAACATAGCACGAAAACAACAACAAAACAAGTTTGTTTACAGAGTTGCCAAGTGGTTGGGTTAAATTCTAATCTGTAAAAACGCATTAATATCAAGTGATATAATGCATATTATTTCATATACTGCAGTACAGATTTTAATTCAGACCAAAAACAAAATATTTGTGTTGTTCTGATTCTACTCAAGATGTCAAATGATCAGGTTATTTAAAACAGACTAGACAAGTCTCTTTGTGTTCTACAAATAAAATTAATACGGAAAAGAGGTTAAACATTAGATATTTTGTATTGTGCTTTTCTCTTTTTACACAGTTATCAAAACAACAATTTCTATGAAATTTTCTTTCCCTACACATTGCATGTAGAAACATATTTCTAGATACTAATTTGTAAATTAAAGGCTTAGGCTAGTTGACAGATATTGTAACTTATTCAAATGATCAAGTTTATTGCACTAATATAAAAGTATAAGCTTTGAAAAGACATTTAAACTCCTAAAAATACCTATTGTTTGGGCTGTTGTCATCCATGCTTTTCGTATCTCATTTAGAAGATCACATTTGGATTGATTAAATTCTGGCCAACTTCTATCCGGTATGAATTCCGACTTCGTCAATGGGTACGCTCAAAATGATAGTTGATACTATCTTTTGTTGTCAAACAAGAAGAATGATGTAGCTAATGTATACATAATGTAATTTTCAAGTAGAATAGATACTTCTGTCGGGCTAAAAGGTAATTTAAAGATTCGCACCATTGTCGATTCACCCCATAACAGCATGCCCCACTAAAATAAATATTAATTTATTAGTTACGTATGTCTATGTCCAAAAGAGTAACTTACAGTCAACAGTCAGTAGCTGTAGTGTCTAACAGCGTTAAGAAACAATTTGCAAAAAACACGTTTTTTTTTCTCTCGTGACCAGGAATACAAAGGTTATTATATACCTGGGCCTTGCGATAACAAGTTAGTTCCAGGATAACAAAAAGTATATAGTGGAATACACTTAATTTCCATCATATACAGATCAGATATTCTATAACATACCCCTTTTCACAATAATTTAAGTTACATTCCCTGTAAATACACTATAAGATTAAAAAAGAGATAAAAATTTACTTATAATCAATAATCTGTAAACAACAGATCAGTACATCACCACTTCAAACTTGAGATATGTATCCTAGTTATTTCTTTCTTTTTAGACGCTGGATATGTTGAACCTTCCTACTGGTACCAACACCTGCATTTTATACATATTGACTCACAAATACAAAAGCTACGTGGTCTTGTCAAATCTTACGTTTGATCCCTGTTATTCCCCTTTGCACAGGAAATATGCATGCTTACATGTTTGATACATCTTAAGTTTTATCAATGCGGCCATTATTATAGCTTCATACTTTACAGGGCATAATCCTGGCAAATTATATAATATCACTTGTCCATTTCCCTAGGATACACACTTTTTATACGGCATGTACATTAAAAACAGCTATGGTTGATCTATTATCATGTCATTATATTGATTTCTGTTGATAAAGTGCATGCCTGATAAATTTAGCTTTATCAATCACCCACGGGTTTATCAGACACATCGTCAATACATATTGAAATAAAATGGATTTTTTACCTCTTACCAGATTTGAAATATTGAACTGATGAACTTTCAATCAAATAGAATTTTTGAATATTGATTAAGGTCACTCATACATTTGATTAAAAAATTTGGGACTATTTTTATACAAGAACTACGACCTATGATTTCAGGTCTCAAAGCTAACTTCTCTTAGCTGTAAAGCTATTGGAAATCGAGGCGATAACAAAAAGCATACAGTCAAACTAGGACCATTATAATGTACACAGCGCGGTAATTTTCGGAATACAGACGAGCTCACAACGAAGAGATTGTACATGTATTGATATTTGCACAATCATTATGCCAGAAGAAAACATTATTTATCCGACTCTTTAGTTATGCGGAAAAAAACTTATGATTTATACCACAGTTATTTCCCCTTGATGAACTAAAAGTTGGTATTATCAACTGATTCAAAACAGTTACATGTACATTTATGTTTTACTCATGTTTCTACCAGACATTTTGTGGCATCCATGATTTTCCCTTTTTTCTCCCTAAATGCAACTTGTGTTGTATGTGTGCGTGAGCTAAAGATAAGTTATAAAGACTCAATGTACAGCAACTCCTAAGGTCACGATCTCCCTTCATAATATGAATACTTCTGTACTTGCTATTTCTATAAATATTTTTTTTCTATATTCACGGGGGAGGAAGTGTTACACGAAGGATGGAGTTCTTATGATAACTTGTTCAGGAGTTCTTGTGATAACTGTCACGGAGTTCGTCGGAAAACATCTGTGTATACTACAAAAACACTCGTTAAAAATGGTTATTTTCATCTTTCCAAAATGAGTTTTAGGTGCTAAATTAAACTTTAATGATTAAGCTTGTCTTACATCTTGCATTATGTGTCAAAAACTAGTTCACAGGCCATTTTTAATCGCCTCTTGCTTCAAATCTGGTAGTTTTGAGTAAAATTTCCAAATTATTTTCCAATTCACAAGTATTGACCTGTTTATTTCTGGTCTTCATCCTTGCCATACATAATTACCTAATTCTAATGCAAAATTGCAAACATAAAGCACCAGCTAACAGATTTATACCCGATTTTTCAAATGTCCCGGAGTTCTTGTGATAACTTTTGTTATTGCAAGTGTGTTTCTTGCCCTAAATCACGGCACGTTTTAGCGTTTTTTATTATTCAATGAGATTGTAAATCATTATGAAATGTAGTACGCTCATCCTTTGCACAAAAAATAGGATATATAATGTTGGTTTTGAGTGAATTTTAGTTCAAGAGATTTTGTTTCTTACCCCCGTTTCTTTTTCATAGTATTTTTTTGTTTGACGCAGATTTCGTAGACTGGAAAAATGATTTATGTACTGGTTTCCTAGCAGTTTCCGGCCCCTAGCAGTTTTCTGGCCCTTTATCATTTTCATCCAGACATACAGTCTATTTTTTCTCAGTTAAGCATCTATGTTACTGCATCAATCAGAGAAACATTTGTTTTCTATGTAAAACAGCAGTTATAATAGTACAGCGATTAATATGTTTCAAAGTTTTGTCTGTTGTAAGTTACATTAGAGAATTTGCGACACTTACAAGCAACACCTGGGGAATTCTAGTTTGAATGCCCATACACAATAACTGAAATCCCATTCTAGGTAAATCTTGAAACTGGAGGTACAGTTCGAACTTTTTCGAGAAATCGGTAGTTAGAGCCAACCGCAGTTGAGTTTTTAGTTTGTATCGTACTTTTTTAAGACATAGGTGTGGAAATTATCCTGGTTATATACTTATTTATTATGGTATAAAATGATACAAATTACTTAGCCCTTAGGTAAGGGAAGCATGCCTATATATTGTCTGCTTAAGAAAGGTGGTTGCTTAAAACATGTGAAACTGAGAACAACGTGTACGTTTTGAGACATTTTTGTTTTGTGGTTTAAGCCATTATGCTGCTGAATATCAGTGGCCGCTAGTTCATTTTTTACTGTAGACGATAGCCTATCATCTATTTATCCTTGCAGACACACAAGACCAACGTTTTGTCCACATTTTTGTGCAAAGGATGATCGTACTGCATTTCATAATGATTATAATCTTACTGAATGATAATAAACGCCAAAACGTGCCGTGATTTAGCGCAAGAAACACACTGGCAATAACAAAAGTTATCATAAGAACTCTGTGACATCTTCAATGTTATCACAAGAACTCCGGGACATTTGAAAAATCGGGTATAAATCTGTAAGTCGGTGCTTTATGTTTGCAATTTTGCATTATAATTAGGTAATTATGTATGGCAAGAATGAAGACCAGAAATAAATCGGTCAAAACTTGTGAATTGGCAAATAATTTGGAAATTTTACTCAAAACTACCAGATTTGAAGCAAGAGGCGATGAAAAATAGTCTGTGAATTCGTTTTTGACACATAATGCAAGATGTAAGACAAGCTTAATCATTAAAGTTTAATTTAGCACCTAAAACTCATTTTGGAAAGATAAAAATAACCATTTTTAACGGGTGTTTTTGTAGTATATACAGATGTTTTCCGACGAACTCCGTGACAGTTATCACAAGAACTCCTAAACAAGTTATCATAAGAACTCCATCCTACGTGTAACACTTCCTCCCCCGTGATATTAATTAATTATTTTTCATAAATATTGGATAAACGCATCTGTAGACACGTCATGTAACATTGTGTAGGGTGTGACGTTGTGTAGGGTGTGACGTTAAATGTTGAATAGATTATATTTGGTCAGAAAATATCCGACACTCTCTATTTAGATCACATAAATTTATTTCAAGGTTGGACGGCTACAAATGAGTAAAATAAATATTTAAAGAATCATGAAAATTGTACTAGAGAAAAATCTATCTACAGTTCTAGAAATGTAGAAATTTATTAATATTCGCAATTCAGGTAAAGCATTGAAAGTTTAATGCAAGACATGAGAATTGATGTTGTAATTGTAGAAACCATTTGTTAAAATGAAACTTTTATTCTTTCTGTTTTTTATTTGACTGACGCATTTGGTTACCAGTATCTGCAAGAACCCCTCCCAATTTTTCAGAGGTACGCATCTGTGTCCATGCACGTTCCAAAGGCGGCCCAGGCCCCGTGAAAAGATCAGGATCAAATTATTAGGATTTTATTTTCATTGTTTCATCAAACTAAAATTGATTGTATATTTTGCTAGATAAAAATGGTACATATTCAAAATGTTAATAAATTGCTGATTTGCAAAGAAACCAACCTATTTAGAGGTTAAACAATGGGGAATATTTGAGTTTTTAAATTTGATCCCAATCTTGATCCTTAAATGAGCCACGTCACGAAAAAACCACCATAATGGGTTTGCGACCAGCATGGATCCAGACCAGCCTGCGCATCCGCGCAGTCTGATCAGGATCCATGCTGTTCGCTAACAAACCCTATTATAAGTAGAGAAACTGATAGCGAACAGCATGGCTCCTGATCAGACTGCGCGGATGCGCAGGCTGGTCTGGATTCATGCTGGTCGCAAAGCCATTATGTTGGTTTTGTCATGACACGGCTCAAATCTTTTCGAACACGGGGCCTGGTTCTTTAAGGCACCTATAAATGATACCTATGCTTTAAGGTCTCTTCTTAACCGGAAACTGAGATTGGTTCAGCTATATACTATGTATACTAGCTGACTTCATAAATTAATATTTAAGGAATGTCTGAGTATTAAAAATTATGTTTATTGAACACACCCCCGGTTTACCCAAAACCGGTTGATGGAGTTTGAAAAACATAAAAGAGAAATTGCAGTATGATACACAGCGATATGTCTATCTTGTATATCGCTTCAATAAACTAATAAAGTATTTAAGGTGAAAAAGAATTTTGTAACTGGCAGGTTGTTGTAACTTAAAAGAAGTGGTAAATAAAATCACCGGATAAAAAGTCGCCTTTTAAAGTCAAGGTAAATAGTTTTCTTTTCTTTTTTTTAAATTTAAAGTGGTTTTAGATTTTGAGTTAAGATGATATTTAAGAACAAATTTCAACTTCTGTATTGCGAGAGTAATGATTATAACGTTGACAAGTGTATGCACTATTTACATGACTCTCATAAATGGATATTGGGGTTCATTTTAACTAGGTCCATATTTATATACGCCCATAGCTTTAATTTGTTGTGTGTTTATTTTATAGTGAGGCCTATAAATATTCTCTCTTTCGGCCAACCCAACTCTACGTAGAGAAACCCCGCCGATCCCTTTCTGTTTTTAAATAGCTTTTAGCCGTGAATTCTGTATCCGTCAGTTTTTGTTGCTGTTGTTTTTTTTAAGGGATTTTTTAGTTTGAAGTTTATGCTCTAAAGAAATTTTAAACATTTTATACACTGCAGTGGTATTTTATAAAAATGATACCCTTTCTAACGTTTTTCGACCTGACACTTTTACTTTCTATCTGAGATTTTTCAAAGAAAAAAAAAATCGATTACCTTGTAAAAGATTATAAGCACAAAAAACGTTTCCCTAAAGATTTGCCGTTTTTCAAAAGTACATAACAAAAAGGACAGCATTTTTTAGCTACACGAAACTTCGCACTTTTCAAGTGAAGTTAATTTCTCAATTTTATTTTGAGTATTGGCTGCTGGTAGTAGTTGAAAACGAATACTGCAAAAATGCGTTATTTTTCATGGACTTTATTATTATTATTATAGGGTTTTGTTTTGCAGGACCACCACGCTACGGCGATAGAATGGAGGGTAGGCGGAGGACATACAATCGGCACGAGCGTCCACGAAACGACTTTATGTCGGACTACGAAACTTATCTTTGGGGCTCGAACCGCTATGTTAATTACAATTCTTCCTCATCGTCGACCTATGGTGAAGGTAAACAATTACAAGAAATTACACTCATTCATTTATATATATGTTCGTTTTCTTTTGCATTCAACGATTTTTTCTATAAACTTGTTATATATTTTTAAACAAAACTCAGGTGCATGACTGTGCTCATTTTATTGTTTTATATGTCATTTTAACATACAAAATAAATTGTTTAAGATACTAGTAGTGTAATAAACGAATAAATATATAAAATAAGTACATGCATACTAGTGGTTAGAAACAAATTTTTTAACGTCTGAGTTAAACCGCTACCTCACTGAACTCGAAGTTACGCCTCATTAAACTTGTTTAATTTCAATTTCTTTAAGATAAGATACCTATAGCTTATCTATTTGTAAACGTACCGTGACGAATATTATAAATATGTGAACTTGCAGCAGGGTGCAATACGAGCTTTATAAATTACTGGATTAACCTGACTAAATATTACGGTGTTCCGTTTGGACACGTTTGGACAATCGTGACATTTTATTTATTCTGTACCCGCGATGCACGATGGTACGATGGTGAAAACGCGATGGCACGATGGTACGATGGTGAAAACACGATGGTACGATGGTGAAATCACGATGGTACGATGGTGAAATCGCGATGGCGCGATAGTACGATGGTGAAAACGCGATGTTACATCGCGTTTTTACCATCGTACCATCGTGATTTCACCATCGTACCATCGCGTTTTCACCATCGTACCATCGCGTTTTCACCATCGTTCCATCGTGCATCGCGGGTACAGAATAAATAAAATGTCACGATTGTCCAAACGTGTCCAAACGGAACACCGTAAAATATACACCAAACCTATTATATTTCATGATGCATGTATGGTGTCTTTGAATTTGAAAACACAAACTATCATGACGTAATTTCCATACATTTTAGGGACTGTGTGGTATCAGTTTTGCCTCATTGGTCATTTTCCAGTACCTTTTTAGAACAGAAGTAAGACATAAAGCAACGGCATATCTTGTCCGCTCATCGATTTCTAAATGACTGTTTCATAGAGAGCGTGACGAGATGACACGAATATTTTAAACCTTAAAAATAAACATTAAACTTTTATTTGACCGTATCAAGTTCATGTTATAAGCAACCGGAAACTAGTAACCAATATCATAAACATGTTATACCAAAAATAAATAAAAAATACGCAAATCTAAAACAAATCGGTGTAAATATTTGCTTCATTATTTGATAACATTGAAGATGATAATTCAACATATATAGAGCTAAAGTGGTCAATTCAGATAAATGATACCATTTATATTGAAAGCTTATATAATGACACGTGACTGAAGTAGACACATTTTCTGCTAGAAATTATACGTACATTAAAACGGAATTTATAATTCTAGATGGCCGTAACAGAACTCCGTACAAATAGTAAGCCACTATGTAAATGTATTTTAAGGTTACGGAAGCCTGAAAGTGACCGGGATTGACATGAATATCAGATATAACACAGAGACCCACCGAACTAAAGACTTTGATATCACCAATGCCAAATTGTATGACAGTCGTCAAGTGCTTGTCGTAAGACGAGGGCAGAAATTCTACATGAAGTTTACATTTGACAGGCATTTTAACCCTGAAAATGATGATGTTCGAATAATTTTTCAATTTGGTAAGACTATACGCTTATCTGTTGATTGGACTAAAATACATAATTATATACACATCTTTACATACATACTTAAAGGGCGGATAGATTGTAGAAAATGTTACTAAACACATTCTGTTCAGAACTGGATTATATTAACTTGCATAAAATCTTATCTTTAAGTCCATCTTTTAAAATTATACATAGTTTATGGCTGCAGTATTTATTTTATGATTAAGTCCTTCTTCATCGATATCAATAATATATATTGTCATAAAACACTTTAAATAGTTTTGAGATAGAATTTATTGTTTTATTCTCAAAAAATGAATAGTTGCTAACGTTACCAGATTCAGTTTTACATTGTACGGAAGCCGATTAGGGTCATTTGAAATTTGAAAAAAAAATGCAATTCATGCAATCATAATAATTATAATTATATAATTATAATTATATTGAAAACCTCCTAGATGTAATCAATACTGGTCTCGACTATAAATTTTTATCATGTCTTATCCAAATAATTCATCATAGGCTTTATCGTGCCAGTAATAGAAACGCGCTTACGTGGTATAAATCGCACTATTACGCTAAAGTAATTCTTTATCTAAATCATACGTATATTACGATAATCAACTCTCGTGATATTTTCTAGGAAAACGTCCACTTCCTTCTAGAGGAAGCCATGTGGAGCTCAAACTTTCCTCACATTCAAGTTACGGAGAGAGTAAGTGGAATCTCAATACTGAGTCGATAGATGGCGCGTCTGTGACGTTCAGCGTAGATACTCCGCCTTCTTGCCCAGTTGGTAAATGGCATGTAAAAATAGATGTTCAACAACATGGAAGAAATGCAAATTCAAATGTGTTGAGATTTGGTTACAAATATCCAATCTACATATTGTTTAATCCATGGTGTGAAGGTGAGTGGCATTTGAGCATGTAACATTTTTCTTAATTTCATGTTTGGGTCCCCACATTAAAACGACAGCTTCTACAACATGTTTACAGATATACGTTAACACTATGTAAAAGTGTGTGTTATATACAGGCTGTACATCATCATCATCATCATCATCATTACCACCATCACCACCAATACCATCAACAACATCCCCACCATCACAATCATCATCATCTGATTCATCATCACGAACATCATTATTACCATCATTATCATACAACAGTTAGGGACAGCTACAACGAAATCACATATTTTCTTTCACTAAATCTTTCAAACATTGTTATTTTAGATGACCAGGTATATATGAAGGATGGCGATTTACTGAAAGAATACATTCTGAATGAAACGGGAAAACTTTACGGCGGAAGTGCGAAAAAGATAACTTTTATTCCATGGAACTTTGGACAGGTGATTTACTTTTATGTCTAAGCAATGCTGATTTTTTATGCGGCACTGTTTTTTTTCTTTCGTTTTTTTGTTTGTTTGTTGTTTTAATTTGTGTTTTTTTTTTCATACAACAAAATTGTTATTTTTTATATGAACTGAATATAACTGAGGTAAACCTTACTTGTCTTGTTACTATGGCCGCACGGCGACGTTTTAACTAACTTTTAAGAACACCAATCCGTATGTCATTTCTAAAATGCGCCTGTATCATTACGCATTCCACATTTTCGATGACATTGAATTAAATTTTAAAAAGAATATTGCATGCCACAGTTTATTTGTTCATGTTTGTTTTGTTAATTCTACCAGTTTACAGGCAATGTCCTTGACTGTGTGATGTTTCTTCTGGACGAGTTATCAAACCTGCCCGATAATAAACGAGGCGACGCTGTCCATGTATCTCGTGAAATCTCGAGTTTGGTGAGTTTTGGGTGTTTTTTTTACAAGTAATAATGCGGATGATTATCCAATGTTCTTGAGAAATGTATTGAATATGTTTTAATTTAGAAAATCGGAAATGTGGCTTTAACACTCAAATTCAACACCGAATTGTGGATATTTTCATTAAGTAGATTTTCCTGCGCATTCCACTTTAATAATTGGATTTTTTCGGAACACAAGATACACCAATAAAAAACCATTGACTTAATGTTGTGCAAAAAGACCAACAGTACCATTTGCGTGCTCTATAATGTTCTAAACGGTGGCTGAATAAATGACTGCAAAAGACGTATATAACGTTTTAATAAAGTCGCATGTGAAATTTTATAAATTTTGGTAGAGTATGTATTTGTGTATTTAAGGTGAATAGTAATGACGAAAATGGGGTCATTATCGGAAACTGGAGTGGTCACTATGACGACGGAACTTCGCCGCTTGGTTGGACCGGAAGTGCGTCAATTCTAGATGAATATTTCAAATATAAGAAACCTGTGAAGTATGGTCAATGTTTTACGTTTTCTGGAGTTGTTACAACCGGTAACTTTTTTACAAATATAATCATAAATCAAATGAATCTGATTTCTATAAAAATCAAGCCTTAATGGAGCTCCACAGAAGTCTTAAAGTTAAAGCTAAAAACTTTCATAAATATAACGTTTCTCAAAATTCAAATAAAAAAATCGATATTAAGTGCAATTCTTAGAGAGAATTGAAATCGCTTTTCATTTTTAGGTTATTTTGAACATTAATGTGTTTTGGAAAAACGAAGTGAGCGAATTATCTGATTTGCATACTTGTTATTGCTAAAGACTTACATCAATTGGTATAAAGGTCTCGAAACATGTTAAAGTTCATTTTACTTTCTAAATTCAAACGTTTTAACAAAGTGAACCTGCTCTTTCATTGGCAACATAAGTATGCAACCTGGATGAAAACAGTTTTCAGTATTGTGTTTCATAAAAGTTAAAGACTTTCTGATTTATTCGAGAAGTTATCAACAAATGTCTAGTATTAGATACTAGTATAAGTGGAATTAGTAGTACTAGTGTGATGGTCTTGTTATTTCAGTATGTAGAGCTCTAGGTATACCAGCAAGATCTGTGACAAATTACAATTCAGCACACGACACTGATGGTAGTATCACAGTAGATACATATTTTGATAGAAATTTTGAAGAAATTGGAGAGCTTAATACAGATTCTATTTGGTAAGACAATGTTTTAATTACATCTTGTTTGAATAAAGATAAATGTTAATTGATCTTGCTTTGATCGTGAATTATTGTATGTTTTATGTAAGTTTTCCTATGCTTGGAAATATTCTGTATATGATTCATGTACATGTATATATTATGGACTGGTCTTTTTTTCTGATATATTCCGTCTTCTTTAATTTTTCATGATACATGTACAAAATGTATATGTTAGCATATCCGAGGAGTATGCATGTTGTTCTTTTATGTTTAATTAAAATGATACTAAAGTAACTTATGTAGAATTTTCATACAGACTTTACAATATATATTTAGGAATTTTCATTCATGGAATGATGTGTGGATGACTCGACCAGATCTACCACCAGGATATGATGGCTGGCAAGCTATAGATTCTACACCGCAAGAACAGAGCAAGGGTAGGTCTCAAACAAATAGTTCTAACATGAATTTCGAGTACATATTATTAAAGAATCAACATAATATTATACATTTTGCCCGCACTTTGAAGTCGCCTACGTCGTTACAAAATTTACTCAATTATATAAAAATGTGTATTGCATGTGTCGGAACCGTTAGAATTGTATGGAATGCCGGTAGGGACATGCCACTTTGCTTATTTGCCAACTACTTAATTGATTATTTGCTAATTGCTGATTTGCCAATTTGCTGATTTGCCAATTTGCTTATTTGCTTATTGCTTATTTGCTTATATACATAAATTTTTATGCTATTGTCAGGCGACACGTCCGACTCGCGAAGTTCTTGTTTGATATAAAATAACAAGTCTTTGTAGACTTTATTTCAAGCTCATGAACCTATATCATGTTATTATGTTTATAAAGTTTTGTTAATTATAACTTGTGACAATTATGATCAATCCATCGATCATTACCTAGAATATAGGTAGAAAGACAGATGGATACTTTTTAATCAATTTCGAAAAAAATAAATTCAGTTTCAGAAAGTAGTTGTTTTTTTTAATTATCTTGAGTTTCAGTTTTAGCTTGCATACAAAGTACATGTACATGAAGAAGCTGTGCCCGTTATATACTGAATGTCAAGGTCACCAATGTATTGTACAAAGTAGCCTTTGTTTTTCTGTCATATCTCTGTTACTATTGCTTATATCTAACTGTAACTTCACATAAGCATTAAATAGGCAGCATGCATACACAATATTCAAAGAGGCTTTGTCCATTATACCCTAGGTCATGATCATGGTCATGGTCACCTGATAGCATGTAAATATTACAACATGAAGAAATGGAAAAGTGTGACCAAATTTCAAAAACATTGAACCAAAGCAAAATGTTGATGCACACACAGACAAAAGTGATCTCAAAATCTTACAGAGCTAAAAACGCAGCCTATTGCTTAAGTGCAAAGACAAACACCCGTGTTAAGCATGCACCAATTAATGTATCATTTGTGATACTATGTGTTCATACCACTAAAATGAGGCCCTCTGTGACAAATCTGCTGAGAATAACGACATTTTATATGCCATAAAATAAGAAATAGTTTTGTTTTCAAATTCTTTTATTTTCAATCTTTACCCAATAATTTTCACTTATATATGACTAATCAAGTGTTTATTATGCCATCAATCTCTGACTTAAGCTGCACAAACAGATCTATAGCTGCAACACATTATAAGGCATTCTCAAGCACAGATGCTGGCGGGTCAGATCCTGCCCCTAACGTGATACGCGTCTGTAAACACTATATCAAAACTATTTTAAATTTTATTTAAATACGAATTGGACATTTGTTACAACGATAAAACCATTAAGTATTTTATTGAGACTTGGTCGTATATGGCATTTTTTCATACCGGTATATGTAAAAATTGCTTGAAAACCAGTTTTAACGATGTCCAATTCGTGTTTAAATATTAAAATATTTTAAAAAGGGGCACGTATCATGTTGGGGTACGGGATCTGACCCCCAAGCGTCTGTGTTCTCAAGGACATGTCAGCCATCAGTTGTAGACATATATCTGCGTATATCTGCGTAGGCATCACTGCAACTAAATTCATTGACCAACAGTATTCTTGGAAAAACACTGAATTTACAAGAATGCTGTTGGTAAAAGTTAACAGATCTGACTCAACTAGTTGTCTGTAGTCAGATTTTCCATATTTTTCCGGCACAGTGTAAAGTATTTCTATTGCAAAAAAGCAAATTAGCAATTGGCAAATAAGCAAATACGTAAACCAGCGGTTAACAAATAAGCAAATTAGCAATTCAGCAATTGGCAAATAAGCAACTTTGTCGTTAAGACTATCAGCCATTAGCAAATAAGCAAATCGGCAATTAGCAAATAAGCAATTCAGCAATTGGCAAATAAGCAAATTGGCATGTCCCTACCGGCATTCCATAGAATTGACATATAAATCATCTCTTGTTCCAGCACCTAAAATGATATCATTACTGTAAGATTCCATTTTTAGCATAGCTACATGTGAGAAAAACCAAATTTCAAATACGTTTCCGGTTATGTACATGTATATGGTGTAATTCTTGACAAATGCCAGTATTATATTATCATTTATTTACTTGTAGGAATTTACTGCTTAGGACCGATGTCATTGAAGGCAATCAAAAGTGGGCGTGTTTATCTTCCATATGACGGTCCAATGGCATTTGCCGAAGTGAACGCTGACAAAATACTATGGATGAGTTATTCACCAGGCAAGCTTCGAGCTGTGAAGACAGATAAAAGTTTGTATGTATTGAGTCTAAAAGAAACAAAAAATGTTGATTATAATGTATTGATTAATATTTTATGTCGCTACAGATGCAATGTTGAAGATAAGTTGAAAAATAGGCCTCATTTCATGCGTGCATTCTGGCCGATTGGCTTGTAAGTTGCTCATGTCTTGATTATGGTAAGTAAGCAATGGACTTAACCTTTTTAGATCCAGAACGGGATAAATCTGGTATGAAAATCAGCATAAGAACGTACAAAGTGTTCCTACTACATTGCTTTGCCCTTACATCACCGGGAACAGGGTGTAAAATTGTGCGGCACATCTTGCTCTTACTCACCGAAGATGATCCATATTGTACTTTTCATCTCATTACCTGAATCCTGTTTGACTACTTCAATAAAAATGGCAGACTTTTCAGTTTCATGGTTATTTTCATTAAACCGTTTCAACCTTGTACTAACTTAATATGTATGTTATATTTGTGATATAGTGTTGGAAAGTTAATCAGTACGAAGAAACCATTGACTAATTCAGCATCAACTGATTGGATGACTGGATTAGATAAAGATAGAGAAGATATAACCGACCAATATAAATATTTGGAAGGTTTGTAACAGCTATTATTCTGAAACTTTGTGAGTGTCGTGGGCGCAGTCTTACTAAACTGATATACAAGATATTGGTTACTAAAAATTAATACCTGTTTGTTTGTTTTTTGTCTTCAATACCTTAGAATGAAAACAATATTCAGTAAAAAAATATCAAAGCAAAAGGCCAGTATCTTAATTTGAATTTGATAATTCAAATTTAAACGTATTCCTTTTAAGTCCAGAAAAATTACTTAAATTCGGGAGTCTTTGTGTTTGTTAGATTAATTTAAAGAATTTTAGTTTGGGCCTACGTAAATTAATTAATTAATTAGTGTTTATTTACTATTAGTTTGCTGCTTTATTACAACCTAATACAACGTTGTGCACAATTTATACAACACATTTTAGGTACAGAAGAAGAGCGCATTGCAGTTGAAGAGGCCAAGTCGTATAGAGCTAATGATGACTCTGAAGATGACAATAAAAAGGTAGAGTTCTTTCACCAATGATTCGCTTTTATCGTATGATTTTCAAAGTCCAGGAACGTTTTTTAGAAATGATGCTATTAATGTAAATGAAAAAAGAATTTTACTTTTTACTTGTATTTACAAATACAACATCTTCAAACTACCAACAATACAATGTACATAATATTGTTCGACGTCGCAGTGGGAGCTATATAGACCACGGAAAGTGCAAATTATTCACAGAATAATATCGTCAATGATTCTTTACAAAGCATTGTAGGAGCACATTTGTCTCGGAGCACATTTGTCTCACGAAGTGTGACCGATGTGTTCGTAAATATCCATATTTGCGACAAATTGGATATGAGACAGATGTGTTCAACACACAATAGAAAGGACACTTGAAGCACATTTGTCTCACATTTTTCCATAACATTATTAAAAGGTAATGATTATGCTCATCTGTATACCGGCTACCAGCCATTGTTCTGTGTTTTCTGTATCTATAATACCGTTTTGTGGTCACTTCCGGTCAGTCAAAAATGCATAGGAATCATTTATTAAATTATAAACAATATACCTGTTCTGCATGTCACAATGAAATTTTTTACATGTGCAGCATCCAGAACCTAAACACATATGCAGCAAGTCTATTCTTATCGTTATTAATTGTGATACGTTTATTTTTCAATGCTTAAAGTTTTATAAATGTTTTATGGCACTAGAAATATTCTTAGCAAAAACAAGGTAGTATCTACGGTGGCATAAAGGGGCCATAGAATTTTCTTATTTGTTACGTGCGCACACGATAGCTTTTACGTGGCCACGCGATACTATTACGTGCGCACGTGATAGCAATTACGTGCGCACGCGGATATGTATTCCGCATTTGGACCCTGACCGGGATCCTCGGATGAATAGTTCGACGCCCCGTGTATGTGTCTAGAGCCTACAGTGGTTAGGGGCAAGTGTTGTTTTTTTTTTAATCACTCGGCCACGGAGGCCCTTAAATGATCTATAAAAGAAAATAAGAAGACCATTACACACTATTCTGTTTCCATCAGAAATATATGTATAAAAAATTGTCATTCTCTCAGATCCGCCATTGAAAAAGCACTTAAAACATGCATGAGTTCCTGAAATAATCCGGGTTATGCCATAATTATGGAATATCGGGCCACTCAGAATCGGGCGAGACGCGACATTCCGATAAGACACGAAGCGAGACACGATATTGTATCACAAGATCTCGCAATGTCGAAGTATCCCGTACCACGAGATTTCCGAAATGAATAAATTTTTACTTCTTTAGATAGGGCAAGTATGAATTCATTAATATTCATTAATATTCAAATAATGATTTCTATGAAGTAAGATGCTTGTAAGCGATAAATGTAAAATAATGCGTCATGAAAGTAGATAAATGTAAACAAAGTAGTATTTTGACTTCAATACAAATTCTAAATCACTTCAACTGTACAAACTGCAAAAAAGCAGCAGATGAAACAATGCTTCAGGTAATTAGCCAATGAGAAACTTTTTGGAGCTATAAGATAAAAAACTTTTAAAGAATACAAATAATAGCATTTCTCTGGCATAATGGGCCTTTAAGTGATTTTATGTAGACTATAAATGGACTACTACTTAGCGGTATATGACCTGGAATCAATTTCCTGTCTCGCGTCGACGAACGAGATGAGCAGCGAGACGCGAGATTTCGCTAGACGCATGATTTCGGCGAGATGCAGAACGAGTCACGATATTATATCATTCAATATCAACCGATTACGGTGTTTCGTTTGGACATAAGTAACATTTTTGTCGAGACTCCCTGAACAGCTATGCACAATGGTACAAAAGTGAAATTGAGATGGTACGATGATTAAACACGATGGCACGATGGTGAAATCACGATGATGTGATGACACGATGGAGAAAATAATATCGCGTTTTCATCATCATACCCCATCGCAGTTTCATCATACCGTACCATCGTATTTTCACCATCGTAACATCGTCTTTCACCATAGTACGATCACGTTTTCATCATCGAGCCCTTCGTTGTTTCACCATCGTACAATTGTTGTTTTACTATCGCACAATCGTTGTTTCACGTTCGTACCATTGTGTTTTCACCGTCGCACCATGGCGTTTTCATCACGTACCATCGTGCTTTCGCGCTGTCACCATTGTACCATCGTGAACGGGATTTAGTATGTTTCAATGTACGCCTTCAGGTTAAGCCAATCAATTTTTTTGAAATTAGAGATATTAATAATTAATAGTTTCACTTAAAGTTTTCATCAAGAAAGCATAAGCAAACCTATTGATGATTACACTTGACATGGGGTGAAACGGCGAACCTCGATTCTAAAAAAAAACTTCTGCCGTGGAGAAATATATGACAAATAATTCATAAAAAAGACATGAGACAAATGTGCTTTATTGTCCCTTAAAAACACATGAGACAAATGTGCTTTCTTGTCCCTTAAAAAACTTGTTTGGAGCACATTTGTCACACAAATGAGTTTTTTTGGTAGACATTTGAGGTCCCATTTGTCTTATGTGGGACAAATGCGACCGCATCGGTCTTACGTAAGACAAATGTGCTCCGAGACAAATGTGCTCCTACAAAGCATAATCTGTCGACTGCATTGTATCTACACTAGTTTTGCAGATTATTTTTTTATAATTATTAGCATCTTTTCGATCACTTAACTGACAAATATAATCTGAAGAGTAAATGCGCGGATATCATTTCTTTTTTATTTCTCAATTATACCCATATAAAGAATTACGATGCTAATTAAAAATATTCCGTAGGATGTTGAATTTGAACTCAGTGCTGACAATAACACATTTATCGGGGAAACATTACAAGTTTCACTAAAAGTAACGAATCAGAGAAGCAAAAAGACAAGGACGGTTGTCGGTCTAATTAACGTGAAGACCATTTATTACACGGGAGTCCCGTACAAAGAGGTAGTAAAGGGAAAACTCCCAAGAACTGCAATCAGCGGCAAGGATGGTATACTATTTTGATCTCTCTTCCTTTTCGTTTATGTAATCTCATTTCTATGCGATATTCTGTTATACTTGATCAAAATAGATTGATAGGACCATAAGTGTTGTATTACAGCATCAATCTTATATTTATAATAAGTGAAATATTAGTATGATATAAACACTGAATTAAAAATTAGATTGGTAACAAAATCAAAACAAATCTTAATAATTTAAAATATGAAATATTAATTATGCATACACATGCTTACTGACCTAATTATAATAGATGATTTATAGTACAAATGGTTAATGATTTATGATAATAAAAAAGGTTTATGGTTTACGATTGCACAAACAGTTAATGGTTTTTGATAATACAAATGGTTTATGATTTTATAAATTGTAACGGTTTATGATAATACACTATGCCTTATTATTTATCATAACACTAGACGATGATGATATATGGTAACACTAACGGTTAATGATTTATGATAATACAAATAAGTACCTTTGAAATTACTGAAACGTTAATGCGTTATCATTGAAAACAGGGTAAAACGACTATAACAAACCCATCGTTGATGCTTCTTGTTAATATCAGTGTGTTAATGATTTGTATCATGTTGTTACCAAAATCTATATCTTGTTTGTTCACTAGAGAAGATGTTCAGGATAGACGTGCCAGTAAACCTTTATTTGGACAAATTAACAGATCATTTTTTCCTCAGTGTCACGTGTTCATGTATGATTGAAGAAACAGAGCAAACATTTGCCGACACTGTGGAAGTTCGACTGCGAAAACCTCATCTTACTATAGAGGTACTGTCTGCATGACTTCTTTAACAAAGCGTTTGTTGTTAATTTCACGATTTGTTTACAAATGAATCCAGATGTTATAAACTAATGCAGTACGTAGAGAAAAAAGAAGTTTAAAAATTTTCCAAAAGGGGACATATGACGCATTGAACAAATGCATAGATATCCGAGGATATTCACATTTATGATTTCATATAAAGAAGTTACTGCTAGCTATATAAATCATTTTCTTAGTCCCGATTGCAGACTATAACCAGTGCTTTTGTAGCATGAAGAAATTCGAAGTCATGACCTGAGGATGGCTCGAACAAAATACTTCTTGATTTAGCTGCAGACGCGTTAACCACTAGGTCACAGCTTCCGTACTTTTCATACTGATATTCTAATAAGACTATAATTAACTTGACTTACCGTATACGTAAATATGTACAGTTATAGGCTTTGCCACATTGCTTGACTTTAACCATTGGTGCGGCTCTATTTTTTAGCATAAAAACTTTCATAAAAAAAATTATTTACCAGTAACACAATTTTATTTAATCATAACTATAGGCACCAGATACTGGATATATTGGACAGCCGTTCAAAGCTGAGACAACATTCACAAACCCATTACCTGTACCACTAACAAACTGTTACCTGCGAGCTGAAGGTCCCGGAAGACAGCTCCCTATCACATACAAGCTGCAGTAAGCATCAGTTTCTATATATTGCTGCGTTAGTTTTCTTTTCAAACTAATTTATTAAAAAAATAATATATTACTGATAAATGTAGACATGTGAAAAATTGCAATTTCAAATTAATTCGGAACATACGATGTCTTACCCAGAAGTAAGTTTTAAATAAAGACGAATACCAGTGATTTGTTAAAAACATCGATTTCTAAACATTAATTCCCAAAGAATCATATAGATTAGAATTAATGTTATGACGTTACTACTAAAGACCGGTGGGGACATTTCCAGAGTATTCATAGTTGAAATGTCACCATTGGTCTTTAGTATGTTACGCCCTCTCTCGTTCTGGCTTCAAATAAAATGTGCATCATATAAAAGGGAACAACGCGATTACGCCAAATCGAAATAAGCATTTCACAAATTTTATTAATACTGAAGCTTTTCTTTGCCATATACTCCAATATCAAATTTGACATTATCATCATTTTCATATAAGAACAGAAAGTTTTTTTTTTAATTTATGCACTTAGCATAAATTTTTGTTGTTACCTGTTTGGTTTAATTTGATATTATTATATGTCATGTTTTTTCTTTGTAAAACCATTTATCAAAATGGTAGATTTTAATGATTCTGCATGGCAATACATGTACACATATGTACATAATCCTTTTCATATTTATATATTTTCAGGGGAATTAATCAAGGCCAAGCGGTGAAAATTATTGTGGAGTTTACTCCTGTCAAAGCTGGAGAAAAAGAAATCATCATGAACTGTACGAGTGACCAACTGGCTAATATAAATGCTACACGTCCCATATATATTAACGGATAAAGCGGCAAAAAGACCAAATAATATAAAAGTTTATGTTCATAAACTCATATGAATAATTATGATATGATGACCAACTGATTAAGATGTGAAATAATCAAATAGAATTAATTCATATTGGCAATATCTATTGGTTATTCAATATTGATACGTTTATCTTTTGAAATCATTTCCCATACATGTATGAATATTTATTATGATTTATATAATGTGCAATAAACTCAAACACTACTAGCCTTATGGAAAGCTTATTTATATTATTTCAATTATATTGTTTATTTATGTAATAAATATATAAAAAAAATACACTGTAGTTTTGTCTGTCTAAAAATGTGACGAGGTGGTGTTGGTAGTTTCCACTCCGGATCACGACAGTAAGCCACATTGAATTTACCAGAGCACAATTCAGCCACCGCATCGTTCCTTGGAAGGCTGTCAAGAGTTTCCTTCACTTTCGCAAGAAACTGGTTACTTCAGTACATATCAGAGCAGAGGTACAGTGCAAATGACCGAAGATAGAATTTCATGATCAATCACAACGAAAGTGACCTGCGCCGTCCGGAAATCGAACCCGATTCACAGTCCAACGCTCAACCTTAACCGGACATTGAGTTTACAGACTTATATATATTGTAACTTAATGTGTCCGGACCGTTACATTGAGTTAACAGACTTATATATATTGTCACTTAATGTGTTCGGACCGTAATATTGAGTTAAACAGACTTATATATATTGTAACTTAATGTGTCCGGACCGTAACATTGAGTTAACAGACTTATATATATTGTCACTTAATGTGTCCGGACCGTAACATTGAGTTAACAGACTTATATATATTGTCACTTAATGTGTCCGGACCGTAACATTGAGTTAACAGACTTATATATATTGTCACTTAATGTGTCCGGACCGTAATATTGAGTTAACAGACTTATATATATTGTAACTTAATGTGTCCGGACCGTTACATTGAGTTAACAGACTTATATATATATTGTCACTTAATGTGTTCGGACCGTTAATATTGAGTTAACAGACTTATATATATTGTCACTTAATGTGTCCGGACCGTAACATTGAGTTAACAGACTTATATATATATTGTAACTTAATGTGTTCGGACCGTAATATTGAGTTAACAGACTTATATATATTGTAACTTAATGTGTCCGGACCGTAACATTGAGTTAACAGACTTATATATATTGTCACTTAATGTGTCCGGACCGTAACATTGAGTTAACAGATTTATATATATTGTCACTTAATGTGTCCGGACCGTAACATTGAGTTAACAGACTTATATATATTGTCACTTAATGTGTCCGGACCGTAACATTGAGTTAACAGACTTATATATATATTGTCACTTAATCTGTCCCATCTTTTTTTCAAATATCACGTGACACCTTGATATAACTCATACAATACAAAACAAGAATAAATAATTGAGGTTTAATTTACAATCGACAGGGAACTAATAAGTAGATACAATTATTTACTCTTAAGATAAAAAGTAAAATTGCTGGGTAGTTTTTTATTTGAAACCCGCATCGTAAAAAAAAGGCTAATTTTTGTACCAATTAAAAAAAATTATCTTATTTGAAAAAAAGCCCTTTTTTAAATTTTGCCCAAAAAAATAGAAAACCGACCAAACCCCCCCCCCCCACACACACAACCCCAAAAAAATAACACATTTCCGCAAAAACCCAATGTTAAAAAAACACAATTTGGGAAACCTATCAATTTTAAATTTTAAATTTCAAAAGTAAAATTAAAAATCGAAATTTTGGATACAGAAAACGCCCAAGAAAATAGCAACAATAAAATTTCCCTGAAAAAATTTAAAAGTTGTCCTGGGCCCAAAATTTTAACAGTGTAAATGTAATTAAAACACTTAAATGAACCCCCAAATGTTTAAATGTACCATCAGCTAAAAAATGTATACATCATATGTAAATGTACACATCAGCTGTGAATCTACACATCATATGTAAATCTACACATCAAATGTAAATCTACACATCAACTGTAAATGTACACATCAACTGTAAATGTACACATCAACTGTAAATGTACACATCAGCTGTAAATGTACACATCAGCTGTAAATGTACACATCAGCTGTCAATGTACACATCAGCTGTCAATGTACACATCAGCTGTAAATGTACACATCAGCTGTAAAATTATACATCAGCTGTAAATGTACACATCAGCTGTCAAATGTACACATCAACTGTAAATGTACACATCAACTGCAAATGTACACATCAACTGTAAATGTACACATCAGCTGTAAATGTACACATCAGCTGTCAAATCTACACATCAGCTGTAAATGTACACATCAGCTGTAAAATTATACATCAGCTGTAAATGTACACATCAACTGTAAATGTACACATCAACTGTAAATGTATACATCAGCTGTAAAATCTACACATCAGCTGTAAATGTACACATCAGCTGTAAATGTACACATCAGCTGTAAATGTACACATCAGCTGTAAATGTACACATCAGCTGTAAATGTACACATCAGCTGTCAAATGTACACATCATATGTAAATGTACACATCAACTGTAAATGTATACATCAGCTGTAAATGTACACATCAGCTGTCAAATGTACACATCAACTGTAAATGTATACATCAGCTGTAAAATGTATACATCAGCTGTAAATGTACACATCAGCTGTCAAATGTACACATCAACTGTAAATGTATACATCAGCTGTAAATGTATACATCAGCTGTAAATGTACACATCAGCTGTCAAATGTACACATCAACTGTAAATGTACACATCAACTGTAAATGTACACATCAGCTGTAAATGTACACATCAGCTGTAAATGTATACATCAGCTGTAAATGTACACATCAGCTGTCAAATGTACACATCAACTGTAAATGTACACATCAACTGTAAATGTACACATCAGCTGTAAATGTACACATCAACTGTAAATGTACACATCAACTGTAAATGTACACATCAACTGCAAATGTACACATCAGCTGTAAATGTATACATCAGCTGTAAATGTACACATCAGCTGTCAAATGTACCACAATCTAAAGCGTCTGCATATGTTTAAAGCAGCAGTAAATGTATAGATCAGCTTTTAATGAACACACCAGATGTTAATGCTCACATCAGCTGTAAATGTACACATCAACTGTAAATGTACACATCAGCTGTAAATGTACACATCAGCTGTAAATTTACACATCAGCTGTTAAAGTACACATCAGCTGTAAAATTATACATCACCTATAAATGTATACATGAGCTGTAAATGTACATATCAGCTGTAAATGTACACATCAGCTGTAAATGTACACTTAAGCTGTAAATGTACTTTGTACACGGTAAAATGTGAGAACACTGAATTGCAAACAGATGCGAATGCACGATGCGAATGTTTCTAGTGGATTACAAGTGCAAAGTCGTAGCAGATGCAATCATATTGAAACAATATTTGTTGAAAGTGAAATAAATTAATAGGAGACGCAGTGAATTCAGTAGCCCCAGATAATGTTGGTTTTACTTTTGGTACGACCATTTTGTATGTGCCGTATAATTTTTCTAAGGATATACTGAGGTTTTTATAATATAATAAAATATTATTAAAGTAAATAACTATCAAGTTGAAATCAATCCGCAGACGAACAAAAGTAATATCCATTCAATATACTGATGCAAATGCACTTTTATTTGTTAATATCGATGTATATGACATTTTATTTTTTGTAAATAAATTTCTGCATAATTATTATATATTATGTTAATTTTCAATTATAATCAGAGAGACCATTTCACAAGTTCATGAACTAAAGACAGTATAGAACGACGGTCTATCGAAATTATTAAAACGAGAATAATTTATTCACCAATAAAGCAAATTTTAAACTGCGAGGATGCACACTTCTTTCATTGTGCAATAGCGTATTATTACATATACGGGCACGACCCAATCGTGTTCCACACGAATAGTTCGCCAGTCAATTTCAATGTCACAGGTTGCAAAAACATTATATCAGGTTTCAAATTGAGGAAGAATACCAATTAAATATAAATATTGGCACGTTGCTAGATTCATTGCAATTCTATGTTAAGTTATTTCCAACTTTAACATTAAAATGCGTGTTTATGTATTCTTTTTCACATAATGATAAAAATAGAAACGTCATTATATCACGGGTAGAGGTAATAATTGGCAAAAAACTAAACCGATAAAAATCGTCTGCTTAATTAAGGTAAATAGTTTTTTCTATTTTTCTATTTTTCATATTATTAAGATTTTATTTTGTTACTATATTATTGTAATGATATAATATTGTTTTTGAATACTTTACAACAAAAATAGCAGTATTGAAATAGTATAATGGTTACTGTTTTGTCATCAAGTTACAAATAGTGGTCTATATTTGATTGAAAGTTCATCTAACTAGGTTTCTAGTTTTTAAGGCATCTAGAGGGGAAAAAAGCACATACAAGTATAAAATGTGTGTCAATATTTGAGAAATCAAACGTTTGAAACTGTAAAAAATCAAAACAATCAGTCTATTTTTAGAGATTTGTATGCTTTTAAGTTTTTCTTTCGTTTTGAAGTACAATATTAAATTTGTAACTTGAGATAGCAAAAGCGTAAATATTGTACGCAAGTACCTGGCATTACGACAATTAAAGCTGTGTTTATTTTTTTACTTTGAGAGAACAGAAATAAAAAAATCGCAACAACAACAACAGAATAACAGCAGTCAAGCAAATAATTATTTAACTAAAGGACAAAAGAGTAAGATAAACAAAAAAAGCAGGAACAACAAACAATCACACAAAAACACAAAATAGATAACAAAAAATTACATTTTTTAAATGTTTTTAGAATATTTGTGTATGGTACCAGTAATTGATTTTGCTTCTGTCAAAGGATGTATGGTGGCAGGTACGGCGGAAGGGGAGGAGCCTATAACCGTCACGAGTCACGCGCTCGTCCGCGTGAAGATTTCATGTCGAGCTATGAGTCTTACATGAGAGGCTCAGACCGCTATGGAAATTACAACTCTACGTCCTCATATTATGGAAGAGGTATCCTCTGTTATTTTATCGCTGGTTTAATCATCAAAAATACGATCTATATCTATTACGCATTAATTGTATTCTATTGTTTTTTAACCTTTTTTTATTTGGAAAAAAGAAGAAAAGAATGTTTTGCATAATAGTTATAAAACGTTATAAAACAATAACATTCGTGTTAAGTTTCGCAAGCAGTAAGATATATCTAAACTTGCACATATACAGAACCTTATTTATTTTGCCTTCCAAAAATTTAAGTTTATACTCGTATTTTATATAATTGTATATGGATAAGTGTTATTTTACAGGGTCTGGGAGTCTGGAAATGTCCGGTGTTGACCTATATATACAGTATAACACACGGGCTCACCATACAAACGAGTTTGATATCACCGATGGCACGGTATATGACAGTCGAGAAGTTCTCGTTGTACGACGTGGTCAACCGTTCTACATGAAAATCATGTTAAATCAACCATACACTCCTGCAAAAGACAATCTACGACTAGTTTTTCTATTTGGTAAATAACAAACAACAGTATATGATATAGCTAACATAATTCAATTCATTCTGGACAAAAAAATGTCTTATTAGTTGATTATGATAAATTTGCTATTACAAAAATATTTCTAAAATCAATTTAGATGTTCACCGCCTTCTCAATTTTTGAGAGGTCCGGTGAATAACGCGCTACCTTTTGCATTGAGAATTCGACAGCGTATAATTCTAATATAAATGTTTAAATGAGTTTAGAATTGAGCCTTATTCTCAACATATTTTTGCTGTTTCTTAATATTTAAGCGAATGAAGTGTATGAGTTTGAAAAGTATACTTGCTAAATGTTTATTAAGAGATTAAATAAATTATGAAGATTATATTGTGTTCTATTGTAGGTAAGAACCCAAACCCTGCGCGCGGAACACAAGTTGAACTCTTCCTATCTACGGATTCAGGACATAATGCTGGGGGATGGGGTATTAATATTGAGGCCTCAGATGGCGCATCTGTGTCTCTTTCTGTGTCTGCCCCGCCCACATGTTTAGTTGGAAAGTGGTATCTGAAAGTAGACTTGTTAAAGGAAGGCGGCAATACCAGACATAACATGAAAAGATACGATCACAAAGATCCGATATACATTCTATTCAATCCATGGTGTAAATGTATGTATAGTTCTAATCTTTAAAAATGTAATTGACATTTCGACAAATACTTGCCGTGTGTTACTAGTACATGATTGAATTATATCATCATTTTGTACAATATGTTTTTCATAAGAAAAGCAACTGAAATTTACAGCTATGCACGATTTAAACGAGTGATACAAATGATTTTCTATTTACTTTTCGGATCTCAAAACTGTTATAAAAGTCTTAGCTTGGTGATGAATTTTTTGTAAATAACGATATATATGTATGTTTATTATTATACCTTTAAATTATATACTATATGTTTTAGATGATCAGGTGTTCATGAGCAACGATGAATTGCTTGGAGAATATGTAATGAATGAGACGGGCAAGATATACAATGGTAGTTCCCAAAATATCTCTTTCATGCCGTGGAACTTCGGGCAGGTATAAATGATTTGTTACCTAATCAATTGCTTGTTCAATTTTTATAGTTGCAAACCTACTAAAAACGTTTTTAATTGAAGTGTATTATTAAAAATTTCAATGCCAAAATCTCGGGAAAATTTACGAGAGATGGTGGTAGGTATGCTAGAGGTTTGACTTACAACTGCAAAGGTGGCAGCTCGTGTTGGGGCATCCGTGCAATCAGTCAGTGTCCTTTAGCGACGGTTTGCGCAGACCTACAGTATAAAGGGCTAACCATGGAGCGGCAGACCGCACGTCACGATTTAAGCCAAAGACCTTTTTATCTTGAACCGGCACCAACGTGATTGCGTTCGAAAAAAAAAATCAGCTATAGCTATCACTACACCACGGTACGACCGAATCGGCATTGCATGCGGCGGTCAAACTGTCTTTTTAAAGCTCATCATACATTACTTAATGAAAACAATCAAATTTAATTTCTGTCCAATATGCAGATCTGATATGATTCACACAAACACATACAATTTTAGTCAAATGTACTGACTATTTTCAAACCTAGCGAAAGATTCTTTTTTTTTTGCTTTTTTTAAAAGCATAAACTGATTTTTGGTATATTACTAAGCTACTATATCTGTTATTGACGTTTTAAAGTGTGCAAGCTGTGCGATAACATGTGTTGAGAAAATTTCATTTAATTTTGAATAGTATGTTTTCGTTTATGGGATTGCTATTTCACTCGACTTCCCTTACTTTTTTGCAGTTTTCAGGCAAAGTTCTCGATTGTGTTATGTACCTTCTTGACGAGTTGTCGAACCTTCCTGAACATCAGCGGGGAGACGCAGTCAAAGTTTCCCGAATGATCTCCAGCTTGGTAAGTTTCTGCCTATGTGTGTGACTGTCTTGTCTGTTTAGAGCATTACCCACGTCTTCTTCCTGTTCATGTCACTGTTTTGCTTTTTTGACGTAACCTGGTCCTGATACACTTGTTTAGTTGCAGATGACGGACTAATTTGATGACCGTTTTTCGCTGGGAATTCATTATCTTCCTTCATCTTGTCCTTGGATGCTACAGTATAAACGTCTTTTAATGGCTAATTACATACCTTACAAAATGCTCTTATTTCTTAAAATTAATTAAACACACATATTTGCCCTTTTGTTCATACTGTACTCTTTTCAGAAGTATAATGTGTCTTTTGTTAAGTCATATTTCATAAACTTTCATTAATGTAAATGAACTTTTAAAAAATGTTAAGATTGAACTATATATTAGTATTTTAAAAATGGAAATTTATATTTTAAATATATATATCAGGTGAACAGTAGTGACAACAATGGAGTGGTGGTTGGTAATTGGAGTGGTCGATATCAAGGGGGCGCTTCTCCGATGTCCTGGACCGGAAGTGTAGATATTTTGGAACAATATTACAAGACAAAACGACCCGTGAAATACGGTCAATGCTTCATATTTGCTGCAGTTGTTGCAACAGGTAAATATGAATTGGAAGAATATATATGTTAATCAAATATACATCGTAAATCATATGACTATTTTATATCATGTAATATTGTTATTGAGTGCTTGTAAGATGTTGAACTTTGTGTAAAACTTCATCATTTAACCTGTTGGAACCGGGCGAGTAGTCATCTGGGCAGTCGGACCTGGCAAGGTACTTTTTGTAAAATATTATTAAAAATTTCATCCCTCACGCCCCCTAGCACCGGCTTGAGTGGTACGCAATTCTCAACACTTAATAGTGCTGGCATCAATGATCCCGAAGGACCAGAAAAATATAACAACACTGAAGTGTAGTAACCTACCATGTAATCATGTTTCAGTATGTAGAGCTCTAGGTATACCTGTAAGATGTGTAACCAACTATAATTCTGCTCACGATACCGACGCAAGTGTGACAATAGATAAATATTTCAACAGAAATTTTGAAGAAATCGAAGAGCTGAATAAAGATTCCATTTGGTAAGTTAGCACATATAATTACAAATACTGACTTTTATTGATACTTAAGCTATGGCTTATACGGAAGGGAAAGTAAAATGCTTTGACAATGCAGACAATGGTTTGAATATACTGGAAGCAGATTTAGTTACATAAAAGTTACGTGTTGGTTAATAAAATAAATGTAGGTAATGCAAAAAAGTATTATTAACCTAAACATTCTGAAAGGTGAAACAATTATGATTTAATATACCAGTCATCGGTGCCACTAACTGTTAGCCAAAAATTTACTTATATTAGGTTTCTGTTTCTGAAATACTTATCCCAATCAGCCAATATTTAATATTTTGAATATTACAAAGCTGTTGCATTATTATTCGGTATATTGATGTGTAGGGAGGCCATTATTGTTCTGGTCATCGTGTTCTGGACGAGTCACGTTTTTCTGTGAAGACTTACATGGAAGATTGAAATATTAATTAAAAAGAAGTTTACCATATATTATGATATGTAGGAATTTCCATGTGTGGAATGATGTGTGGATGACTCGACCAGATCTTCCGGCAGGCTATAATGGTTGGCAAGCCATAGATGCCACACCCCAAGAAAAGAGTAAAGGTATGGAATAAACATGTATAAATGAGAAACTTACTTTGTTTTCAGATTATCTATCTTTAATATTGTATATACAATGTCACCAATAGTCCAAATATATGCACAGCTTCCAAAGTTGTTGCAATAATAATACAATGAAGTAAACACGTCACGTTTTGGTGAAATAGGTATCAATAAATTACTGTGCCTATACCAGTGTTGTTTTATATTTTCTATAAATTTATATTTTCACTTTCGTTCAACATGATCTGTTAAATATACAGTCCCTTTAGCCAGGCGCATTTGAGTTGAGATGTCTGTTAGAGCATAAGAATTATTTTTATTAAATAATTGTTACCCTATAATAAGTTAACTCGATACTTTAACTATGTTGTCTTTGCATGGTTTTTGCCCGTGTAAACCATTTAAAAATAAACATTTTATTCAGGCATCTACTGCATGGGACCAGCGTCTTTGACGGCTGTTAAAAATGGACACATACGTCTTCCGCATGACGCACCTTTTGTGTTTGCCGAGGTGAACGCTGATAGAATAATGTGGATGGGTGTGTCTCCGCACAATCGACGAATGATAAAGAAGGAGACAAATTTGTATGTAACAAATGATATAAAGAATTTTTAAAACCGTACCTACTGTTTCATTTCATATAAAAACTGATTCAAAAAGAGAAATGATGAGAAATTAAGATGATATGAAAACAGTTAATGACGATAATAATTATAATGTTAACCATTTTGGTAGAAAAGTGCGACCACGTGTGTGTACTATTTCTTTTTCATGCTTGGTGTTGAAAACACGTCATCTTTATGATACTAATAAAATGCTAAAAGTGACTGAGCTGTATACCAGATATGACTTTAGTAAATGATCTGTGTCTAACTTGACATGGCATGTATAAAATTTAATATGTTACCAGTAAGTGTAGGTGGAATTTACATTTATAAGCTATCATTAAGTTTGCCGATAGAACATACTATAATCAATATTCACATGCTTTTTTAAAGGCACCGGAAACTTGTCGACATTTTGTTTGTTATTTTATTCATAATGTCAATGTTTTTCATGATTCTCAGGGTCGGCCAGTTTATGAGTACAAAGAAACCACTGTCACTAACTGAGACAACCGATTGGAGGCGTTGGTCTAGGAAAAGGGAAAGAGAAAAACGTTTTCAACCAGTTTTAAGTTCAAAGGAGGTCAGAAAAAAAAAAAGTTGAAATTTAAATTTATAATGCCTTGATAAAACATATTAATAAAGGTCTCAAATTTTAAAATACCCAAATTCCTAAAAAATGGCCCAATTTTTTTATCTATTTATACTAAATTTTTTTTATCTGTTAAAGTTTTAAAAAGGTTTTTTCATAAAGTTTTGGGCATTTTTATCTCTTTAATAGATGATATAAAATATTCTTTAAATAGGTTCACCAAAAAAGAAAAGAAGGGCCGGCCCTAAAACGGGGCAAACCCTTCATACAAACGAAAACGACGGGTTTTCGGGAATTTCCCGCAAAAAGGTAGGGGTTTATGATTTTATCTTTCTTAAGTGATGCCCATTTAAACATGGCAGTATTGGTTGGTAAAAAAAAAGATCAATGTATTATTTTTATTTTTTGTTATTAAGATGTTGAAGGATTAAGTATTATTAGCAATAATATCGAAAAGTTGAATGATAAGTTTACATTTTAATGATATGACAATACATAAGGGAATAATCGGCCTAAAATATCTGAAGTAAGTAGGGCAAAATGTGCCCTAAAGATAGCAATGTCAACAAAGTAGTATTTTGACTTCTGTGCAAAATACCATTTCATTTTAATTATACCAAAGAGCAAAAGAAGCAAATTTCATGTACGATATATGGCCAATGATTAACGTTTAAGAAACTGTAACGAGATACCAAAAAGAGAGAAATAAAAATGATAATATTTTTGGGCTAATTGGTGCCTTTAATTTAAAACACATGCTTGGTATATTTGATAAAGTTGTAAGTAATCGTTTGTATTATTTTGATGATCGTTTTTTACAATTAAATTCATCTACATTTAATTTGTTTCTTAAACAGGATGATGTTGCATTTGAACTAAAAGCTGACAATAACACTTTCATTGGCCAGCCATTGAACGCTGTGCTGATAATAAAGAATCTGAGTAAAATGACAAGGACAGTTGGCGGACACGTCAGTATAAAATCAGTATATTACACTGGTGCTACATACAGAGAGGTTGTTAAGGGAGATCTTCCAAAGACATCACTGAGAATGGATGAAGGTAAGTTGGTACATATAAGGTAATTGATTTGTAATCATTCTAGGTAAGGAAATAAAAACTTGGACATCTATTTTATAGTGTTCTCAAATTAAATTACACATTAAATTGGAGAATAATGTCTCTAGGTTATCAAGGTGCTACATCAACACAAAACGTATCCCTGAAAAGGAATAAGGACAAATAAGGTCGATCATAACATGATTCTCGTGAGATCACTTATTTTCTAGATGTTTCAACTCGTAAAACCGACGTCTTATTGGAGCTGTAAATAATTGCCGCTTTCTTCACCTCAGTGTTATTCTGGTCGTTTGGGATCATTGATATTTCTTGAGGATTGAATATTTCTTAAGCCAGTACAATTTTGTGTAGGAGATGCTGCACATCCATTTTCTCCCAAACAGAATTTGCTTTTATCACCTTCGTCTTGTCTTTGCTCTCAAGGGACCTTCCTTTGCCAAGGTTTGGATATAAATGGCATTGACCTTTAACCAGCTTATTGCTATGATCGTTACCACAGTCATACAATCCCGTTACCTAAATTCAACCACTTTCTATGAAAAATGCTCAAACCTATCTTGCTTATTGGAGATAATCATTAAACTGTCAATTTGGTCACATGCCCTGGTCTAGAAAGAAATTGCATAAAGCTGTTAGTTTATAGAATGAAAATGACCAAAGACACACAAAGGCACCAAATAAAGTAAACCCTTATGCTCAAGTGAAGTTATAGATAATGAATTATAGCCTTCTTAGTAATTATTCTTTTAATATTTTCATTAACCATTACAACTTCGTCAATTCTACTTTGTTCTAGATAAAAGATTTCAAATGGAAGTCCCAGTTAGATATTATTTGGAAAAGTTAACCGACCACTGCTTTCTTAAGATAACATTTTCCTGCATGGTTGAGGAAACAGGACAGGCATTTGCTGAAGTTGCTGAGGTTAGACTTCGTAAACCACATATTACTATCAAGGTAATCTATATTTTTATATTCTGTGTTATGACCCGGAGAATTAAATGTCTATCGCACCAAAAAACAGGGATTTTCTTCTAGAATGGGGCTAGTAGTGAAGTTTTACAATGTACTTCTAACAACAACAGTCATGTATCAAACTCATGTATCACTTACAGGAATAAACTGTTTTCTGTTATAGCATTGATGATAAATTATAAGCAATATATTCGTTTTAAGGAATTTTATACATGTACTTACATGAACATTTTAACTTACTTTTTAAGTCTATTTGAAATGCTTCAAAATCGCACAAATATAGATAACTAACGAACATTCATTTTGGAAATGCCATTGATTAAAAAGTCATTTGTATTTCAACAGGCTCCGAATACCGGATATATTGGCCAGACATTCAAGGTTGAAGCATCCTTCATGAACCCTCTACCTACACCTCTAACAAACAGTATTCTACGCGTTGAAGGTCCAGGATTTCAGAAACCAGTTACTTACAGAATACAGTAAACATTTTATTTCTCGTATTTTCAGGCGTTTAACCTATTAAAAAACTTAAAAACAAACAAACATGTACAAATATTATTATTCCTACGATGATTCATTTTCAATGGACTTTATGTTCCGTTTTAAATTTGTTCCCTCCAAAAACGAGGCCTAATTTTGAAGATAATTTTTTAAACTGTCAGTCTGCTAGTTCTGAAAAAGATTCTACACTGCGATGGTTAGTGAGTTATATCTTCTGTATATAAAGTATCTTTTGAATACAGAAAATATGTGTAGTTTGTACTAAGTCACTCGAACTACATTGATGGAGGGTATTTGATTAGTCGCCGGTAGAAACCGGCGACTATATTTGTAATAGTTTAATATTATACCTATGGTAGGAGAAGCCCTTAAAATCTGAAAATAAAAGCATAACAATCATTGAACAATTAAAGACAACAATTATTTTTCAGTAATCACAAAAAATCAAACATATGATAACTTTGCTCATTGGAATGAAATATGCACATATTGACGTCTAAAAAAGCAACATTACAATTTTCATAAAATGAATCAATAACGTATCCCCAAGGATCAGTCATTGAATATTAGAGATACTTTTACTTTTTTCTGTGTGTCAAGCATTGCTATTTTATAATATATAAATCATGAATGATATTTGAAATGACACTTTAGAATTATTTGGTTGTTTATTTTTTATGAGACCTTTAATATTACATTATTTTATCTAATTATAAACAAATGCTCCCTGGTCTTTCGTAAGAATCACGTGACTACATGTTTATATATGTTGTATATCGTTATAAAATCTATTAATAGTTACAGATTGCTGATAAGACAGGTAACTTGTTAATGGTGGTAACTGATAAGATGTAAATCATTGTAATTTTGTACAGATAATTACATAAGTTATTTTTCATTAATCAGGTTCATACTTTATATCATTAGAGAAACCTGTTTACATTAAAAATACATTTTCAAAACCATTTCCTTTCTTCTTGGTAAAAGGTTTAACTTGGCCCTTAATTTCTGTCAAACATTCGACAAGAAAGTTCAATTGTTTAGTTTAGGTTGAACATCCCAAAATAATGTTATGCTTAATACATTTTTGAAATATATCATGGTAATCGTTGATTTATCGTCGGTTTCCGTCACGCAGGTTTCCAAAACGGTACGACGTCAGGGGTCCGGAATCGTATTAGATACATAGAAAAAAATAATAAACTATCTTTGTGTTGATAGTTTATCGCACTGAAAGGCAATTAAACGTTAATTTTATAATTCGTATGTAACGATTGGAATACGTGTATTGATTTCAGCTAAATTATATATTTTTTCTATAGCACATAATAATGATGTACAACACTTTGACAGTAAGATTGTATTGTTTCATGTAATAATTAAACATATATATTTTCATAGTCACTTTGCAAATATTCGATGATCGGTAATTTTTGTCGGTAATTATCTGAATCTGAACTAGTAACCTATACGGATTTCAATGTATGGTACAACAGTATATGTATAAAGTATAATTACAAGAAGAATTACCAGCATAGCACTTGCCTTACAAGCCTCAGTGGCAAACATTACTCAACTCATTGTTCCTCTTATTTTTATACTTGAACCATTAAACTTATATTTTCTTATATTTATGATAAAACAATCATTTTTCTATCCGGCGACTTGATGCTTTAGCATCAAAATCTCTACTTGTATTTTAATTTTTCGATAAAATGGCACCCATGTTCAAGTATACGTGTCATTTAATTACTTTTTTTTGTAATCAGTTTATAAGAAATACTCCTGAATTGGATTGATGGAAATTTGACATTAATGATTATGAAACAAGACATTTTACTTTGCATTACTTACTTTTCAAATACCTGTCAGAATTTCAGACATTTGCTTGTACATTTTTTGTTTGAATGCATACTCTATATTCTTATCAAACTTTCAGAGATGTAGATGTTGGCAAGGGTATGAATGTAACTTTGGAGTTTACACCAGTGAAGGTTGGAGAGAAGGAGATTATCATGAACTTCTGCTCTGATGAACTGGCTAATGTTAACGCGGCACAACCAGTATATATTCACCGGTAGACCAGGCGAAATTGCAAAATATATGTACATCGTATAACATGTGTGATGTAAAAACATATTTGGGACATATTTGTATTTGTGAATATTTGTACCATAACGAATTGTTACGTGTTTCGATTATATACGTGCAAAATTATTGCCACTTGACTTTAATACTATTTTAGCTTATATCATGTCAACATGTAAAATAAATTAAATCAGTCTGCATGCTTAAAATGTATTAATAGTACATGTATTATCTTATTTACATACAAGGAATGCAACATACTCCTTTGAACATGACACGTCTTTTTTTAACATAACACTTATATATCTTGTTAACTATTTTTCTATTTTCTAGTATCACAAAAATAACAAGATAAGTTGTTTTTTACCATTGTTATCGAAAAAAGCATTTCCTGACTTGATCATATTCAGATTTACACATTGTTAAATCTATACATTATGTTAAATGTACAATTTTCAATGGTAAATTACTTAAATAAATCATGACCATTTTCCATTGTATTTTTGTATGCTTATTGTACATCTTGTGTTTTATATCTATGTTTCTATATAGTTGCATCACAACCAGATGCTTTTATCTAGAAATTACTTTTTTTCTGGGTCATTAGCATTTTAATGAAGGAAAGTTGTTGTGACAGAAATTAACAAGGTTATGAACTGTTTGTTTTCGTAGATTTGTGTTATACTGAATTTTTATACAAAACTATTTAATGAAACTTTGTATTTAATGAAACTTTAATGAAACTTTGTTATTTTCCAATATTTTTCTAAAGCTGTTATGTTTTTTCATTTAAAATATTCTATTCAAATGTTATCATCATTGTTTCTTTTTAATAAACACTTATTAGTTTTACTTACAAGAAGAGCGTTTTATATCGTTTATTTGACTATAAATCAAATTAAAATCATTAAAACGTTTGTCTTATCCAAAAAAATAATTGTTTGAGAATGGATCGAGATCGTCATTAGAGATGGACAAAGGTTGTGTGTAAGTTTAGTTCAAAATTTTGTAAAAGCTATTTGGATATGTGGATCGAGTTTCAGATAACAATAAGTGGTATAAATGTAAACACATATGAAAAACGTCTAGCCATTTTCCTCGCACGATTACAATATCTTTTGGAACTAATATCAGCCACCTGTTTTTGATACTATGAGGTTATTATACATTGTTGAGTACAATACTGAATTATATTGGACGGGTACACAACTGTCAAAACTATATTGGACGAGGTGCTAGTCGAGTCTGATATAGGTTTTGTCGCAGTGGATGATTCCAACAGAATCGTTATTGTTTTAGTTATTTCTAACCGCCATTTTTTACATTATGACGGAACTATATTTCTTTATGTACAAAAAAAATTTGATATAGATTTTGGAATCTCAATTAATGAAAACGAGGCTATATGGGTGTGATATGAAATTTGATATGAACCTTTTGGACACTGGAAATGGTAACAACCCTATAAAGGGTGTGAGATGGATTTTGATCTAGACTACGGGAATCAAAACGAGGCTACATTGATAATATTGGATTCAATAATGATTTATATTTGAACATCAGGTGGTACATATGCTGAAAGTCTATTGGTTATTCTTTATATGATATGAAATAAATTATCATGTGCTATTCTATTTCTTCACTTAAAAGGTGACTAGTGTATCACCCGATACCATTGCATCTGCATCTTTAGATAAAAACGAAGTCAATATAAAGAATTTATAGCAGTTTATTTAAACAAGAGAACGTAAACATAACGGTGACGAAAGCATAAAAAACATAACACTCAGTGTGCATAAAACATAAAAAAAAGTCACTTGTGTGAATACAAACACACATACATAGCATATACATCTCATGTATTACACATATACGAAAACATTTACGGGTTACATATGTATATAATACAAACATATCCAAAAGATACATTAGGTCCCCAGACAGTAACTATTTGTAATAAACATTTTACATCTTGAAAACATAGATATAATCAATTAGATCATGTTATCATTTTGATTTGATTTGATTTATTTAAGAAATACCTATACATATTATACCTAACCGATATATCATATATATTCAGACAGCTTTATAAAATTTAAGAGAAAAAAAAGCAAAAACAAAATTAAGCCTAAATAAAAAAAAAAAAAAAAAAAAAAAAAACGCTCAAAAACAGATTCATCTTGACTGCCGAGTTACATGTTACTGACAACACTGAACTATTTACTGATTGTGATGTAAGGTATATGTTTGTTACATGTCTGAAAATAATACTCATCTAAGCATAGCCATTCAACATTTTGGATTTCAGATGACAAATATGCATAAGAAATGACTCTATACTGCAACTTTAGATATTTACATGCACTTATGAATCTCATAGTAAGAAACCCATCCTCTAGGTTACAAATTGCATATGACGGTCTCTAATTTATGTGAAGCAGATAATATTCAGATTTCTTGGAGTATAAAAAGTTGCAATGCTTAAATTTCTAAAGTGTATAAAACTAAATTGATCTTTTTGTATAAAATAAACTCAAGAAGCACACAAAGCAAATACACGCTTCGTAAAAAAACATTGTTCTATTATGCATTGCTCACTAAAACCATCTCACTAAAAGGTTTTAACAAGCAAGCAAGAAAAAATATATATAAATGAGAGCTGTTATTAAAGTCCAAGGATCATATCTTAACTTATTGAAATAAGTTGAAACATTCATTGTTCCACTGTAAAGCAATCCCTCAAGTTTTATAATAAGCAAATACTAAATAAAAAAGACACTCATTCCCCTATAGCAATGAGTGCAGATAAAAGTATATCACTAACACAATAGCAAATGTTATTTATTTGGAAACTGTCACAGAGTATAAGCCGTCCACGCCTTCAATTTGAGTTGAGTTAAACACGACAATGATATCTTTCTTTCCGGCTTTAACTGGAGTTAGCTCAAACATATATTCGAACATTTTCCCCTTCTCTACATTGCTAGAAAATAAAACGAAATTGTTATAAAAGATGCTCCTGAAATAATTAATTTAATCTTACAATTTGATACTTCACCTTGATAACATTGGATAATTGCATGCTAGTTAAAATATATTGCATAAATAACATTTAAAAAACTGAACATCCTAAATGCCCGAACAGTCGTGTTAGAATGTCATTTTTTTCTTTGCAATCAAAGACAAGATAAGTTAAAAAAAAATGTTGAAAAAAAACCTACTAAATTTTAATAATCTACACGAGCAAGGTAAATTTTAAAGGTAGGGTATATATTGCCAGCATGCAACAATTAAGCAGTAAACACTTTTGGAGTTTTATGGAACTGAATTAAAATATCTAATAGCATGACTTTTGAGAAATCAATCTGTTGCTATCATCCGGACTGTTAAATTTGTTATTTAAGCTTACTTTAAAAAATATTTATTGCATTCCAATGCATCGACGAGGAATCTAAATCAAAATGTAAATTGTACAAGAAAAATGTACCTCTGGTTTACAGTTTTGGGTTTCTGATTACCAGGTCCTTCAATTACCAACTTGCAGTTTGTCAAGGTAACAGGTAATGGGTTCTTCACCGAAACTTTCACTTTAAATTTCTCCCCGACCCTCGCATTGCTTGGTGCCTGTAATTGAGATACAAAACTAACAAGCTCAAATTTGCTAGTAAAACATTTAAGAAACACTTTATTAACTTTATATCGAACTGAACAGACATTTGAGTTTATTCAAAATTCCCGTTCTGTCGTATGCTATAATGTACAATAACATTCTTCAAATTAACATCTTAAAACAAAGACTGATCTGGATGTTTTCAAACATTTTGCGTTTGCTATTCTTTAAACATAATTGTTTACAAATCTGTAACTTAAATTACAGAAAAATGGATTTTAAGAATAAGAAATTGCGTTACTTATCCAGCAATTATACTTTCTGTATTGTGTAAGTAGCTTGACAAATTCATGTCAAATATTCACCTCGATTGTAAGGTGGGGTTTCCTCAGCCTCATGTCATCATTGTAGACAAATGTTTGTTTCGTCTCATGAACCATCAACATACAAGATACACCAAACATACAACCGTCCGTTAGTTTCGACAGGTACTCGTTAACTGGTACTTCAGCACTGATTGTCTTGCCTAGAAGAGAAATTTTAATAAAATGGAAGGTAAAAGAAAACATTAGTTTAAATTTGTTTTGACATTTTGTTTACAGGATATTTAATTTATCAACAAATGTATGCATGTTTCTGTCTTCTACAATGGCACTGTCACTAACAATAGTGAGCAACGTTCACATAACTATATCATATCTAGCGTAACACAGCCCTAGTGTATGTACACCAGTACAGAAAAAACAAAAGCACGAAGCTAAAAAAACAAGGCGCAGAATTGACACACAGGTGACCCATTTAATGTTGTATAATAGAATAAATAGTAATTAAAATGTATGGGGAGTACTTGAATCAATCACTGGCGACCAAATATAAGTAAACACAGTTTAGACTGACTATAACTTACTTTCCTTGCCATTCATAGACACGCTGCTGATTTTCTCCTTATGCACATCTTTAAACGTGATGCCTGTTTGATAAACCGTGGAAATCACCAATGTCCCAGTAACAGTCCGTAAGTTACCACTTTTATTTTTCATGTTCAATTCCAGCTTGAATGGATCACCAATAAACGTGTTCTTATGATCAAACTTTACTTCAAACTCAACATCCTGAAAATCACAGCAATCCTTTATAACAGTCATTTTGTATAAAAAAGGGTATGCTATTAAGATCAAGAAGTTCAATAAAATCGACGTGCTTATGCCGTTTTTTAATTTGTCAATGTTAACAATTTATGTTTAGATCAGTAAATTCACATGCATACTTAACATACACAAGTTTGCTATCCAGCTAGCTGACTGAAGGTCGGTGGTTCTACTAAGGTGCCCGCTTGTGCATGAAATAATGTTTGAAGGAACACCTGACGTCATCCTTTACTATTAAAGCTGGAAAGTCGCCATGTGACATTGACAGTGTCAGTGCGTTACTTAAAATTCAACATACACAAACAGACAAAATAAACACTCGTCTTGGCATGTCCGATACTCGACATTCATATGAATAGGAGTAACTTAATAAAATTGACATAATGTGTAAATTGTACCTTTTCTTTCGTTTCATAGACGTCTTGTCTGGTCGAAAACTGACTTGCCTTAAGGACAGCCGCTTTTTCTTCATGTGAACCTTTTTAAAAAATATTATGTATTTTTGTAGCTTAAAGCAAACTAATAAAATAAGCAAAGCTGCAATATAAACAGTCATTTCAAGGTGAATTTTCGTCATTCTATCATAATATGACAATAAAGAGAACAAACAAAACAGCAATATAACTGGTATTAATAAGTCAGTAAATCTTGTTTGTAACATATAAAAACAAAATATAAAGTTGTCTCTGCCACAAAACCATTATTTGCATAAACGCAAAATTATAAATTAAACAATTATAGTAAAATCATATCCGGTAATTTGATGTTTGGGCTTTCAAAACTATCATTTAAAATCCGTTGTAAAGTTTGAAACTAACTTTTATAAGAAATAAACAATCGGTAGATCAAAAGATGTTCTGTATTCAAATTTGTAAATTCATTATTATATACATTTATATTTGTTGGTTGAGGATTTTAACAACATTAGCACTTTTAAGGCTAAAAAGGAAGCACGATTACCTTCAGGGAACTTGTAGTTACTGGTAAGATCCTCTCTATCTAGATCACTACACACATATAAATCTCTTCCCGAGGCTTTCCCAGATGCTCTTTTCGCACTTATATTCATTCCAACTCTATAATTCATGACAAATACACATACCAATTACAACTACATTACAAATTAAAATATTATGCGTTTACACATTTAAACAGACTTTATGATTTGAGTTACATAAGTAACTCAATAAAATTCCGTTATTGCTACATTTTATTTACTCCTTTGCAATTTAAGTTAAAAAAAGAAAAAAGAGATTGAAATACAACATACGCCTTTTTATGAATGGAAGTTTTCTCCATTTTGCCGCCCTCATTGATTTGCCAGAAGACTCGATCTGCATTCACTTCAGCAAATATAAATGGTCCATCATGATTAAAACCTACATCTCCATTCTTGATAGCTTTAACCGATGCAGGCCCACAACAATATACACCTAAAGATAGATACATCTTCAACAATTACAAATAAATAGACACGTGATCATTACTCTGATAGGGTCTCATAGTCAGACTGGCCTTAAATGTTAATTGGACCAGCTTAAATTTCAAATTTAAAAGCATTTCCGAAAACAAATATAATGTAATACAATTTAAGGTATGGTCCATTAATAATGATTGAACAACCTTCTTCATATCAACATTTATTTATATATTTCGTTTCTTATTTAATGATGGGTACTTTAAAGTCTGTATAACAATCGTAAATATGTGACATTCAAGAAAAGGTTTTGTGAAACATTATCATTATTGTTGTTATTGTACTGATATTCAAATTTTATTTATTGTTTGTCATCCTATAATTTGATATAAAATTCATATTTACCGCCACTAGCTTCCTGCGGAGTGGCATCTATTGCCTGCCAACCTCCATAACCTTTTGGTAATTCTGGTCGTGTCATCCAGACTTCATTCCATACATGATAATTCCTAATTGGTTAAACAATTTCTTGATAATATTATTACAAAATGTATATATTATTAGATTTATTTACAATTTCAGTAAAGTTTTGCCAATTTGTTTAATGAACTTAAAGAAAATGCATGGCTGAAACTAGAGTTTTAATATTGGTTTAAACAATATTTGAAAATATTTCATTTATGGTTTAAATGATATTTATAAATATTTCAATTACACAATCACTTACAAAAACTTAACTGTTCGATTAAATTTGGAAGTTATAAAATTTGGTTTTTATCAAATCATTCAAGGTTTTTAAGAATAATGTTTTCAATGAAGATTATGTATTATGTTAAAATTGCAAATGACACAATTTGGCTTAAATAAATTTAAACTTTGATGTATCTTCTCCGCATATTATTACATTAAGTCTAAGTAATAAAATTAAATCATTTTTATATTAATGCTACATACTTTATATCTTTATAAAACTAGATAGCTGAGTCAAAATTACAATTGTTACCTTATCTTTTTTTTTAAATTATGTATAAAATACAGGTAAAAACAAATACGACATAAAATTTATTCGGTACTATGATGGAGAACATGGTGCGAAAAGGAAACGCATGGCCCCATGTCAAACAATCTGCCTGGTAATGTAAAAATTGTAAAACATCTTTAACATACCACACAGAGTCAGACAGATCATCAACTTTCTCATTGTCCTTGTACACTGTGTCAATAGTCATACTGCCATCATGATCGTGGGCAGATGCAAAATTTGTCACACTTCTTGCTGGAATGCCCAAAGCTCTGCATACTAAACAAAACAAAAATGAAAAGAAATATGGGGATCCTTTTTAGAACGATTGGCAAAAAAGTAAAATCATATGCTCGATTGATTCATCCCCAGCAATTTTGTTCAGCTGCATTTTTATACTTAAAGTATTGACATTTATAAGACATCACGCAAGACTATGAAGTTATTTTAACGTATGATAACACGATACTTCCAAAATCCCCACACAAAAACCATGTTTAAACAGCTCATATGATTGGTAGACAGGAAATATAACTTAAGGTAATTGCAACAGTTAAATATTGAACGTGTTTGGTATCACTCGATTATCATGACTCATATTTTATCATCTCTCATTTTTTAAGTTCTTATTCATGTCGGCAAGATATTGTCCTACTATACCCAGTCATCGTAAGACACGATTCGGTTATTCTAGGATTTGCTTTCATAAAATAAGTACGATTTACTCACGTGTTGTTGTAACCCCTGAAAACACCCAACATTGCCCGAATTTGACTGGTTGCTTGGTTTCGAAGTACTTTTCAATAATCTCAACACTGCCGCTCCAGGAAAGTGGTGATACCCCTCCTTCGTAATCACCGCTCCAATTCCCCGCCAGAATCCCATTATTGTCGAAATCATTCACCTGGAAAAAGTACCATGATATATGAGCAATTATTTCCAAAAGGATAAATAAATCGCACCTAATCATTAAACATAGAGCAACAAAGTGAAAAAGCACCCCAAAACAACATTTGTGAATACGTACATGATTATCATTTTTTTTGTTAATCTCGTTAAATATACAATTTTGGTATTAAGATTAATGTAAAATTACGTCTGAACGGATATTTTTTAAATAATTTTAAAATGCATTAATTATTGAATCTTAATTTGTAACGATTAGATTAACATAGAATAAGTCACGACTTACCAAACCGGAGAGTTTTCGAACGATCTGTACAGGGTCTCCACGGGCGTTACCATTTAAGACAGACATCTCATCCAGCAAATACAAGGCGCAGTCCAAACTGTTTCCGGAAAACTAAAATTAGTGTAAAATATAGTTTACTACACAATCGGATTTTTTATGAAACAACACTTCGTCCAACACAACCACAATGTAATATAAAATGAAACAAAACCTTATTGTGTCAAATATAGGAACTATCTAAAGGTGAAGCTGATTTCATGCGATATCTTGGCAGTTAAAATTTTATTGCTTTTGTATCATGTAAAAAAATAAATAAAATTGTGAACAAGACAGACTTCTTAATAAAAAAATGTTGCCACTTTTCATTAAGCGAAATTTACTGCGGACGATACTACGTGAAGTGAATTACTCCAGTCACACACAGATTACATGTAAAACTTTCAACTTAATTTTACATCATATAAAAACTATTTCATTTAAAATAAGTATAATGATAAATATACATGGGATATAATGCTTTTTCATATTATTAATCTTGCCAAATACCTGTCCAAAATTCCACAAACATGGAGAAATGCGATATTTGCTCCCTCTATACAGTTTACCTGTTTCATTCAGAATGTATTCATCCCTATCTACCTTGTTCTCCATAAACACTCCGTCATCTGTATCAGTAAACAAAACAAGCTGATTTTAAAGATATAAAGTAATAACTAAAGAAATATATTCATGAAAATTATAGACAGTTAAATAATATTGTTTTTGCATTCTTTGTATGGTCGATTCTAGGACGAGTTATCACATAGAATGCCTCAGTCATTTAACACATTGAAAAAATGGAAAAAAATAATAAAATGTTCCGGAACAACATATCATACTTTTATTTCAAGTAGGACTCCAACCGTTTAGCAATAATTTTGCAATGATTTAGGAAATATACAAACACATTTCTTTCATACGTATTTTTGAAGAGTATTTTCCTTCAAAATTCAAACAGTAACTTCGTAAACTACAGGCAGTGAATATATACCGTAGCTCTTTACACTTTATGACGGAAGTTTATAGAATATTTTTGTAGGAAAATAATTATATGGATTATATAAATTGTACTAATTATTACTGTCCTGCATCATACTTATGTTTACGAAAAGTACAAGTTTTACCTTTGCACCATGGATTGAAGAGGATATAAATGGGATCTTTGTGAACATATCTGAAGACAACTGATTTATTATCTTTCTTCTTCACGACATCTATTTTCATTGTCCATTTCCCCACAGCACAAGTTGGAGGTGTTGTTACCACTATTGTTAGCCAACCGTTCGAATCCGACTTAATATAAGCACCCCACTCTTTTGGAACATCTTTCGCCGAAAGGATGAATTCAACATAGCTTCCCTTTGGTGTTGATGGACGCTTTCCTATTATTATATCAAGATCATTTTTTCCGGAATTTATTTTAGAGCAGTTATATTTTTAATAAAAGTACAGACGATTTTAAATTTGCTAATGGCCTTTTGGACTCAGTTCAGTTCTAAGCCAATACTCTTGGTTAAAGGTATTTTTATGGACTAACACGCGACTTAAAACAGATTCGTGCCTTGCTCTTTCATTTAATAAAAAATAAACACATTATTTTTAACAGAAATCGCACCATCATTTCAGTCTTGCAATCCAAAGTTTATAAAATCAAGTATACACGTTCATATATCATAATGACCCAACAAGCATGACACATATCATCAGTATTCTGTTATTAACTGCATAAAAATAATAGATATGAATAGTTATAGATTTCATTTCAACTTACTTTACATAGAGTTGCATAGAAACTCATCTAAGCATAGGTTTATCTTTACTACTTACCAAATTCAAACACAAGACGTAAGTCGTCTTTCTTATCATCATAGGACCTGTTAAATTTTATCTTAAATGTAAAGTCCTGGCCTCGTCTCACAACAAGATTTTCCCGCGAATCATAAGCTGTGGCATCTGCTATGTCAAACGTATCAGTGTGGTGAGCAACAGTATTCTCCTTGATGTTATGGTCAACTTTTACGATTTTCAGAACATCAGGATCTGAAACAGCAATAATGGATCATTTATTTTACTGAGCATCTCTCTCACTGCTCATTTTATTTAATATTTTACTTACTTTGTCTTCAATTTCTTTTATCATAAACGCCTTTTTCACCCCCCCCCCTTTTTAGTGTCTCAAATGGTGAAAAAATGCCTTATTTAGGCCCCAACACTTGTTATTGTTTGAGAAATGTTGTTTAAAAAAGTGACCACTTTTTCGGCGCGGCCCCCAACAAAAAGATACATCAGGGTGTTGCCAGAAGGGGGATGTGCCCCCTTCTGTTTGGGGGTTTGAAGGGGACGGAGTCCCGCTCATCGCCAAGAAAATTTTGGACTTGTGAGAGGCTAAAAATGATCCCAGATCGATCATAAGGTAACGTGTAAACAACGCTGAAAAGCATTTGACTCTATCTCAATCCATTGAGAAGTTGCAACACTTTGAAGTCAATTTTGATGGAAAAAATCAACGCAAAATAGTGATTTTTGGCAATTTTGAGTAACAGGTAATTTAAACCTGAGCATGTTGTTGCAAAGGCAATGGTCCAGTCAACATTTGTGCCAAGTTTGATAGTATTGAAGCAGTTTTTATAGTTTTAAAAGCAATTGAAATTAGAACTCTGCTACGCTCATTTTCAATTTTGATAAACACTTTTTTCAACAAAATGTCTTAAAAAGTTAATGGTCTTAAAAAGCTGTAATTTAAGGCACATTATGCTTCAAAAACAAATACGTATTTCTTTTTTAAGAAAGGTAGACACGAGTTTAAAATGTTAAATAATGTTTTTAGAGCATGTAACGTGCTTACCACCTGAACAAAGAAGTACTGTACATAAAATTATTTGTCATAAAACTAGGCGAATTTAAACAAGTCGTATCTAGACTTCCATACAAAATCAATATAACTTTATTAAATACTAAAGAGAATCAGAAGCAAATTAATAACTTTTTGGAAAGTAAAACAGGACACCAAAATTAAAGAGCTTTTGAGAAATAAAAGTAAAAAAATTGAGGCACAATGGACCATTAATGTTAGATGTATTTATCAAGACTAACTTTCTTAACGTAATTCAGAGTAACAGTTACAGTCTGGAAGATAAAAGATTAAACCTTTATCATTTTTAGAGATGATGGAAATTACTGCATTTCAAGACATTAAAAATATAAACATATGTGTCACCTGCATACGTAGTTGTCATATTTAAACAAAATCACTTTTAATATACTTGTAAATTCTGTTTTAAACATTGTTAAATTTCTCTGCCGTTAAAACAATTACTCGCAAACAGGAGTACAGATCGAATAGACATAACAAAGTTTTTAGAATCTGAATTCCTCACCAATTTCTTCCGGTGGTTTCTGATCTTCCTCAACCGCTGTATCGGGCTCATAGAAATAGAATGTAAAAAAGTTCTCCCAAAACAATCTTTCTGCATCATCTGTTATTCTGTTCGTCCTTCCAGTACCAGTTATACCGCCTTGAGACATTTTAGGCTATTAGAAAACAAAATATTTGGTATGTTGAAAGTGTAGTACTTATAGCATAAAAATGAAACACGACTTCCTTACCATTCAAAGCTAAAGGTCTTTTTAACAAAAAGTTTTGTTTTTTATATATAAATTATGATAAGACGCTATGACGTTTAAATGCATTTCATGGGATAAATTTTCGGCATAGATGTAAAACTTTATAATGATATACATTTTTTGTATATGTAATTTTTTAGAAAAATCAGACGATGGATGAGTTAAATGTCTATGTTAGCTCTTCTGTATAAAACTAGCACAGCATCTTCACAAAAACGCTGAAAAGAAAATAAATTGCGCGAATGAAAATTAATTATCTCAATATTACTGAGTTTGCTGGAGCATTTGTATCACGATTTCGATTTTTTCGAACAAAAGAAAATGTACATTTAAGCCAAAACAAACCTTTTTTTTACAACTTTAACAAACAACTCGAATGAAAAAAAAGAAAGATATCGGTCGGTCGAACTGCTTTGTCAGCAAGGAATAATATAAAATATTGTCAATAACACTGTACTTTTTATAAATGCACATAAGATATTTAATTGCCTGTCATCAAATACTCCAATATTTTCAAATAACCTTAGTTAAAAATGCAGGTGAATTGATAGTTTTTATTTAAGGTTATATGAAACCGTACAAATATTTTAACTCCAAAATACGCTCATGCTAACTGAAATCATTCACCGCCCCCCCCCCCCTCTCAAAGCAAATATACTTTTGGTAACTTGAATATTGACACAGAAGTTTTGGTTTCAACTTGAGCGTTTTTGATTTCAGTAAACAAGTGCAACCAACGAGACTAGCCATTTGACTAACATACTGTTTCAAGATACGACACTGAATGTCATTCGAAGATTCTTTAGTGAAAACCTTAAGTTAAGTAGACTCCCTAAAAGACCTACCTTTATTACTCACGTTGGTTGGATACCATAATACAGATTCAAAATTACAGCATTGGGTAAGTTGTATAGTAAAATTAACATACTTTTTGTTTTTGTGATTTTGTATTGTATAAATAAATAGGGTTTTTTTTTGGCAACGATACACACCATAACAGGAAGATAGAATATTAATTATTAAAATGGTAATGGATACTTGGGAAACATGATTGTTTACGTGCTAAAATATTCCAGTGACAATCGACAGAAAACAATCAAATTCTGAAAATCATTCATTTAAATAGAACATTTATAATAATTATAAAGTAAATGATACTTTCTTCTTCTAAAACAAAACAAATAGAAAATCAACCCGGCTGTTGCAGGTAATCAAATATCATTTTCAAACAAGCGGTTATATCTACAAAAGTAAAAGTTTCTTTCAAATTTGAATTTAATACATAAAAAATTAAAATTCAAGCTGGAAAACATTAATTGTAGTTTTACGAACAAATTCTAATTTTAAAGACTGTGCAAAAATGAAATATTATTTACAAAATCATAGATATTTGAAACAGAAAAATCCACTGTAACACTATTCGTTGTATTCTGTCAAAGTGTGAACAAATTTATAAAGTGCATACCAATGTTAAAATACAATGTTACTGTACAATTGTTAACATTTTTTTTAAGTTTAACTTTTGAAGGTTAATATAGCTGACTGAACATTATGTTTAATGAATGTAAGTGGTTTGATATCTACAGGCATTCACCGGAAACAAATCGTAGACACCCAACCTTGTGTAATTATATAACAATATAAAAAGAGATGCTTTACATGCTGTCTAATTGTTTAATTTAACAAACAAACATGTTATTTTCATACTTTGGTGTCTTTTTGATATTTTGCATTTTATATTTGTTTAGTTAAGCACTCATTCTCTCAATAATAATATTCATTAATGAACCTTACCTTTGTTATCATTTATGCTTAATTATAAGCTGAAAACCTAGATTGAACTGTATCAATATGAAAAATATTCCCGCTACTGAACTTTTCAGAGAAGATTATTTTTTATATTTGAAACGAACAAATTATATATTGTACAGTCTGATTCACTGTATGCCAAAACATAAATATCTCGTGTTAAACATTTGTGATTGTGTATGGTGCATTGTTAGAACAAATTTACAACTTGGTGGCATGCATCATATGATATCAGTTGATGTCAAAAATGGATATTACTGGAAATGAGTGGGTTTTTATTTATTGTTTTGTAAAGTCAGTTTTTTCATTAGTCAAAATCGAGGGATTACTTTTACTATTTCGTTCTGTAGATTCAAGAATTACTATAATAATATTTTAAGTTTCTGTTCTATGATATACGAGATGGAATCTTGCTTTATTTTCATAACACAGCTGCTGGGTTATTGACTTGATTATTATATAACATGTGCATGGTAAAGCAAATAATCAGTAACTAATAGATAATAATTTAAAACATCAACTGAATTGAGCTATTAAATTATTTTTTCTACTCTCGCAATAAAACTAACAAATTATCTTCTTTTACACTTAATCTATATATACGTTATATTTTGATAACTTTGAAAACTAAAGCCAGTTGAAAAAAGGTTTCTGCGATGATATTCTAAGACCTTTCATAAAAGCTGAAAACATAATTTCTACGCTTTTAATGATTTGATTTCTATATGTACTACGTTTATATAAAGAGAGTACCATAGAAGTAATGTTAAGTTGATATATATATATATACCTTATATAGTTTATCCGATATCCTAAGTTCCTTTTCTCTCTGTCGTGTCCCGCAGACTAACCGACAGTATTAACTTTGCCCGTTTATAAATCGATTCAATAAACCGTGCAGGTATTTGCATGCCCTTGTGTTTTTTCCTTACGTTTGCAGGTGTATTTATTTATAGTGTTAAATACTTGGAAAAATAGAGTCATGCATGTATTTTTCTTATGGTAGCAGGTGTATTTGTTTACAGTGTTTAATACTTGGAAAAAAGAGCCATGCCAGTAGTATTTTGGCAAATAACGCATTACAAAAATATAGCTTATTTAATAAATTGTATAAACACCACAGAGCTAATGGCAAGGGAAAACGAGCCTTTATTGCACAACACACCTCGCTAGTTTGCCCGGGATCTATACTGTTTGGTTTTAAGTTTTTTTTAACATCATTTGACAATTCGGAATTTTAAACTTCAAATAAGATTTATCATTATAAATAACAGTTTAAGATTTAATCCTTCATCTAATGTACGGGATTAGCACTGATTTTATTTTGGAACGTTCAGCAGCATAAAACCTGGCGTGAATGAACGGATATGCAGACAGGACTAGCTCTATATTGGTGGCAAATATTACCTCTTTCGGGTCAAGCAAGTTAATGGCTAAATTCAGTTACGAACTTCTGTTATAGCATAGTAGCATATCACCGATAAGAACGTGAAATGTGTTATAGAACCTTGTCATAACCAACTTGATGAGTATTTAGTTAGTGCTGTGCTTTGTTAAGATTATGAAACACTCACCATTTTTACAAAGGAACAAAAAAAGTACAACAAACATCATGTAGTAAAATGAAACCACATTACATTGCTTGTTTGGTCAGTACCATACACAAAGCTGACATTTAACAGCAAGCGTTGTCATAATGTTTAGCATGCCCTTTACAAAAGACTGAATATTCTTTGAAATTGTCATGTTTAAATGTGTATGTATCTTTAACACAGAGCAAAACATGTTTGAAGGTTTGTTTTCGGAAAATTAAAAAGGCTTAGAACGATTGCAAAACTTAGAATTACGAATGATAATTTCTAAAAACAATGAAAAGAAAAATAGATCAAAAGAAAAAAATAAACAAATATAAATGTTTATAATATTTACAATGCAATGTCTATACCCCAAATTAATCTCACCTTTGCATATTAAGTTCAATATTTTTGCATTTTATTTTATAGATACAGAAACTTCTTTAAAATGTGTGCCACGTAAACAACTGTGCATTGGTCCGGTCACGGTCGTCTGCAGTGTGAAACGCAAATATTGCCGCTCGATTTGTCATTGTTGAAAATAATTTGCACGCAACCTGATACTGCTAGGTGTGGCGACCGCAGACGATAGGAGATAAAAATGTACAAAAATGGGTGCAAATTGCATTAGTCTTTGTCAAAAATATCCTGACCTTGTGACAAATATATGCCATGCACGAAATTTAAAATTCAAGTACTTTATGTATAAGGTAGAATTGTTATTACAAGTTAATCAACAGTTTTAATTTGTATATCCTGTAATGTCAATGTGCATGTAGTAATGGTATTTAATGAAACGCAAAACTTTTCCACATAGAAACTTCACATTATCCCGCACATATACGTCTTCTTGTCAAACTACCTTACAGTATTTATTTTTCATGTAAAAATTTTTGATACTTTTAATCCATTGTGATGCTTTTGCGACATTTTGCAGACTTTCTAACACACATAAACTTGTACACTCTTTTGAAAACCTGATAAACATTAATATTTCCTTGGTTTACGCTTGTAACTGTAACAGCTTGTCAGACATAAAACAAGATTCGTGATAAAAATATTTTTTTTGTATGATGTCAGCTGTAACATGTTACGTTAAACAAGAATTATACACATGAGATAAATAAAAATATTTTCTTCCTGTACGTATGAACAACTAGCTTTCTCAATCTCTGTTTGAAAGAACAACCCGCCCCCCCCCCAAACAAAAAATAAAAAAAATAAACAAAACAAAAAAACAACAACAAAAAAACAAAAACATTCTTATATCTGGGTCAAGGATAATTTGATTTTACTATTATATCATCATAATTAAGCATTACTTTGTCGTCAATAAATATAAAGCAAACATTAAATCGTATTCTAACATTACATATAAGTTAAGTTCTTGTTCAGAAATCTAAGAAAATAAGATGGTGAAACAACAACCACATATACAGAAGACAATTATAATAATATACTTATTGAAATGATATAGGTGAAATTACAAGTATCTTGATAACATGAAAGCAGGGCTATTCACAGGTGGCAGTATCAGAATTTGGACACCCTACCCCTATCTGCCCCTTGACCCTTACTATAACCGTGAAAAAATTAATTCAACACTCTATGGCTCACTTTAAGGTGCAAAATACAAAACCACCGATAAAATTATAAAAAAAGAATGGTTCACTTTCAAAATTATAGTTATAGAAAGGTGAAAAACCTACTATATGTTGCAAAACTATGTGGAACACGGGAAATCTTCGTTTCGGCGACTGAGGCGGCGGAATTTCGCTGCATCATTCATTAACATCAATAAAAAGACCTAGAATTCCACAGTTTAATTCATGTCAAACGAATATCAATATAATTCCGATTTTTTTGTCTGTTTCACGGTAATTTACACTTGTCGCTGCCATTTTGGATTCTGATACCTGTGTGATATACGCGATCTGATTGGACGTCCAATTTGGCTAATCCATTGCTAGCCTTAAAAACACAAAATCACTACTAAACGGATTAAATCCTACTTGAAATAGTAAATAATATTTTGTTCCGGAACGTTTTATTCTGTTTACGTACAAAATTCAACTACAAATATTACCTTTTCAAGTAAAATTAAACCTGTTTAATCTGGTGTTCGGAGGGGAAGGGTTTTTTTGGGAGCCCGGACGCACAAGGCGTTTACACCAAGTAATCTATCTAGGCGGTATGAAACAACTGTTTTACGGACAGAACTCTCTATGAAATTTTATGAAAACTTATCTCAAGTTTTTGACCCTTGCACTAGAGTCCTACCTATTATATTTGATGTACCTTTATTATTTATTTAGAGTGAAACTGTGACCACCGAAGACATGATTCTTGCATCTGACAAGTTGTCATCATGTATAACAAAAAGTTCTGTTATATCTTTCCAGGAATGAAAATTGTAGACCGGACACAACTATCTATTAAATTTTATAAGAAAAACTCGTATATAACGATTTTTGTGGAACAAGATGTCTATGTCCAACACATTCATGTATAACTATTTAAATCCTTTAAGGAATAATATAATTGTTGAAAGAACATGAACACCAATGCATTTCAATATAAATATTATTTATATCCCGACGTGTTACAGTTTTCATTTTGTCTAATGCAGGACACGTGGGGAGAAAGGAAACTGAAAACTGAAAGAAACTATACCTATCCCTAGACTTAAACATTAAAAAGATGCAGAAACTGTAAACTAATGAATGTAAAAAGAAGGAAATAAATCCTGTTAAGCAACATACGTATAGGATGATCTTTTGTGAAAATTACATTCTATCATTTTACAAACCCCAGAAATACCAATGATCATTATGTACACCGTACAACAGAAGAAGGCAGTAGGCACACTAGATGGCACGGTCAAGGAAAAATAACAAATAACAAATAAAAGATCAGAATACAGAATCTAGACAGAAAGGAAATATGTATTAGTGGCCAAAACATGAACAAGATATGAAGTTATGATACCAAACCTACAGTTTAAATTCAGAAGAAAAATGACTTGGTTACTTTGTGTGCAATAGAAATTATCCCAAAAGAATTCGATAATTATTATGCCACTTGGCCAACAAATCAGATGAGAATGATTCTGACTTTTAATAACAATATGTAAGACATTTTGACAAAGGCATTAAGATTGATCACACAGGAAGACTTTCAGAACTTGCAGTGTGAAAGATGTTTCAGACCTTTACTGAAAACACAATAATTTCATATTATTATTCGCATCATTGTATAATAAAACTGTAACAAAATGTTTGCATAAGTTAAATCATGACAATTATACGTCTTTTCAAAATCGACAATAAACTAAAAGTCTTAGTTTAGCACTAATTAGCATTTTCCGTGTTAATGTGATAATGCAGTTTATCAAGGCAATTCTGTCATTATAAGGGAGATAAGTCGTAAGGTCTTATTACACGCAATTTAGATTATTATGTCTCCCATTAAGTTGAAAGGTCGCAGATAATGCTAGCGTTTACTTTATCAGTCGTATACGTCATATATTCAGGAGCACATGGCCCAGTCTGTTTTTAAGATGAAGTTGAATAAGTTTAATAGGAATATTTACCTGACAACATCTTTATCAAGTAAATTTGTCACAATAATTTAAAAATTAATTTTAATGTATCATAGTGATATTTGATTTACAGTATCCGGATTAATAAGTAGAGAAATAAATTATAATTATACCACGAGGTGTGGCCGTGACCGTGAGACACGGTGATATCATCGAATAGACCAGACTATATATCTAGTATCTGTATTAAGTGAAATATAACTAGATCTACTCTTCATCCCCGGGAGATGCTTTGGTAGTTTAGCGCGGAGGAAGGAAGTCTAGTACTGGTGTAACTCTCCAGGAACGATGGTTAGGAAACTACCCGCCTATATGACTGAAATACTGTTGGGAAAAGGCGTAAAATCAAACAAACAAACAAACAAAACTTCTCTTCATTCCAGTGAGTTTATCATTTATCACTGTGTTGAATCATATTTCTTACTATGCCTAAAGCAAAGGCGAAATCTAACAGACATTGGAACCCTGTTTCGTTTCCACGCCATTCCACAAGGTCATTGGCAAGAGGTCAATCGGCGCTGCCAAGAAAACAAACTTGCAAAGCAACACCAACAGCTAAAAAATAAGGCCGTGCACATGTTTCTACTGATACTGATCATGGTCATGGCAATTTACCCACAGACTATCAGGATGTCGGCAACCCCGCTCCTGAGCTTCAGCAAGAGCACCACGTGATTGGTTCCCCTATTGTTTCTCCCATTGCATCTCCTTCTGAAACCCCCAATATCCAAGGTGAGTGGGACCATATATTGGTTATACCTATTCATGAC